CAATTAACTGTCTCTTTTTCTTACTATCAAAGTCATACAGTAATTCTAAATCGCGCTCTTGTCTTATCGTTTATTCACCATTTCATTTGATACCCATTTAAATATGATGCTTTGAGTTCATTCTCGAAAAAAATCTCATAAGCGACATAAAAAATGAATATTTTTCTCTTTCTTTTTTCGATTTCCCTTTCCGCTTTTTCTTTGCCGAAAATCTTTGGAATAAAAAAGAAGAGCATGATGGATGACAAAGAAGCATTCGAGAAAGTGATTATGTTTCAAAAGTTCAAGTACATGAGGAGAATGTTCGAAGACTCTCTGATGGGGAGCGATTCTTTTGGACCTTTTGCTGATCTTTTCTGACCAACTGTTGATCGTAAAAATGAAAAATAAAATCAAAGAAACGTGAAAAAAATCTCAATTATTTCCGAAATTCAATGACCGGTTCAATTCCTTTCCGATGCGGTTAATAAATTCACTTATCTTTCTTTGAAAAATAAGCAAAGAAAAGATAAAGCATTGAATTAAAAATTTTTGAGACACGAAAAAAATATTTGTTTGTTGGGTATTTTTATGCAGTTGTGCGGTTAGTGCCTCCTCTGGAACGGAAATTTGAGAGCAACCTGATTGTGGCCGTCATTCGATGTCCCATTCAGCAGCGGTTTGCAAATCCACTATCAGAGGTTGCCAGATTCGAGCGCGCTCAAAAACCATAATGCCGAAAATGGGGGGAGGTTTCCTATTTTTTCATTGCTTGAAATAATTAAACAGAAACAATTATCTTGGTTAATAATATTTAATAAATCGTCTTGACGTATTAATACTTGTATGCAGGGATGTGCCTTTTCCTATTTTTTCGAGTGCGGTGCGGTGCGAAGTGCGATTTTTTTTGCGGGTTCTTCTGCGGTGCGAAGTGCGATTTTTTCAAATTTTTCTTCGCAGTACGACGCAGAGTGCGAAGTGCGAAATATGGGGAAAAACTGCGGAAAATTTTGCGATAGTGCGAAAAGTGCGGAAGAACAGTGGTTTATCCCCATGTACCCTTAGCAGTCCAAAAGATTTGATAGTATTAATGTAGCTTATGAAGAGCTGTAGAGCAAAATTGAGTTAACATATTGATACCCTTAAGTTATCACTATCAAATCGACGGGAAGATCCAAAAAAAAAAGAAAAGGAGGAGAACAAAAATAGGAAAGAGTCTGCAAAAAAGTTGCAAGCGTTTTAATCCGTCCGATCCACTTCCGAGATTAAATTTTCTGCCAATAAGTTCTAATCCGGATGATTAGAAATCGTAGCGTGCGATTATAATTGTTCGGAATGCGTTTTTTCTCTTTGATCAGGAATAATTCTACCTTGGCAATTATTCAAAAAGCGCTACCTCTGAGAAGAAGGAAACTTCGTTTTAGTTGATTGACGCGGGGTGTATCCCCTTAATCGAGATTAAAGTATGCGAGATAAGATGCCTCTCGCCGGGCGGAAGTGGAGCTGAAGGAAGTTTAAACAAGAACTTTAGTACCCCTCTCCCGGGTCAGAAAACTTTCCCTTTGAACTTTTGACACTTCCAGTTCCTCCTTGGGCTGTTTCTATTGGTTTTTCCCTCACGTGACTTTTTCGTCAAAGTTTCTAGGGCAGTATTTTTCAACATCTTTTAAACTTGGAATCTGGATTTCAAAACCTGTGCAGAAACCTGTGTCAGGGTTCCAAAAGAGCAGGGCTTTCAGAAAAGCCCAACCCTGACTCAGGTTTTCTACAAAGGTTATTAAAACTTGGAACCTTGATTTCATAACCTGTGTAGAAACCTGAGTCAGGGTTCAAAAAGAGCACGGCTTTCAGTAAACCCAACCCTGACTCAGGTTTTTTACACAGGTGATTAAAACTTGGAACCTGGATTCCAAAACCTGTCCAGAAACCTGAGTCAGGGTTCAAAAGAGCAGGGCTTTTAGAAAAGCCGAACCCTGACTCAGGTTTTCTACACAGGTTATTAAAACTTCGAACCTGGATTCCATAACCTGTGCAGAATCCTGAGTCAGGGTTCCAAAAGAGCAGGGCTTTTAAAAATCCCTGACTCAGGTTTTCTACACAGGTTCCTGAGCCCTGAGAAAGGCCTTTCCAGAAGATGAAAAAAATGAATCTGCCCCGAGGGGCGTTCTGGTCATATTTATTTCAGCTGTAATAATCTTTATGGAGCTGTGGTGGAGATTAAAACATTATGGATGGGGTCCGAGATTGCGCGCTACTCCGTCATTAACTCTGGCAATAACCAGAAACCAATAACCCTTCTTAAACATTTCAATTATTCAGCGCCAGCCGATCGGATGGCCACAATGGGGTGATGGACGCCAGATTCGGGCACGCGCCCGCGCGCCCTAGGCACCTGAGCCCAGACGCAGCTGCCACTTCCAGCCATAAAATACTCCCTCTCAATAAAACTGTATTGATCGCGCTATTAGAAAAGTAACTACCTGAATTGTAGAAAAATCGTCAAATATTTCTCTCGATGTTTGCAAAATCATTGATTTTCTTCGAAATTTTAGGGAGTAAAAACTTGTTCTATCATTCAGGTACAATTAACCCGTTGCCGACCGTCAGGCGTAAATTTGCCTCCTACGCCAATGAGAATGCCGTATTTTTAGCCTCGGGGCATGTCGTAGCAGCAAAACTGCTACCTGGTTGGTAATGGGTTAATTTTCTCCTTAGTTGCTTCTTGATCTGCCCTTAGGGCATCGCCCGTATAGAAAACTTATTAAGGATCAACAGTATGAGTCTGGTTCTGTTCTTTCTTGTGCCTTGGTATATTTATATTGTCGGTTTCGCAAGGAAGCGGCGTCAAGTTGAATCTACATGAGTGTGATGAATAATTCTATTTCATCCCCTCTTCATCCGCGCCGCAACAAGCCAGCTGTGATGCTCTCCACGCGGGTCAAAGCCAACACGATTTCACGCACCCCATTGAAGTTCGAGAGCCATTTCGCCAAATTGACACGTTGCATTTGGCACTTCTTCGTAGAAGGTATCTCTCAAGCATGGTTAAATAGGATTATTTTTCGTCATTTCTTGAAAAACTCTTTGCAAAAGAATTTCCTTAATAAATTTAAAAATAAACAGAGATCAAAAACACAGATCAGATTCTTTAGCAGAATAAGAGTCAGGGTTAATGTTAGGGTTAGGGTTAGAAATAGTGTAAGGGGTTCAAGCTGCCCCTAACCCTAAGAACCCCCAACCTTAGAGCTAAACAAGGGGGTGTCGCCCCGGAACCCCCCCCCCCTTAAGAGTTTCTTGCCCCCAACCCTAGGCACATACCCAGATTCTAGAGATATATGATGGCTCGAATCATAGGCTATGATTCATAGGCTCGAATGATAGCCCCACTCTACAATTTTCCATCTTGCTTTCATCTTAGACCCCTCCACGTCGATAACACTCAGGGTGGGTCGCCCAAGTTTACCCGCTGCATGGAAGGGTTGCAGAAGCGAGCGAGAGAGGGAGAGAGAGTCAGTGTTTGATTGGCGTTGGGCGCGCGGCAGCGCCGTAACACCACGGCGGAGCGCGGCTGCCGAGCGCCATCGACCTTCTCTCGGAGACCCCCTTGCATCTTGGGGAGACGATCCTTCTGATTTTACTTAGAAACCGAAATCGGAAATTTAGACGCATCCAATTTACAGTGTCTAAAAGGACTTAATACATACTTTTTGTATAAAAACGACGATTCGAAAAGAAATAAGAAAGAGACCAAGAAGAAAAGAACATCGACAGGAGATTCAACCCAGCCTTACTGTAAGTTTTACAGAGAATAATCTTAATTACAATTGATTTTCATCTTTTTTTATCAAAATTTTAATAATAATCGTCATAAAATAGTGTTTTTTCTAATAAAGAATGTTTAAAAGACCCTCGAGATTTTCTTAAGGATATCATCAGGATTTTTCTGGAGAAAAAAATTCTAAGGGGTCACCTTATTTGCCAAGAAAAGAACCCAGAAACACGCTTATGTAATCATGAAAAAGCCAAGAAAGAAAGTTATTATGGGTGACGAGAGGGATTACGCGATATGAGTTGCTTTGGGTACTTGATAAGGCTCCCTGCTGGCCTGATAAAGCGCCGCTTGGAATTATGAAAAGCCCCCTTATCTGACACGTTGAAAACTAAACGTGAGGAGAAGTTCTTTTTTACGTAACTTACTTCCTGATTATAATTAATAAAATTAAATCCCCTCTTTATTTTCCAATAAGAGGCGGACACCCTTAATTCAATCTTCCAAATTATGAGTTTTTTCTACAAAAATCAATTTCCGGTTTCTTTCAGAATCTCTTTTTAAAGGTAGAACACATTTCACAGTTGAATATCGCCGAGATACCCTTTAGTTTTTGTTTCAAAGGAGCATTAACAAAAGGATATAAAGTCGTTAGGGCTTAAGAGCATATTTCTTTTGAAAGATTGATCTTTTTAAAAATATGAGTATTAAGGGGATACCCTTAGAAAAATTTTGAAAATTATTTTTTTATAAAAAATATTTGTGTAAAATTCCTAAAAATAGCTTTCGAAAACCTTTTCTTCTTCTATTTACTAATAACAAATGTTGAAAAAACGTGGCGGCGATGCGTGGAGTAGGGGCAACCCAAGAGCTTGGTTTGGGATCAACACTGGCCGCTGTTTTGCGTTACGACATGTTAGACACCAAAACAGTCGCACCCCGACGTAATTATGAAACCGATCTAATCCCCCAAACGGCTAATCCCAAATATTAAATGCTCCCTTCTTAGAACCCACGCTTGGAACCACGAGAAACATGAAGACTTTTAAAAAAATTCTAGAGTCAGAATTTATGAAAATATATTTTTCGAAGTGATACCCTTAACAAAAAATAATAATCAAGCAAAAAATCTCAAAAATAACAAAAAAATAAGCTGATTATTTTTTATAAACTGATATATTTATTCTTTTGAAAGAACATTGTTGTGGGTATACCCTTAATTTCTATCGAAAATAAAATATTTTTGATTCAGATGGCACAGATTCCAATGATCGGAGGTCCGAAACTTGGCTCGACTCTCCTCACCGAACCGAAGGTAAGACCCTTATTTATATCGTCGTTTTCCGAGGAGATACCCTTAAGAAAAGTCCCGAGAAAAAATACCAAGACAAAAAATAGTCATGAGATTTTTTCATTTGAATTTTTTCAGAAGCTATTTATTTTTGGATCGCGATATCCATGATGTGGGATTAGGCGCGTTAAGATTAGGGGGCCGGAAGAGAAAACAGGGGAGACGCTGGGTCGGATTTTTGCGCCCGCTGGCATTTCTCGACAAACATGCAACCAGCAGATCGGAAATGGTAGCTTCCGGTGGAAAATTTCGAGAACTAGTAGTAAAATCATCGTTTCTGATACAAGCATCTCTCAAGTGCAGCAAGGTCGATTTAAGGGTGTCTTCGTATAATGAGGCTATTTTTAATCAAGTTTTTTTTTGTGAGGAGACCCCCTTAAGGGGGTGGTGGTCGAGACTAAGACTTTTTTCAACTTAAAAAACTCAATTTTTTTCAAATTAAGAAAATTTCTTATGAGGAAAATTTCTTCAATACTTTGTTGATACCCTTATTTTTTCCCCGGAAACCAATATGAAGTTGTATTCCTTCGATAAAAAAAGATCAAAAAATGCGCATAGATTTCATGCTTACGAATGCAACTTCCGCAAATGACACCTTGAAGAGCATTTTTCCTAAAGATGACTTTGAAATTTCCTGCTCTGCGTCGAAATCTAAGGGACTCATGTTTGTTCCCCGCTAAGGAGTGTGTACATATTTGTCGGTGCAATTAAATTTTTTCTTTGAGGGCAATTTTTGGACTTTTATTGCTTATTCAAGTGCAGTTTTTTAAGGGGTAGTCAGGCGAAATCGGATTTTCTAGTGCTTATTTCTCGAAAATATTTCATAGTGACACCCTTATTTTACTTCAGAAAGATTTCATTGAAGGGTGTCGCTATGATATTTGAAGAGAAATACATGATTAAAAATCTGATTTTCCTTGCCTAGAGCCTTAAATTTTTGTATGTTTTTGACGAATAATTTTTATTGGGGCAATCAAGTCAATCAAATATGCATTTCTGATTTGTCAGAAAATAGAAACAAAAGCATCTGAATAAATAATCGATCGCTCCAACTTCCAGCCTGGAATTAATGCAAAGAAAGCAAACCAGCGAGGGTTTGCTATCGTTTCAAAGTGTAAACAGCGCTTTTTGATCAAGTGGCATTTCCCCTTCTGCCAAATAGCGATAGAACGATAGGTGCTGTCTGATAGACAGATTTCCCCTGACAGTAGAAGGTGCCAGGTTATTTTTTTCACCCAAGCGGGGCGATACCCGATAAGGGAAGATGAACTTATTAACCGGGGAAGGAAAAGCTCCAAGGGTCTACCGCAACCGGGGCAATATTAAAGTTCAGATCGAGATTTTCGCATTATCAAAAGTTTCAATACTTCCTTCATAAAACATTATTTATTCGTGGCGAATCCAGGGTAATTTTCTTTAAAGACAAGTTTCTTCTTTGATTTCAATAAGGAAGACAGATCAAAAAGATCAATCTTCCTTATCAAATAATGAAGGGATACCCTTATTTTTCATAAGAAAAGCTTTGTTTTCTTTAAGGGTGTCACTATGTTAAATATGTGAGAGTGGAGAATCAGGGTCAAAACTAATGGCGCGATTGTCAGAATACCCTGAATTTTCGCTGAGTGTGCCCAAGTCGCCTGTCAAATGCTGGTTGGTGCGATGCGGGGATGTTTAGAGATGTCTTTGGCTGCGATGTGTGCCCGCATCAAAGGCCCCGAGCGATCACCGGAAACGGCCGCCGGATAGATAAATCTGCCATTTGCATTTTCGGGGGAAGTCGTAATTTTAACGCGCTGCGGAAATTTTCTAATGACGCGCCCTGCGGCGAGTGAATTTCAAATCTTCCAAAAATAAGGAAATCTGTAGAACATTTTTTTCTCTACAAAATTTTTTTCAAAAAATTTTTCGAAATTTTTTTTTCAATTTTTCGATTTGCGTCAATTTCTGAGAAAAATTCAAAATTGGCATCAAACGAGAAAACATGTCATCCGCTTATTAAATTATGACAGCGACTTCAAAACCTGTCTCGTAACATGCCCCGAAGCGCGTGCGTATTTATTCGCCCACAGTGGCCCATGAGATGAGAATGTCATGTTCCGTTGACTTGGGGGCAAATACATTTCGGGCATTTACAGATTAGCCAGTTTTCTTGATGTTTGTTGTTTTGGCGGACAGCTTTGAAAAGCTGCGACATTTTGAACTAATGATTGGGCAAATTGGAACGGCTTTTGGAACTTGAGTTTTTCGAGAAAGAGAGTTTGACCTTATGTCTTTCTTTTCGCGAAAGATACTGAGCTTGCTTCTGCTCAAATCGCGGTTGATCCCCTTAACTGTCTACCTATTCTGACCCAAGTAGCCGCTCATCCGTCCGAATAAACCCGCTTATAACTTACCCCCTCAACTTACAATTTAGTGGCAATCGAACAGTAACTCGTGCGAAGATACACTGTCCTCCTCCAGCGGCGCTTCTTCTGACTGTAACACACAGTCGGCAATTCAAGAGACTTCACTTCCAACCTTCGAGCAGCAGAAAATGGAAAATCTACAGGTAAGAGTAAAAATAACAATAGCGCAGAGGCAACATAGGCTACTTGTCAAATTAACACCATAAAACCGCAGAGTTGCTCTAATGACCAAAGAGATCTGTGAAGACACCCTTTTTTGGTTCAATCTTTTGCTTCTAATGCACCCACTTGCGGTTAGCTTTTTGTTGTCTCCCTCTTTTTGAGCCGTTTTTTTAATAACAAACATCGAGGAAAGGCTTCAAGACCCCTTCAGAAATTCTCAGACTAAACCATTATTAAGGCTCTGTACAACAACTTGAAGAAAACCCAGCAGCCCGCTTCAAAATCTTCTTTCTCAATCGACGATCTTGCGAAATCATCAAGCTTTTCTCCTCAATCAACTCCTTTCGCCACCTCCTTGGCGCAAAACGCAATCAACCCCTTCGCGTTCCAGCACCAAGAACTCTACCGAAAAGCGATTGAGAACTTGAAAAGCTCTGGTAATCCTCCCAGCACGCCAAATCCAATCGCTCCTCATCCTCACAACGAAAATCATCAAAACAATCATTCGCACAAAAATTCCTCAAATCATCATCAACGTACAAAAATCATCAAATTTCATTGAAAAAAACAATCATTGAAATTTTTTAATTCATTTGTTTCCACTTTACGAACCATGACTCATTCTCCTCTTAGGGCCTCTTACTCCATCTCTTCCTGCGCATTTCATGCTCGGGCAGACGAATCCGGCGATGAATCCGATGATTGCTCAGCAAATGCAACTTGCGAGGCTCCAGCAGCATGCGATTCAGAGGCAACAGATGAAGGTTAAACTCTAGAATAATATATAAAAGAAAAATGAAAAAGCCTTTTTAAGAAATCCCGGTTTCTTATTGGTCACTTTTTAAATCCTTGCTTCTCATTTGTTCAATGTTTCATAACGATCTTCTGATTGGCTGACCTTAAAAATAAGCGCTTTTCATTGGCCGATAAAATTTTGAGTTCTTTTATTAATATTTTTTGCTAAATCATCATTTCAGATGCGTGGAATTGCTGCAATGCAACAACAACGAGCAGCGTCATCGCGAGATGCTGTTTCTGCTTCGATTGTCCGAGAAGCCAAATCGCAGCTGAAAGGACTCGATCCTGAAAATATGTACATCGAATGCCCACTTTGCCACAAGCGCATCAAAAGGCTCTACCACTTCCAGCGACACATGCGGTAAGAACTGTCTTTCTACATGATTTTAGAAAAGTGACGCCTTTAATTTTCGTTTGAAAAATAATAAACCTTCATTTGTCTTTGTCAAAAAATAAAATCTTCTTTACAGAATCCACTCCGGCGAAAAATCGCACCAGTGTCCTTGGTGCCCGTATCGATCGGTCCGCAAAGACAATCTGAAGTCGCACCTGAAGACGCACGAAAAACACGCACTCGAAGCTAGAAGGTGAGTAAACCGCCCTTGGCACTAAGCGTCTTTCATCTCCCCCTCGATTCCCAAATTTTCAAAGAAACATTCTCAAGCACCCCGTTTTACGGCCGTTTCCTCTTTTTTCAAGTTTTATTCCCATCAAGAAAAAAAAAGACAAACAAAGAAAAGGAATCAATTTTTGTCATTGTCAATTTCAATTTTTTAAAATAAAATATTCAGAAACGCTGCATATCTCGATAAAAAGCGACAAAATGAAATCGACGCGATGCGCCGCCTGCATCAGTTTTCCGTCAATCAACTTGCCATTTCTGCCATCCCGAAAACCGAGGGTCAGAAAGATGTGGATTCTGGATGCGAAAGTCCTGAAGAACTCTCTAGCAAGGTAACTATCCATACTTATTTACAATTTTTATTGAAAAAAATGACTCAATAAGAAAATTTTTAAAAGGCTAAATTTGTTCCTACACGGGAAACCCTCGATAACAAAATAATTCATCAAGCCTCCTGATTGGCTGAGCTAAAAAATGAGCTTTATCTTTTAATTTATGCAAAATCTTGTTTTTTCTGGAGATTTTCTTTCAAAAATATTTTTTTTTCTTCCATCAAAATCTCTTATTCCAATTTCTAGGGCTCCTCTCCTCGGCAAAACTGCTGCCCCTCTTCATCGGACTCCTCCAGCGCTTCGGATCGCCACACATCGAAGGAATCCGACACTTCGTTTTCGATCATCGAAATCGAGTAAACCAATGAGAAAGATGCTAAAGATTATTTTCAAGTTCAAACTTCATCCTCTTGAATGTTCTCTATTTTTTACCACCGACGCAAAATGTCTTCCTGTTTTCAAGTTCCTGTACATTTTTTTCACAACAATCGCTCAGAGTACACAAAATTTAGTCTTGTTCATAAGAAATTCTTACAAGTTATAATTTACGATCACTTTTTTGCTTATTTATGATTTTTTTTTCCGATCGAAGAATTTCAATGAAAGAGGGGCTTAGTTACGGCCTCAGATTTTCCAATTCTTTGATGACTGTACATTTATTAATAATAAATATTATTGCATAAGGTACTTTTCATTTCATATGAGTCATCATCGATTAAATTTCGGCATCATTTTATAATGCCAAGTCGTAAAATGCATTGTTTTGAATCAGAATTTTCAGAAGAGAAAAATGTCAAAAATAAAAGGTAATGCGGTTGAATCGAAAAAGTTTTCTGATAAAGATGCTTTATGATAGTAATTGGATGCGGATTTGGCCGAACAGGGACTCTAAGTCTGAAAACAGCGCTTGATGATCTTGGTGAGTCTTCCTTGATTGCAAATTTTAAAAAGCCGAACTCGACATTTTTAACCTTTTTCTTAAGGCTTTGGGCCAACCTATCATATGTTCGAAAACATCAAAAACAACGACAACGAATTCTGGACCAAAATCGGCCTCGAAAAAGACCCGAAAATCCGCCACAAACTTCTCAAGGAATTTTTCGACGGCTCAATTTACAACAGCACAGTCGATTTTCCCGGAAATGTATTTTTTCAAGATCTGATGGAAATTTATCCAGATGCAAAAGTGATTTTGACCGTTCGAGATTCGCCGGATATTTGGGCAAAATCAGCGCAAGAGACGATTTTTGGATACGAAAGTGGATCGAGATGGAGTTTTGAAAGACTGCCGGTTGTGAAGGAGATGTTGAGATTTGTGCCAGGAATGGGGTCTTATCAGCTGACGAAACTTATTGAGACGAATATTTCAAGGTAGATTTTAATCATTATTTTTTTGAGAAATTTTTTTCAGAATGTTTCTTTGCGAAAATCCTGCTTACTCCCTTTCTGGGCTTTCTGAAGCTTATTCTGACTGGATCATTTTCTGCAAGTCAAAGATTCCGAAAGAAAAACTTCTTATTTTAAATGTAAAAGAAGGTTGGGAGCCGTTGTGTGAGTTTCTGCAATTTCCAGTCCCAGATGAAAAATTTCCAAGAGCTAATGATCGAAAAAGCTTCAACAGCTGGCACATGCTTATCCAAGAAGGAAAAGTAATAATCGCATTCCTTTCATTTTACTCTGCATTTTTATATCTGTTGCTCAAATTGTTTTCATGAAAATAAAACCGACGACGCATACTCAAAGCTGACCATTTTGACGCTTGACCTATTTTGCTGCCATACTCGAGCGATTTTTCTGTTTATAAGCAGTCCTAAAACTGAAAAAGTCATCATTTGAACAAAATCAAAAAGAGAAGCAGTTTAAAGAAATCGCTGACACTCTGAGCTGGGATGAAGGTTATCGGCTGTGGCTTTGGTCGGACAGGAACCCTTAGTCTGAAAACAGCGCTTGATGATCTAGGTAGGTGAGTCTTTCTTGATTTTATTGTCTTTCCAACTTTTAGGCTTTGGCCCGACATATCATATGTTCGAAAACATAAAGAACAATGACAGCAACTTCTGGACAAAAGTCGGGCTCGAGAAAGACCCAAAACGTCGACAACAATTTTTGAAAAAATTCTTCGACGAGTCAACTTATCAAAGCACGGTCGACTTTCCTGGAAATGTCTTTTTCCAAGACTTGATGGAAATTTATCCAGATGCAAAAGTGATCTTGTCGGTTCGAGATTCGCCGGAAATTTGGGCAAAATCGGCGCAAGCGACGATTTTCGGCTACGAAAGTGGATCGAGGTGGAGTTTCGAAAGACTGCCGGTGGTCAAGGAGCTTTTGAGATTTATTCCGGGAATCGGGTCTTATCAGTTGACAAAAATGATTGAGACAAATGTTCCAAGGTATAATAAAAAGGGACTTTAAAGCCATCTTTTCTATCAATTCATCTAACAGTCTTTATCAGAATGTATCTTGGAAAAGAACCCGACTACTCTGTTGCTGGGCTCGCTGATACGTATTCTTCTTGGAGCGAATTCTGCGAAGCTGAAATTTCAGAAGAAAAGCTTTTGATTTTCAATGTCAAAGAAGGGTGGAAACCACTTTGCCAATTTCTCCAAGTTCCATTTCCCGATGAAATTTTTCCAAGAGCGAATGATCGAAAAACTTTCAACAACTTGCACATTGTCAAACAAGAGGGAAGAGTCATCATTGCCGTTTTCGTTCTTTACTTTTTTCTTCTTTTCGCTGTTTTCGAGCTATTTTTCTAAAATTGAGAAAATACAGTACAGACGAAAAAATGACGATGATTTGGTTAGATCAAAATATTTGCATGATGTTTATTTGCGCTCTTGAAAGTCGGGCCAGTTTTTTCGGAAAGAAAAATAAAAAAAATTTAAGAAATGAAAATTTTGTTTTTTATTTTCCAACTCATTTTGGCAAGATATAATTCTATAAAATGCGTCGCATTGGAACTTAAATGCTCTGGCTCAGCATTTTCTTCCCGTTTTCACGGACGCTGCGTTCGTGCATATGCAGTATTCCGTACGTTGGAAGGGCAGGATTTGAATTTTAACGGTGTCTGCAATTTATCACTTTTCACAATTTATCCGCAGAGGATTCGAGGCGGAGAAGTAAGAAATGTATTTGAGCCGTGAAAAAAATTTTTCTAGTGCGGGAACACCGCCGAAAACCAGGAAAATGGAGGTCTTCAGTGGACAAATCGAATCACCAATGAGCTTTACGGAATCGACGAGACTTTGAGTTGCCGACAAGGTCCTTCTGATGGTGTTTTTGCGCGTGAGAGATTATTTTTTGAGACAATAAATCTTTCATTTTTTAGCGTATGTGGAAAGCCAAACTCGCGAATTCCGCTGGAACGCTGATTCTCGAAAATTTGAAATCATAAATGCTTATGGAATGTACTGAAAAAAAAAACTTGAAAAAAAAACAAAAATGGTGGCTTGATTTTTTAATAATATATATTATAGTATATAAAATTATTATTGTACAGTTTTTTTCCTCTTTTGTGGACCCCAACTTTGTGGACATTTTCTTCATTTTAAGGGGTTTATGTGGGACACTTTTGCAAAGATGATGTTCCACTTTTGTGGACATTTTCCCTGGTGAAAAAATTTTAGAGGTAAAAATAGCGTATTTTTTCAAAAATCTTTTGTTTTTTCTAAGACTTTAATGGCTTTTGAGGATCATTTAACAGACTTTAGTAAAAAAGGAGCAAGAAAATACGTTTCAAGGATGAAATTTCCTATTTTTACATAGAAACTAATGGGACCGAAAAATTTTAAGCCTCTACGGTGGAACATTTTTTTGGAGACTCTTGCCCACTTTTGTGGACATTTTTGAGAAAATTTGGGACAAAAAATGTCCACAAAAGAGGAAAATAACTGTACCATTATTATTGAACGGTTTTCATATAAATATTTTCGGCTCAGGGTTCCAATTTTTCCGAAAAATTCGGCATAAAAATGGACTCAAATTAAACATTTGAGACTTGGCAAAGAGCAATGACTATACGATGAGCAAGCGAAAGGCTGCGCGAGATTTTCGGAAATTGACTGATTGAGCGAGTGACATTTGAGCGAGATCTAAGCGACGTTTGAGCGGTATTTAAGCGAGGCTCACGCTCAGATGTCGTCGAATTCTACCTCCTTTTCCTTCATGGAGGTCATAAATAGTCGTGGAATAATGTGCAGCATATAATTTTCGTTTTTATCAATGATTTATTCTTTATCCAATTTTATTTTTCATTTAAGCATTTAACCTGACTCAGGTTTAAAACACAGGTCGTCGAGCCCACCTTCGACGATTTCGCCTCATGATTTCAGAAATCAAAATATTTGCTTGTTGTTTATTTGCGCTCTTTGAATTCGTGTCAGTTCTCTTCGAAAAGCAAAATAAAAAAATTGAGAAATGAAAATTTTGCTTTTTCTTTTCCAACTTATTTTGGCAAGTTATAATTCTATTCGTTGCGTCGCATTGGAACTCAAATGCTCTGGCTCAACGTTTTCTTACCGTTTTCACGGTGGCTGCGTTCGTGCATACCGAACTTTGGGAAAGCAGGATTTGAATTTTAACGGTGTCTGCAATTTATCACTTTCGGAACTGCGTCCGCCGAGGATTCGAGAAGGAGAAGTAAGAAATGTATTTAAGCCATCAAAAAAAATTAATCTAGTGCGGAAATACCGCCAAAAATCAGGAAAACGGAGGTCTTCAATGGACAAATCGAGTCACGAATGAGCTCTTGGGAATTGACGAAACTTTGACTTGCCGACAAGGCCCTTCTGATGGTGTTTTTGCGCGTAAGAGATAAATTTTTGAGACAATAAAGCTTTCATTTTTCAGCTTCTGTGGAAAGCCAAACTCGCGAATTCCGCTGGAACTCCTTGAAAGGAAAATTTGAAATTATCAATGCTTTTGGAATGTACTGAATACAAACATGAAAAATGACAAAAAAATGACGGCTCATTTATCAACATTTTATTCAACATTTTTTATCTAAATATTTTCGGCCTATTAATAAATTTGCAGCAGAAATTCACCCAAAAGACGAGCAAGAGCAGGACTCCTAAAAAACAAAAATTTGTCTTTTTGCCTCTTTTTTTTTAATTACCGATCGAGGAAAATAAAATAATCAAAAGAAGTTCTTCGTTTTCTCTTTGATCAAAATGTTCTAAAAGCGCCTCTTTTAGTTTCATTCTTTCGCGAAAATAAAATTCAATCTGGCGTATCGGAAAAAATCGACTGGGAGAAGAGGATGATCTGCGGTGGATAAACGTCAAATGAAAGACAATATGGCGGCTCGGATCATCTAATTTGTTTTTAAGAAAAAAATATTTTTAATAAAAAATTTAAAAAGCAAATTTGAAATTGTTTCTAGAGGCGCAAGAAATACAATCAATCTAGAAGGGGACAATCAGTGAAAGGCACTTGCGTAATCAAAAAGGCAGCACGAAGTTGAGGCCTGACATTGAACGAGACAAACCTTGGGGCGAATTTTGGCCAACAAAGATCTTAACAATTTTTTTTTTGTTTTCGGCTTTTTCAGGGCTGTTTGTTCAAGAGAGACCTTCGATTTTTCGAATTCAAAAGGTAATTACAAATGTTATGGAAAAGTGGCTCGATTAATCTGGCTGTCTGGTAGACAGTTAATGTTGACGTTAGTTTTTAAATTAAATTTTTGATTAAAAATATAAATTCGAATTTTTTTCGTTTTTTTCCTTAAAAGTAAATCATTTTTAATAACAAAAACTAAAAAAATAACATTCTACAAAAATGAATGTATCCTTCTTCGGAAAAATAATGCTTTTATTGAAAAATAGACGTTTTTACGTCCACTCTCCATTTTTTACCCGCTATCGAATTGTCCCGCGGCGGTGGGTGTGATGCACCTTTTTCAACCCTTTCTTTATATTTTTTCCTTCCAAACTCCTAAATCCATCTCCCAAGAGACAAGAATTAAACAAGTAAAGTAGTTTTTAACCAGCGAGTTTCACTGTTTTTCATGTAAAAAATGAGTTTGTTTTAGATTTGGTAGACAAAAGAAAGAGAAAAAAGAAGAGGAAGTGACTGTTACTACTCATGGGAATAAGCTTGCTCAGGAAGAAGGTTTTCCTTGGTTATCTTGGACAGGTTCGACATGCTTCTCAGGAACGGGCTTCTTTTTTATCTCCTACGGGTGTATCTTCGTTATTTTTTTCTTCAAGAACCCGATTTTTTCTGAAAATAAGCCCCAAAAAAGCAACAAAGAAAAATTCAAAAAGTGCTGGTAGCGAATCGTGGAGAAATCGCTATTCGAATTTTCAGAAAAGGTGCAATTTTTTGAACTTGGGAGTTTATTTGATGGAGGTTTTCATTTTATCATTGGATTGTCTTTTTTACTGAGGGATAGAAGAAATTTTTTTATCGAATCTTTTTAGCTCGATTTTTACAGGCGGAGAAAACTGATTTTTCGCATGTTTTTGGGTGAAAGAAAGTGGTGAAGAAAGGCACTTTTGAATTCTTGGATTAGAATTTTCCAACGAAGTGGTCTGTTGTTCGACGGAACTCTTCGTCAGTAGCTCGTTTCAAGTGATCCTTGATGCTAGAAAAGAAAGGTTTTGTTTGACGAAGATTAAGGGGGTACGAACGTGAAGACCATGGGCTGTCGTTTTTGGCCGGTAGGGTTGATGAAAATGCCTCGTCTAGTAGACTGAGCTAGATTTTTTTTTTTTAGTAAAAAACTCGATCTTTTGGTCGCTCGAAGATAATTTCTTTACGTGACTGTTACGGTCAGAGTCTGACCGTCAGACCGTATGTAAATGACTGTAGTTGATCAACTTACCAGTAAGCTCTTTGAGTTGCGCAACCAACTTCATCCTGAATTTGATGAGATCTCTTGATGTCTTCGAAACAGCGCGATTTCGCTGAATGATTTTCTGTTAGTCCAAAAACGGGGTGTTGTCGGGGCCTAACCCCCTCTGGCGTCCGATGTTCGGAAGCCTGACGCAAGGTAACCAGAATTTGCAATCGAGGATCAACAATTTTTGGTCAGATGATGAAACTCAATTTAGCTTGAAGGGAAGACTTTCTTATGTAATCGATTATGTAATGAAGGGGATCAAAGTGGAACTCAGTAACCTCTTGCTTTTGGGGATATTTTACCTGGTTCTCTCAATTCTTTCTTTTTCTCAGAGTGAGTTTAAGACTAAAAGTGAAGCTATTTGGGAACCTTGGTGCACTTTTATCGCCCATTCCCATGATGCTTGTTTTCCGATGTCTTGAAATCGAGACACCAGACAATCTCCCGGCTGATTTTCTCCTATCACTTTCCGTTGAGCTTTTCATGTGATCAGCGGCGCAAGAATACAATGAATATGGCCCGAGAGTTGGGATGACGTCATTCTCACTTTTGTTCAGATACTGTTAGTTAGACAGAAGGAGAAAATAGATGTTAGCGGCTTGAAAAACAGACACCATAAATTCGGCTCAGGATTCTTTCTTCTTGAATTTTTAATAATAAGTAATAGTGATAGGGCAATAACTTCTTTAGATCGCAGTAAAAACAGAGGAAGCATGTTTATATTTGCTTTAGCAATTTTGGATGGAACTGATATTGATGGTTAAAAATTTGCATCCTATCAAAGAGCATGCACAGAATTGGACATCGAAACCGTCGCAATCTACGCCGCTGAAGACAAACACTCAGCCCATCGCACCAAAGCTGACACTGCCTACCGCGTTGGCGAGGGAAAAGCGCCAGTTGCCGCCTATCTCGATGTTCCTGACATCATCCGCATCGCGAAAGAACAAAACGTCGACGCCATCCATCCTGGCTACGGCTTTCTCTCGGAACGAGCCGATTTCGCTCAAGCTTGTACGGACAATGGGATCAAGTTCATTGGACCCAAGCCGGATATTGTGCACAAAATGGGCGACAAGGTCGAAGCGAGAGCGATTGCCATCGCCGCTGGGGTTCCTGTCGTTCCGGGAACAGACAATCCGATTGAGAATAACTCCGAAATCCGAAAATTCATCGAGTCTCATGGTCTTCCAGTCATCGTCAAAGCCGCTTATGGTGGCGGAGGAAAAGGCATGCGAATCATCCGGAACGAGTCGGAAATCGACTCTCAATTCGAACTCGCCAAGTCCGAAGCCGCTCGAGCTTTCGGAAACGGAGCTCTTTTTGTCGAAGCCTATCTCGAAAAACCCCGACACATTGAGGTCCAAATCCTCGGAGATGAGCACGGAAACATCGTTCACCTCTACGAGCGAGACTGCTCGATTCAGCGACGACATCAAAAAGTTGTGGAAATTGCGCCGGGGCACTTGCTCGACCCTGTTGTCAGACAAAACATGTTGGACGACGCTGTCAAGCTCTGCAAATACGTTGGTTACCAAAACGCTGGAACGGTGGAATTCTTGCTCGATTCCGAAGGCCGTCACTTTTTCATCGAGGTCAATTCGCGTCTACAAGTCGAGCATACAATCACCGAGCAAGTAACTGGAGTTGACTTGGTACAGTCGCAGATCAAAATTGCCGAGGGCGCCAATTTGGAAACAGACCTTCATCTCGTCCAGGATAATATCAAGACCCAGGGTACTGCCATCCAATGTAGAGTGACAACGGAAGATCCGGAGAAAGACTTTTCCCCGGATACTGGAAGAATCGAAGTTTTCCGAACTGCTGAGGGCATGGGAGTCCGACTCGACTCCGCTGCCGCTTTTCCTGGAGCCATCATTTCGCCGCACTACGATTCGCTTCTTTGCAAAGTCATTTGCTCCGGACGAGACATGGCCGACGCTTCGAAAAAGATGTCGCGAACTTTGGAAGAGTTCAGAATCAGAGGAGTCAAAACAAACATCCCGTTTCTCAAAAATGTAGCCAAAAATCCGCAGTTCATCGGAGGCGCCTGTGATACGACTTTTATCGATGCAAATCCGAGTCTTTTCAATTTCTCACGATCGGAGGATCGGGGGACAAAACTGCTGAATTATCTTTCTGAATTGATGGTGAACGGGCCGATGTGTGACTTGCCGGTAGATGTCAAACCAGCTGATGTTCAGGAACTGACTTTTATTTTAAGATAATTGAAATTTGCGGGGATAAACCCTAAGGGCCGCCCGAGGACTAAAGTTCATTAATCGATTTGAGTTTTTGATTCAAAGAATTTTCATATTTTAATTTCACACAAAGAAGAAAATTTTAACAGTTACGATTTTTATCTCGGTCATTAGTCTAGAAAATTTTTCGGGAATTATTTTTAAGTCCGTTGAAAGCCGACAATTTCTGGTCATTCTAAACCACTCGGCTCAACCTCCGCCCCACCTGGCTGGCGAGACATTTTGAAGTCCCGAGGACCTGAAGGATATGCCAAGGCTGTACGCCAGAACCCTGGCCTGCTCATTACAGACACAACAATGCGAGACGCACATCAATCTCTTCTCGCCACACGAGTACGAACACGAGACTTATTGGGTTGCGCGCCGTTTGTCGCTGGAGAGATGCAACATCTTGGCTCTCTAGAGTGCTGGGGCGGGGCGACTTTCGACGTTGCCTTGCGATTCTTGAGGGAGTGTCCGTGGGAGCGATTGCAAGAGCTAAGAACGCAGATTCCAAATATTCCCTTTCAAATGCTTCTTCGAGGAGCAAACGCAGTTGGCTACACAAACTACCCGGACAACGGCGTTCGGGAATTTTGTCAACTTGCCCACGACAACGGGATGGACATTTTCCGAGTTTTCGACTGTCTCAACTACCTGCCAAATTTGATCTTCGGAATGGAAGCTGCTGGACAATCAGGAAGTGTTGTTGAAGCTGCGATTAGCTACACAAGCGACTGTACCGTCCAACAAGGAAACAAGTACAACTTGGATTACTACATTAAACTCGCAAATGAGCTGGTCAGAAATGGCGCTCACATCTTGTGTATCAAGGATATGGCTGGCTTACTGACTCCAAAGGTAAAAATCATAACCTGTTTCTTTTTTATCTGTTTTGATATTTTCATTTTTTTGACTACATTGAATGAATTCCTGAATGTCTCCTCTCTAGTCGTTGATATGGCTCCTGTAATATTGTTTTCGCCCCACTCAACAGCAAAGCTCCCTATTTCAACTTATTTTAAGTCCGCCCATATGCTAATCGACGCCCTTCGTCAGCGATTCCCCGACATTCCGATCCACGTCCACACTCATGACACTGCTGGAGTCGGTGTTGCCGCAATGCTGGCCTGCTATGATGCTGGAGCTGACATGGTCGATGCTGCTGTCGACAGCATGTCCGGAATGACATCACAGCCATCAATGGGCGCTCTCGTTGCTTCTGCGGGAGAAGTTGATACAATGCTCAAGTTGAAGAATGTCTGGAAATACAGCGATTACTGGGAGCAAGGTAAGCCTTGAAAAAGAAACGCTTCTGAAATCCATTTAGCTCGAACACTCTACTCGCCATTTGACTGCACTGCCACGATGAAATCTGGATCATCAGACGTTTACGAACACGAGATTCCTGGAGGACAATACACAAATCTGCACTTCCAGGCGTACTCAATGGGTCTTGGCGATCAATTCAAAGAAGTCAAGCAGAAATATGCAGAGGCAAATGAGCTTTTAGGAAACATTATCAAAGGTAACGATTTTTGCAAGAACCATAACCCAAGGATATAAAGTTTAAATTTAAATTTTCTGAAATCGTCAAAATTGAGTTAAGATTAAGAAGGTAACCTTCCGTGTTAGCCGTAATAAAGTTCACTTACACTTCTGATTCATAATTTATGAATCTTTTTAGTCACTCCATCATCAAAAGTCGTTGGTGATCTGGCCCAATTCATGGTCCACAACAACCTCTCCGCTGAAGACGTCAAAAACACTGCCAAAGACCTCAGTTTCCCCAATTCAGTCATCGACATGATGCAGGGCGGCCTTGGCATCCCGGTTGGTGGTTTCCCCGAGCCGTTGAGAAGCGATATTGTTGGATCTCTACCGACGATTCATGGAAGACCTGGAGAGAGCATGGAGCCAATAGACTTTACGAAAATTGAAAATGAGCTGATCTCGAAGTACAAGGATTTGAACATAAGCGCGGAAGATGTGATGTCCTACGCTATGTACCCAGGTAAGAAAATTTATTCTAGAGACTCAATTTTTTGAAGGATCCCCCTCATTTTTTATCTTTAGCTGTCACTGATGAATATCTCCGCTTCAAATCCCAATACGGCCGCGTTTCCGGCCTCGAAACCCGCAAATTCTTTGTCGGCCCTGACATTGCCGAAGAATTCGATGTCGAACTCGCTCCGGGCAAAATCGTTTCTGTCAAGCCCCTCGCTGTCACTGACTTGAACGCATCCGGCGAGCGCGAGGTGTTTTTCAACTACAACGGAGCGCTCCGAAGTTTGATGGTCAAGGACAAGGAAGCGGCGAAGACAATCGTTTTGCATCCAAAAGCGACTGCTGGAGTGATCGGGTCTGTTGGAGCGCCGATGCCGGGAGAGGTGATCAAGCTTTTGGTAAAAACAGGACAGAAGGTCAAGCAAGGAGATTCCATCGCGGTTCTCAGGTAAGTCTTCTTGGCTTATACATCTTTTTTCATCAAATTCTAGTGCCATGAAAATGGAAACCAACATCCCTGCCCCTTGCGATGGCGTCATCGGAAACTGCCCAGCCAAAATCGGCCAGTCTTTGACCAAAGACGATCTCATTTGCGACATTAACTAATTCTTCTTTTTTTCCAAACCAAGTTCACGACTATTAACTTTTTTACTCTCAAGTTCACGCTCACGGCAAAAATCATTTAGCCACTCTTTTATCTTCACTGTTATGTGTTTTTCCTTTCTTCCAAATTATGAAATCTGACTGTCTCTTGTTTCGATCGAAAAACTTATTGTCTGACTTTTTATCTATTCTTTTAGTTCACTTTTAGCAATAAAACTTATTTATCAATCAAAGAATGTGTTTTATTTCTCTAGAAAAAAGGAGATTTGTTTAGTTACAGGCATGTTAACAGCAGTTTTTCAGGATTTAAGGATAAAAAAGGAATTTTTTTCTCAGAAAAAAATTGTTAAAAAGGCAATTTTTAGTTCTTTTTTTTTAATAAAAATGGTTTAAAATAAGGGTGTCTCTTCGAAATTCTATCCTTTGAAAAGTTATTCAGTTTAATTTACCCCGTTTTTGTTCGATCATTTTGTTTCCTTGTGACCTTGAGTTTGGGCTCTCTGGTCTGCAGAAGTGTTAATAAAATCGCGCGTGAGGTAATCTACAGTACGCTCTGAGCAGAAATTGCGCGTTTTTCAGCCGCCAAGCACGCAGCGCTAAAATCAATAAATGGCAAGGCTATCTGAAATTTGCCGAAAAATCTAAACCAGGATTTTTGCAGATCAGACGAATAGCTAGAGCGAATTCAAATATGAGCAGAGCAAGACTTCTTTCAACTTCTACTCCCCAGGTAAGAAAATGAATAGTAAAAATCAACGGAGCGGAAATCGAGAAAAAAAATAGTATTGACTGTTTTATTTTCGATTTTCTAAAAATAATTTGACTGAAAATTAAGCATAAAATATTTCCGATAACTCATCCGAGCTTCTTTTTCTTCATTTTCATCAAAGTGATCGTCAGTAAGCTGCTTGTAATTATCTTGTAGACGAACGAGTTCATGAGTTCTTAGAAACCATTTTCAAAATTTGTTTTTTACATGGATCAAGAAACAGGTTTTTTGAAAAGTTCCTGAGTGGAATGGGCTCACTTCCGAAATGGTCGAAAATTTTAAAAGAATTGAAAATGCAAGAAATAGTTGGAAAAAGGAGAAAAACTGTAAAAATCATTTTTTAAGACAGTCAAAGGCCTGCACTTGAAGGTGCTTTTATACCTATTCGTTGAACTTCTACATCCCCATTATAAAAATTAAAAAGGGAAATGTCCCAACATTATCCAAAAACAAGAATAGTCTCCTTTCCAACTTCTGTTTATTTTCTGAATGTCGATCACAGCCATTCATTTGAACTTTCAGATCATGGCCCAGGGTGCTTCCACAGCCCTCGAACACAACTGTCTGCTAGACATCGACGCCTCCCAGCGACCCCACCGAGGCTCCCACATTGTCTGCACCATTGGCCCAGTCTCTCGATCCGTCGAAAAGCTCACTGAATTGATTGAAGCTGGCATGGACATTGTCCGAATGAACTTCTCCCACGGAACCCACGACTACCACCGCGAGACCATCCTCAACGTCCGAAAAGCCATCGACAATCTTCGAGCCAAGAAGACTCTCTTCAAGCCCGTTGCCATTGCCCTCGACACCAAGGGACCTGAAATCCGAACCGGTCTCCTCGTTGGCGGCGGCTCCGCCATTGTCACTCTCGTCAAGGGCGAGAAAATCACCCTTTCCCTAGACGAAGCCGACTTCGAAAAGGGCACCAAGGACAAGATCTACGTCGATTACAAGAACCTTTCCAAAGTTATCAAGAAGGGTGACTTGATCTTCATCGACGATGGTCTTATTTCCGTCAAAGCCGTCGATGTCAAGCCAAATGCCATCGTCTGCGAAATTCAGAACGGTGGAGAACTCGGATCTAAGAAGGGATGCAACTTGCCCGGAATCGAAGTTGATCTCCCTGCTGTTTCCGAGAAGGACAAGGCTGACTTGCTCTTCGGTGTTGAAATGGGAGTCGACATGGTCTTCGCTTCATTCATCCGAAAAGCTGCTGATGTCATGGCTGTCCGCGATGTTCTTGGAGAAGAAGTAAGTTGGTCTTTTGAAATAAATAAGTAATTATTAATTTCAGGGAGCTGCTATCAAAATCATTTCCAAAATCGAAAACCACGAAGGTGTTCGGAAAGTCAGCGAAGTCATCGAGGCCTCCGACGGAATCATGGTTGCCCGAGGCGACATGGGAATCGAAATCCCCGCTGAGAAGGTCTTCCTTGCACAGAAAATGATCATCGGCCGATGCAATGTTGTTGGCAAGCCAGTCATCTGTGCTACCCAGATGTTGGAAAGCATGACTTCCAAGCCTCGACCTACTCGGTAAGAAACACATTTGAGGGATTTTCCTTATTCATATTCTAGAGCTGAAGTCAGTGATGTCGCCAACGCAGTTTTGGACGGCGCTGATTGCGTCATGCTTTCTGGCGAAACCGCAAAGGGTGAGTACCCAGTCGAAGCTGTCCAGATGATGGCAAGAATCGCCCGAGATGCCGAGAGCGCTATCTTCACCGAACAGGTTCCCTCTTATTTCCCACCCTCTGTTTGATGATTTTCTAGACCTTCGCCGACATCAAGGCTAACACTGGCGTCAGCAAGGAGTGGACCGAAGTCATCGGCTCCTCCGTCGTCGAAGCCGCCAACAAGTGCAACGCCGCCGCAATTGTTGTTCTTACCCGCACTGGTGATTCCGCTCAGCGAATTTCCAAGGTAAAACCCATCCTCTCTCTTTCTTTTCAAACCATTTCCAGTACCGACCCGCCTGCCCGATCCTCGCTGTCTCCCGATTCGAGCAGACTGCTCGACAATGCTACCTCCACCGAGGAGTTCACCCTCTCCTCTACACCGAACCCGTCCAGAGCAAATGGGAAGATGACATTGAAGCCCGAGTTCAGTTTGCGTTCAAATCCGCCCTCGATCGAGGTTTTGTCAAGTAAGTCATCCTTTTTACGAAAATTGATTCAAAAATGATTCTCCTTTTCACAAATTGATTCAAGGAAAGATCAACTCGCGTTGATCGTCACCGGGCCAAGTGAAGATAAGGCTGACAGATTTGTTGTCAGAACTATCTAAAGGGTAATTGCCGATTTGGTTTGTTTTCGTTTCAGTTACAGTCTCTTACAGTTAGCTTACAGTTTTGATGTCCACTTAACTAGCCATTCTTTGCATGTTTTTTTTTTTTGTAAAAATCTGTAATCTTATTCTCATTAATATTTTCTAGAGCCGGCCAAATCGCAGTCGTCGTCAACGGCTGGGCGCGCGGAAAAGCGCAGACAACAAATACCATGCGTCTCATGACCATTTCTGCCTGAGTTTCTTCCTGTACATTACAATAAATTATTCAAAGCGAAACTTGTGTATTCAAATTTCTTTCTCTCCGCTTAAGCCCTTCGATAGCCCTCACGCGAATTTGAAAAAACACGCGCTGCAGTTTATCTTAGCGGGAGATTCAGGTTTATAAACGGAGAAAAAAGTTGAAAAATCCAAAAAACAATTATGGGAAATCTTTTAAAATTCATCGCTTTTTTCCTCGCTTTCATCGGCCAAGTTGCCAACATCACCGTCGAAGCTGGCAAGAAGTACAAGAAGGCGAAGAAAGCAGCTCCCGAACCTGAGCCAGAACTCGAGCAAGAGTACGAGAACGAAAATGAGATGGAGAAAGAAGGACCTCAAAATGACTGTAGGTTCATAATAAAAGATTTTACTTTATTGAAATTCTAGTGATGCTTTTCGCCTTGATGGTTGGCGGAGTTTGGCTGGCGCTGATTGGCATTCGACGGGTTTCTAGAGCTTTTTGTGGATCTGTCAATATTGAGGTAGAAATCAAATCTTGAAAAAAACTTCTTCATCTATCATTTTCAGACTTTTGGAATCTTCCTTGCCGTCGCCATGTCCTACTACTGCTACTCTGGAAACCCTGAGCTTTTCTCAACCATGGTTAAACTCACGTCTTTCTTAAATCACAACAGTATCTCTAGAATGGAAACTTCACCAAGCTCCTCGCCTCGAAATCTGCTCCTGATTTCGGTGCCGCGGCGATGGAAGTGTTCCGGAACTTGGCTCAAATTCTCCTCGTTGTTTTCAAAGACGGATTTACCTGCATTTCTGGTCTTTTCAATTCTGCTCAGAATTCTTTCAACCCTGTCAAGAAGTGAAAATTAGAATAAAAATCACCAAAAAAGGTTGAAGATTTTCAATTTTTCATCCGATTCTGCATTTGAAAGGTCATTTTCCGGGCGTGTTCTTTGAAGCAGGTGCCCTACATTTAAAGAAATTGTTCAATATTTAATTTGCAAGCGCGTGTTTAGTCACTAATCAAATAATTTTCCGAATCACCCGGAATTTGAATTTCTTTCAAATTTCCTTTCATTCAGCGCTTGTGTTACAGAGTATGGAAAAATGAGACACCTTCTGATTTTGCTTTTCGCTGCCGTCTGCGAGACGAAAAAGAGAAAACAGGAAGAGGAGTTTTTTCAGTGCAGGGCGAAGGAAAATTGTGGCGAGTGTATTCAGGCCTCGCCGAAATGCGCCTGGTGCGAAGGTAAGAGAGAATCTAGAGTAGGGTCGGACACAAAAAAATTTTTTGAAAGCCGCAAAAGGGAAATATATATGTATCGAAAGAGCAGAAGCTGGCGATTCGAATGATATATGTCTCGATGCCGTGAGAGTTGGGAATATTTTTTAAATAATTTTTAAAGATTCAAAAAAAACGTGATAATTATACGGGATTCAAGAATTTCAACTTTTGTTCTAGGCGTGCTATGATTACGATCGATAGCTTTTTTTGAAGCTCAGTAATCACTGAATTCATCGACGTGATATTTTTGGAACCAGCTGGTCATTCTGGTGGTTCGTCGCGGTTCAAACCTTTGGATGGATTGAGATCCGGCAATATGTATATCAAAATGCATATTTTTTGATAAGAAAAAGTTCCAACAGAATTTCAAACAAAACCACTTCGTTGACCGACCGGTTCACAGCGGTTCAAAACGGTTCACGCTCCGAGTATTCAAAAAATATCGAAATATGTATATCAAAATGCTTCTCTAGTAAAAAGGAGTTTTTCAAATTGATTTTCGAACAGAACCACTTGGCAAACCGCCCGGTTTACAGTGGTTCAAAGCGGTTCACGGTCTGAATACTCACAAAATATTAAAACATGTATATCAAAATGCCTATCTACTCAAGAGGACTCTTTAAAACTTACTTTCGAACAGAACCACTTGGCTAACCGCCCGGTTCACAGCGGTTCAGAGCGGTTCACGGTCCGAATATTCACAGAATATTGAAAGATGTATATTAAAATGCTTTTCTACTCAAGAGGAGTCTTTTAAACTGATTTACGAACCAAAGCACTTGGCTAACCGCCCGGTTCAGAGCGGTTCAGAGTGGTTCACGCTCTTAGTATTCACAAAATGCTGAAATATAAATATCAAAATGAATCTCTAAGTCTTTTTAACAGATATTCGAACCAAACTACTTGGCTAAATGACTGGTTCGTCGTGGTTCAAGACAGTTCATCTTCTATTTACATTCATAAAATTGAGTCTGCGACGGGGCGAAGCCGATCCGAAGGTGAGGCCAGTCTTGTTTATTCAATTGAGTCGGTGACGGGGCGAAGCCGACCCGAAGGGGAAGCCAGTCTCGTTTATTCAATTGAATCTGTGACGGGGCGAAGCCGACCCAAAGGGGAGGCCAGTCTCGTTTATTCAATTGATTCTGTGACGGGGCGAAGCTGACCCGAAGGGGAGGCCAGTCTTGTTTATTCAATTGAGTCAGTGACGGGGCGAAACCGACCAGAAGGGGAGGCCAGTCTCGTTCATTCAATTCAGTTTGCGACGGGGCGAAGCCGACCCGAAGGGGAGGCCAGTCTCGTTAATTCAATTGAGTCTGTGACGGGGCGAAGCCGACCTGAAGGGGAGGCCAGTCTCGTTCATTCAATTCAGTTTGCGACGAGGCGAAGCCGACCAGAAGGGGAGACCAGTCTCGTTCATTTAATTCAGTTTGCGACGGGGCGAAGCCGACCCGAAGGGGAGGTCAGTCTCGTTTATTCCATTCAGTTTGCGACGGGGCAAAGTCGACCCGAAGGGGAGGCCAGTCTCGTTTATTCAATTGAGTCAGTGACGAGGCGAAGCTGACCCGAAGGGGAGGCCAGTCTTGTTTATTCAATTGAGTCAGTGACGGGGCGAAACCGACCAGAAGGGGAGGCCAGTCTCGTTCATTCAATTCAGTTTGCGACGGGGCGAAGCCGACCCGAAGGGGAGGCCAGTCTCGTTAATTCAATTGAGTCTGTGACGGGGCGAAGCCGACCTGAAGGGGAGGCCAGTCTCGTTCATTCAATTCAGTTTGCGACGAGGCGAAGCCGACCAGAAGGAGACCAGTCTCGTTCATTTAATTCAGTTTGCGACGGGGCGAAGCCGACCCGAAGGGGAGGTCAGTCTCGTTTATTCCATTCAGTTTGCGACGTGGCGAAGCCAATCCGAAGGGCAGGCCAGTCTCGTTTATTCGCAGACTTAATTGAATAAACTGGACTGGCCATTCGGATCGACCTGGCCTCGTCCCAGACTGAATTGAATAAACGGAACTGGCCTCCCCTTCGGGTCGGCTTGGCCCCGTCCCAGACTGAATTGAATAAACGGAACCGGCCTCTACTTCGGGTCGGCTTGGCCCCGTCGCAAACTCAATTTAATAAACGAGACTGGCCTCCCCTTTGGGTCGGCTTTGCCCCGTCGCAAACTGAATTGAATAAACGAGACTGGCCTCCCCTTCGGGTCGGCTTCGCCCCGTCACATACTCAATTGAATAAACGAGACTGGCCTCCCCTTCGAGTCGGCTTCGCCCCGTCGCAGACTCAATTAAATAAACGAGACTTTTCTTCCCTACGGGTTAGGCTTATATTTCAGCATTTTGTTGATACTAAGAGCGTAAACCACTCTGAACCGCTGTGAACCGGGCATTTAGCCAAGTGGTTTTGTTTGTTTATCATTTAAAAAGACTCCTATTGAGTAGAAAAGCATTATCATATACATTTTTCAATATTCTGTGAATATCTAGATCGTGAACCGCTCTGAACCGCTGTGAACCGGGCGGTAAGCCAAGTGGTTCGGTTCGAAAATGAGTTTTAAAGAGGCCTCATGAGTAGAGAGGCATTTTGATATCCATATTTCAATATTTTGTGAGTATTCAGCCCGTGAACCGCTTTGAACCACTGTGAACCGGGCGGTTGGCCAAGTGGTTCTGTTCGAAAATCAGTTTGAAAGACTCCTTTTTAGTAGAGAAGCATTTTGATATACATATTTCAATATTTTGTGAATACTCGGAGCGTGAATCGTTTGGAACCGCTGTGAACCGAACGGTCAACGGAGTGGTTTTTTTGAAAATCTGTTGGAACTATTTCTTATAAAAAAATATGCATTTTGATATACATATTGCCGGATCTCAATCCATCCAAAGGTTTGGACCGCGACGAACCACCAGAATGACCAGCTGGTTCCAAAAATATCACCTCGATGAATTCAGCGATTACTTCGCTTCAAGAAAAGCTATTGATCGTAATCATAGCACGCCTAGGACAAAAGTTCAAATTCTTGAATTCTCGTATCTTGTAGTTTCAGTCCACTTTGAGGCGCTAGAAAATCTCAGAGGATACCCAGATTATTTATTTTTCCAGTTATGAGAAGAAAACGCTTTCAAAGCTCCAATAAAAGCCATTGACCATGTTTCTAGCACCTATAAACCAGAAAAAATTCTTGGAGATTCCTTTTAAAAACGTGAAATTTTCCATATTAGTCCTGTTCGGACATTAGAAAAAAATTTTTTAAAAAATATTCCCAATAGCTATGCATAAAATTTTTAGTGAGGATAAAAGCCAAGTGTCTGTTACATATAAACACACATTATTGAGATTGCGGCTTTTAGATTTTTTGAGATAAGGCTGTTTTAATGTAGCTATTTAAAGAAAAAATATGTCACTTGAAAAGTAAAAGGCGTCGCAACTGTCCTTATTTTTCATTTCTACCTCTGAAATTTGTCTCGCATATATTTTGAACCCTTTACTGCAAATAACAAAGAGAAAATAGTTCATCAGCATTCATTATATATTGAATTCGATTTTTTAAAGCTTTTTAACCAAAAAATAGCCATTTTTAGGGCTTTTTAGCCTCTCTAATCCCACGTTCACCACCAATGGTGCTAAATTTTTGTGGGTGGGGGTTTTTGACCATGCTGAATTCGGTACTGATGAGAAAAAAAGGATTTGAGAACTTTTTTTTTCTGTGTCCGACCCTAATCTAGAGCATTACACGGCAAAGAATTATTTGAGTAAAAGGAGCTAACAAATTATTTTTGGGAAATCGAGGCTTGAATCAAGACGTTAGATGAAGAAATTTTCTTTAAAAATTCGAATTTTGTATGAAAAAAAAATTACCTTTGCTACAATTTCCATGAAAAATTATGGTCATTTATACGAGTCAAATGATAAATATTCAAAAAAAATTTGCTTCACTCATCAATATTTTCCTTAGATCTTTCGATCCCAACTACCGATCGCTGCTTTGATGCTTCCTTCATCTCAAACTACCTCAACTGCTCCTCCCTCATCAACCCTCAAAGTCGAATCGAATCATCTCGAAATCGCCGATCAGCAGATTCCGAATCCGACAAGCATGGAAAGCACAAGAAGCACAAGAAAAAATCGCCGAAGAAAAAGAAGAACAAAGGCAAATCGAACGCTGCCAAAGCTGGTTCTTTAGCTGGAAAAGCCGCGGCCGGGGCAACAGGAGCCGCAGGAGCTACAGTGCTGAGAAAACCGATCGTCAGTGATCGAGATTCGGCTCAAAACCCATTCAGTCCTTCTGCCATGAATCTCCAAATCCGCCCTTTTGACGAATTCGAATTTGAGTGGACTTTTGAGATGCCAGAATATCAACCTCTCGATCTTTACTTTCTCTTCGATTTATCCTACTCGATGGAGCCCGATGTCAAGAACTTGATCGCATATTCTGAGAAACTCTTCGAAAAGTTCGAAAATATTTACCCGGAAGGAAAGAGGGACTACTTCCACGTTGGCTTTGGCAGTTTTGTTGATAAACGACTGATGCCGGCTTCGAGTGAAAACGATGTTATCTTAGGTAAATAAACTACAGTTTTCCCTTGAAATTGAAACTCGTTTTTTTAAGAAAACCCCTGCGCTCTGGACCCATTGGATTCTCCTTCTGGAGGAAAGTGTGCAACAAACTTCGTGTTCGAAAACAACCTTCCTCTTGCTCAACGAGACGGTGCAGAATTCAGCAAGGATATCAAGCGAAACGTCAAGGTCAGTTCAAATATTGACTTTGAAGAAGCCGGACTCGACGCGCTGATTCAAGCAGCTGTTTGCGACCAAGTCGGGTGGAGAAACACTGCGCAAAAGATGATTGTCTACATTTCCGATGCAGGATTCCACACTGCTGGGGAAGGAATCCTGAGCGGACTGCTTGATAGATACGAAGAAAAGTGCCAGCTTGAAAGCAACGTAGTCCGGGATGGAGACAAATACGACTACCCATCCGTCGGCCAAGCCGCGAAAATCCTCAATGATCGAAACATCATGTTGGCCTTGACCATTTCTGTCGATGAAGAAGATGATTCCGATATTTCCCACGTGGAATCTTCGTACAATGACTTGGCGAGTCTCATCGGAAACTCTTTGGTGGAGAAGATGTCTAGCAGACAGAATGTGGATGAACTCGCGGATCAGATTTATAAAGCATACAAGGAACTTTCAGAGAGGGCGTATGTCGACTTGAGTGAATTGCCGACCCCGGGTTATCCGTTCAATTGGAGAATCACGAAGACCGAACATTTTGATAAAAATGGACGACCTGTGAGAAGAGACGATGAATGCACAACAGGTAGGAAAAACCATAAATCACATTTTTTTATGAAAATTGATGAATTTTTGAATATGGATGAGTTCGAGATATTTTGATTGGCATAATCTTAAATCCAATTGTCGTAAGTGTAAGAGTATTATTTTATCAAATTATTTTTCTAGAATGCGAGCATGTTCTCCCTGGCCACTCCGTCCGCTACACCACCCTCGTCGAGCATGTCCCCGGCCTTGCAACTGGTTACGCAGTCAATGCCCCTGAAATCAGAATCGGTGTCGTTGAAGAGCGCCTCCAAGTGGACATGAGCTTGATCGAACACTGCAACTGCGAAAATAACGACGTGAACTCGGATCAGTGCGAGTCGAAGGACCTGGAATGCGGGATCTGCAACTGTGGCGAAGGGTACACAGATGATGAGTGTAGAGTTGATGGGGATAAACCGCCGTGTCAGAATGTTGGACATTGTGTCTGTGGAGTTTGCCACGTAAGATCATCCTTTCACACCAAGATCATTTGCAAGTGCTCTTTAAAAATCAATTTCACACAGTTTTGCAAGAACTATAAACTTTAGCCGGAAAAACTATTTTTATTGTTTTTTACAAACGTAAAACTTTTTCTAGTGTCCCGATAAATTTACTGGAGATTATTGCCAATGCAACCTTCAATCATTCTGCAATGCTGGAGACTGTGTCCATGGGGAGTGCCGGGAAACAGCTGATAGTACAATTGAAAGGTACAGAGAACCGGAATTTCTAAAGAAAATGCTTCAAATTAAGCTGCAAAATGGAATGTGTTTGCGAAGATGGCTGGCTAAAAGACTCTGTTGGTGCTTGTCGGTGTCCTCCAAATCCGGAAAGTTGTCTGTCAGTTGATGGTCAGAGCTGCGGAGGGGAGTTTCAGGGATCTTGCGATTGCAACACTGTGAGTTAAAGAATAGGTTTGAAAATCAACATGACTTAGTGCCGATGCAACAAAATTGCTGATTCGAACAACAACGTCCTCGGAAAATGGATGGATGACAAGAAATGCATCCCTTTCAAAGATGAATGTCAGGATTATTTGAAAAAATACATCACGTGCCGACTCGATTTTTGCGAATCAAAATCAGATGCCGGTATGTTTTTCTCTCGTTATCTCATCATCAGGGATTTTAAGAGGGTTGTTGGGAAGAATCAGCAAATGAATGTCACTTGGAAAAGAACCCGAGCTACAAAAATATCAACTTCGAGGGAAATACCGTCCAGAACTATGGAAAAATCGACATTCAGAATATTCAACCTCAGACTTATGAAAAGGTAATCGACTCATATCTTCCAGTACTCATTTTCTTGAAGGCTCCAGGATGCACTATTCCAATCACGAAAATCGCCGAATGGGGAAGCGAAATCACCTGTTCAGCGAATTTCGGCATTGACATCCGAGAAGACAACACTCTTTCTCTCAAAGTGCATCTTTTCTCAAACGACAAGAAGTCTTTCGAGGAAAACTTGACAAAATGCAGCATGGACCCCAAAAAGTGGATGACGATTGCAGGCTGCAGTACTGCTGCTTTGTTGATCCTTCTTATTGCCAGTATGTTTGAACCTCTCTCTCTCTTTTATAAGTCAATTTTCTAGTCATTGCGATCTTGGCAAAGTGGTATTTGAACTATCAGTCCAAGAAAGAATGGATACAACATGAGTCAAACGTCGAAAAATCAATGCACAATATGACGCAAAACGCCCTCTACACAAATCCAACATCAACTCACAATGCGACTGGTGACCAAAACTCTCTTGAAACTGTTAGTCCTCTCATGATATTCTCCTCTCAAATATTTTTTCAGGACAATTTGCTGGATAAAACGACTGGATCTCATGTTCTCCCAGAGACAGGAGCAAACAACAACAACGAAACTCAACTGGATGAAACTGTTCAAGCTGGTGCGGCTGGAGAATACTGGGGTCGAAATCGCCAGAAATAATTCTTTATTTGTAAATAAAATGAAGTTCACAGATTTTCTGATCAAAGAGTCACTTTCTCCAGTTCCAAAAAATGTTCCAATCGAAATCTGAGCCGCTTTCAGTTTCACTTGCAGCTTTGATAGCTTCAGTTGTTGTTAATTGTGGCGGAAATTCGGTCACTTCTTCGAACCCGTATTCATCATACTCGAAAATCAGCCCTGTTCTGAGATCGACAATACTGTCACTGTAAGATCCGTCTCCTTGGCAATCGCTGATCATGGAGTCTCCCGAGCTTTCCGCGGGTTTCGTTGATCATCCGATATGTTACAAAAAGAAACTTTATAGAAACCCATCGCTAGAATACCACGCTCTTAAGGGGGTAGAACTAGGTTTTTCGAAAATAGCCGATTCTAGACCGGCGCTCAAAGCCAGGAGAGCTTAGATTTTCATATTCTCTCTTCGGCTGAAGATAGAACAAACTTAGATCTAACAACATTTTTCTTAAATTTTTTTTTCGTCAACACATTTTGGCGTGAGAGAGCGAAACTTCAACCCCCCTCTTCGAAACTTGCAATTTTAGCGTATTCGCGTCCTCAAATTTCCTGAATCACGTGACTAGCCAAAATTTTTAACTCTCATTTTAAGATAGTTAAACCATTTATCTAGCAACATTTTTGAGGAAATTGCGTAATCATAAGTAAAAACAGGTTTTTCTTATTAAAGGGTGCCTCCCGAAAATCACGATTTTTCGAAAAATCTAGTTCTACCCCCTTAAACAAGGAAGATTCGTGTTGCATTCTAGATATCGTCCTCTTTCATCTGTTACCCGCCTAAAAATGAATAAGTTCTAGTTCAAGCTTGAAAAAACCTGATCGGGAGGAGCTCGTCTCCAGTTATTTTGTCAATGCAGTAGCAAGTGCCATCAAAGCACTGCCGCGCGTTGTATTTCTTGTCATTCAATTTTTGGCACTTGATTTCTTTTCGCCATTTTTTCGCGCTTTTGCAATTTTTCGCCGGAATCGACAGCGGATTTGCGAAGAACGGGTTCTCTTTTTGATCAAAAATTATTCCACAGTTGATCAGACTAAAGAAAATTGAATAAAGGAGCATTTCGAGTCAAAATCTTAAGAAAAAAAGGAAGACTGAAGATATTCTGAAGGCACAGTGATTTATCTCGCCTTGTAATTGGGCAATTACGAATAGCCACGTCCGAGTTTGAGATTTTTTTTTCACATCTATCTCGTATTATCCCTTTGATCCCATAAATTATCCAATTCTGACGAGTTTTAGTCATTCTGGAGGACACAGTCTAATGTCGTTGTAGCAGCCAAGTGAGTCCCACGCAGGGTCGCTGTTTATTGACTGACAGGGTCACTTGACGGCTATAAAAATTTTCTTCCTCCGAGATAAATCCACTTCATTACTTTCACATTCAACCTTTTTTTTCTGATTCAGGGAAAAGTTTCAAAGAAGGGAGAAAAAATGGTCAGAGTAGAAACAGTTGAAGTCAATCGAAGCCCAGATTTGGTCAGGAAGATAAGCTACAGCTCAACTTTACCAGGTTCGATATTGATTGTTTTTAAAATTCTAGATTTTGATTTGCATTAGTCAGAGTTATAGTTAGAGTCAGAGTGGCATTGACATTGGTATATTCATCGACGAAAATAAAAAAAATAAAACCCTATTTTTCGAAGCAAAAATCACGATTATGGTTTCTCAAAATCTTTATTTCAGGCTACGATTATGCTATCAGTCCGGAAGCTCCTTATTGGCATACGAGAGTCGTCGGTGCGGAATGGATGCGAGTGGATTTTGACACTTGCTTGACTCTTACTGGACTAAAGGTACTGTAGCTAAACTGAATCAAAAATCATCTTTCTGAAGCTTCAAGCCTCGGGTCTCGAAGGCGCAAAATGCTGGGTGCAGTCTTTCTCCGTCCAAGTCGTCCGAGAAAATGGCGATGTCGAATTTATCAACGACTCGAAATCCTTCCGAGGAAATACGAATGCTCACTCGACGAATACAGTCACCTTCAATCGGCCGCAAACTTGCAAGGGGCTTCTTATTCTCCCCGAAACTGCTAAAAACGATGTTATTTCCCTGAAACTCTGGCTTTCTTATCTCAAAGTCTAAAAATAAAAACTCTAAAAAAGGGTATATTTTGCCTAAATAATAATACAGTTAGGACAGGGTCCGACTATTCGGTCGACGTCTTGATTGTCGAGATCGAAAATCGCATCCTCGATTTTCTTCGAGTCGACTTTTTCGACCACAGGAGTGTCTTGCTTGTCCGGTTCTTCTGTCTTCACTTCTTGATTCTTTTTTATGCTCCGCCTAGAACTATTTTTCGCCTTCAAAATTTAGTTTCTCTTGCTACCTTTTCTTTCGGGAGGATCTCTTCCTCTTCAACCTTGGTTCTTCCGTCTGCTGAGCGGTCTCTTGGTCGTTTTGGATAACTTCTTCTTCATTCATTATGTCAAATTATATAATTTTAATGATTGATTCTCTAAAGATAATTTTGCATTTGGAAAATTATTTTGATTAGCTTCCGGTCTGTCTATTTATTTTTCGATTTTGCTTTGCAATCACTTCATAAAATCAATTTTTCTTTACTAAAGTGAGTTTTCGTTTTTTATTTGATAAAAAATTTTGACGGTAGAGAGTCAGAATTCATCGAATCCGGTCAAAGTCAGGTTTCAAAAATTAGCCATTTCTTCCTCTTTTGGTTCTTCTTTTTTCTTTTCTTCTTCAAAAGAAGGGTTTTCAAGTGCCGATTCTTCCTTCTCTATTTTGTCGAATTTTCCATCTTCTGGTTTTTGAAGCTCCTGGAATTTATAGGCAGCGAGGGCGTAGAGAAAAATGTTGATGATTTTGAACGTCAAAGCTAAAAACAAGTTAAGAAAAATGTTTTGACCACGATGGGACTCGAACCCACAACTTCCTGATTCGAAGTCAGACGCCATATCCATTAGGCCACGCGGCCGCTGTTTGATCTCTGCTAATAAAAGAACTCACGTAAGGAAAGCATTCCCGCTAGAAAAGTGTCATCATTGTAGACATGGCAAGATCCTCCTTTACCGCATTCCGTAGTCGACCAGATCACGCAACTTTTGTCCATGAATTTTCCAGCGACTATTGGGGCCCAGCAGTTTCCGAACGCTTTGATGATTACCCACATTAGACCCAGGGCAAGTCCTTTGTTTTCAGTGCCAACAGCTCTAGAATCGGAATGACACATGAATTTCGCGAAAAAAAAAGAACCTCAGAATAGCGATGGGCGCCGTGACATCAGTGAGAAACTCGAAAAAGATGGTGAAAAAACTGATGATGAGCATTTGAAGATATTGAGCGCTACATTCATCTTCTTCTTCTTGTTCTTTATCACAAGCTTTCATGTATCCATACTCTTCCGGACCAGCACAGGCGCAGTTGAAATACTAAAACTGACGATGAACTACAAGAAAAAGGCCTACCGTTGCGCTCTCACTTTTTAGGCGGTGAAAAATCTGGGTCTGAAGCCCTCTCAGACCGAGATTTAGCGCGAGGCGTGTATTTTCTGAGACGTACAACACCTACCACACTCCCCGCAGCTCAGAGCTTTGCCGAGCGCGCACCAATCAGAGCGCGGAGTGAAATAAGCGCCCTCACTCGGAAATAAAATCAAGAATCAAAGTTTATTAAAATAAACGGTTTTTTTGACAGTGTTGATGAATTAAAAACTTATTTTTGCTTAAAAGGGCGGTTGTTTTTTATACATAATAATAATATAGTTACATATAATATAGTTTAAATAAATTGATCGATTAAATTTTATTGGCTTTTCCACACTCAATCCCGGCTTCACCCACTTCAATCTTTGCTTCAACAACTTCGATCCTAGCTTAACAGACGTCAATCCTGGTCGCTCCAGCGTCAATCCCGGCTTCTTAAGATCCGATCGGGGCGTCACTTTCTTCAATCCTAGCTTCTCAGATCCCAGTCCCGGCTTTTCAGTTGTCTATTATTTCCTCTTGAATAATGATCATGGCTTCTCCAAGATTAAATTGACGCCGTGATTGAAACTGATGAAGCTGGGATTAACACTGAAAAAGTCGGGATTGACGCCAAAGATTCTTTGACAAAGAACCCGGGATCGACATTCGAAAATCCAGAATCGGCAGACTCCTGAATTGGCTATTTAAGAAACTCAGGATTTTGAGAAATCCAGGATTTGAGAAATGCGGGATTTTGGGAAATGCGGGAGCAGAAAAAAGAAAAGGGTTGAAAATTCCAGCGGCGAGAAGCAAAAAAAATTTGGCGAGAAAAAAGCAGTCAAAATCGCGTTAATGAAGAACCGGAAGGGCCGTCAAGCCCCTTAAATTAAAAAATCAAGAATCGGGGCTGAGACGGCCCGAAGGGCCGTCAAGCCCCTTAAATTAAAAAATCAAGAATCGGGGCTGAGACGGCCCGAAGGGCCGTCAAGCCCCTTAAATTAAAAAATCAAGAATCGGGGCTGAGACGGCCCGAAGGGCCGTCAAGCCCCTTAAATTAAAAATCAAGAATCGGGGCTGAGACGGCCCGAAGGGCCGTCAAGCCCCTTAAATTAAAATCAAGAATCGGGGCTGAGACGGCCCGAAGGGCCGTCAAGCCCCTTAAATTAAAAATCAAGAATCGGGGCTGAGACGGCCCGAAGGGCCGTCAAGCCCCTTAAATTAAAAATCAAGAATCGGGGCTGAGACGGCCCGAAGGGCCGTCAAGCCCCTTAAATTAAAATCAAGAATCGGGGCTGAGACGGCCCGAAGGGCCGTCAAGCCCCTTAAATTAAAAATCAAGAATCGGGGCTGAGACGGCCCGAAGGGCCGTCAAGCCCCTTAAATTAAAAATCAAGAATCGGGGCTGAGACGGCCCGAAGGGCCGTCAAGCCCTTAAATTAAAAATCAAGAATCGGGGCTGAGACGGCCCGAAGGGCCGTCAAGCCCCTTAAATTAAAAATCAAGAATCGGGGCTGAGACGGCCCGAAGGGCCGTCAAGCCCCTTAAATTAAAATCAAGAATCGGGGCTGAGACGGCCCGAAGGGCCGTCAAGCCCTTAAATTAAAAATCAAGAATCGGGGCTGAGACGGCCCGAAGGGCCGTCAAGCCCCTTAAATTAAAAATCAAGAATCGGGGCTGAGACGGCCCGAAGGGCCGTCAAGTCCCTTAAATTAAAAAATCAAGAATCGGGGCTGAGACGGCCCGAAGGGCCGTCAAGCCCCTTAAATTAAAAATCAAGAATCGGGGCTGAGACGGCCCGAAGGGCCGTCAAGCCCCTTAAATTAAAAATCAAGAATCGGGGCTGAGACGGCCCGAAGGGCCGTCAAGCCCCTTAAATTAAAATCAAGAATCGGGGCTGAGACGGCCCGAAGGGCCGTCAAGTCCCTTAAATTAAAAAATCAAGAATCGGGGCTGAGACGGCCCGAAGGGCCGTCAAGCCCCTTAAATTAAAAATCAAGAATCGGGGCTGAGACGGCCCGAAGGGCCGTCAAGCCCCTTAAATTAAAAATCAAGAATCGGGGCTGAGACGGCCCGAAGGGCCGTCAAGCCCCTTAAATTAAAATCAAGAATCGGGGCTGAGACGGCCCGAAGGGCCGTCAAGTCCCTTAAATTAAAAAATCAAGAATCGGGGCTGAGACGGCCCGAAGGGCCGTCAAGCCCCTTAAATTAAAAAATCAAGAATCGGGGCTGAGACGGCCCGAAGGGCCGTCAAGCCCCTTAAATTAAAAAATCAAGAATCGGGGCTGAGACGGCCCGAAGGGCCGTCAAGTCCCTTAAATTAAAAAATCAAGAATCGGGGCTGAGACGGCCCGAAGGGCCGTCAAGTCCCTTAAATTAAAAAATCAAGAATCGGGGCTGAGACGGCCCGAAGGGCCGTCAAGCCCCTTAAATATAAAAATCAAGAATCGGGGCTGAGACGGCCCGAAGGGCCGTCAAGCCCCTTAAATTAAAAAATCAAGAATCGGGGCTGAGACGGCCCGAAGGGCCGTCAAGCCCCTTAAATTAAAAAATCAAGAATCGGGGCTGAGACGGCCCGAAGGGCCGTCAAGCCCCTTAAATTAAAAAATCAAGAATCGGGGCTGAGACGGCCCGAAGGGCCGTCAAGTCCCTTAAATTAAAAATCAAGAATCGGGGCTGAGACGGCCCGAAGGGCCGTCAAGCCCCTTAAATTAAAAATCAAGAATCGGGGCTGAGACGGCCCGATGGGCCGTCAAGCCCCTTAAATTAAAAAATCAAGAATCGGGGCTGAGACGGCCCGAAGGGCCGTCAAGCCCCTTAAATTAAAAAATCAAGAATCGGGGCTGAGACGGCCCGAAGGGCCGTCAAGCCCCTTAAATTAAAAAATCAAGAATCGGGGCTGAGACGGCCCGAAGGGCCGTCAAGCCCCTATAATTAAAAAAACAAGAATCGGGGCTGAGACGGCCCGAAGGGCCGTCAAGCCCCTTAAATTAAAAAATTTAAAAGAGTGAGCTGAGTGAACTGATTTTCGAAAATGAATTTATCTGCTCAGCTCTGCTCAGACAATTATCACTCAGCTAAGCTTAGGCTAGCTCAATTATTCACGAACATGATCTATTCTGCTTAGCTTAGCTTATCTTAGACAAGTTTCATTCAGCTCAGCTTAAGGATTATAACATATTTTCACTACTTAAAAACAGTAAAATACAGCTCAACCCAGCTCACTCAGCTCAGCTCACCTCTAATTAGGGTGCGCTCAGCTAAGCTCAGCTCAATAACCTCTCAAAATGGCCAGCTCAGCTCAGCTCAGTGAGCTCCAAAATTGGCGTGCTCAGCTCAGCTCAGAGAATTTATCACTCATGGCAGCTCAGCTCAGCTCATTAAAAATAAAGCCAAATTTGCAACTCTGGTGGGAGATGGGAGCTGAGATTTTTGAAAATTACGAGCTCTTATCTTAATCCTGGGTTAATCGATTTCTATCTGGGCTTTTCCAGCGGCTATCCAATCTTGGGAAGTCATGATCGACATTCGAGAAGCATGATTTGCAACTGAGAAGCCGAGACTGAGGTCTTAGAAGCTAGGATTCAAGTAAATGACGCTTGGATCGGCATAAAGAAGCCGGGATCGACGCTGGAGATGCAATAATTGACGTTTGAGTCACAAGGATTGACGTCTGAAAGCTATGATCGAAGTTGTTGAAGCCGGGATTGAAGTTGATGAAGCCGGGACTGACTGTGGAGAAGCCAATAAAAACAGTTTTATCGTCAATCATTGATTGACAATCAATCTAAATTAATTCGCATCGCCGTTAGCCAAAGGCGACTATTTTGTTTATAAGAGGATGAAAAAAGGTATATCAATAGAGCCAGCATAAATATGCAGAAAAAACTGCACAAGAAAATGTCTTTTTTACTAAGATAAATTTATCAAAGAAGAGTTCCTAATTAGCAAAGGAAGATTTTTTGCATTCCTAGAGCGCGCTGCTCCTTAGCGCCCCCACAAGGCCGACCCTCAAGTCAATTTTTCCCCTGCTTCGAGATGTTACGTCATTCCGAGTAATAACCACACCGCAGGCTCAAGTGAAAGTGCGCCTGAATTTTTAGCGCACCGCCCCGCGAGTGAAATCGCAACGGTACCATTTCATATCCATCAGGATTATCCTCATCTGGCGGCATTGTTTGACTTTCAGCACATCCAGCATGACATGGAGAAAAGTAAGTTTTCCCAACAAATTGCTTCGTGACCGGATCTTCTTTCCCAATACAAGTCGGGAAGTAGTAGCGTTCGATACAATGGCAGTCATCGTTGCACTCGTTTTTCACGCTGTAGTTTGATGGGTGGTCAAAGAGGCCAAAATGGCTGACCGATTCTTGCTGGACAAAAACGTTGTTTGGATAAGGAGAAGTAACACCAACGAGTTCCGGCTGGCCACAGGATAGAAACGCCGACCAAGCATAGAAAAAGGCAGCGAGGGTGGCGGCGATGGTGGAAAAGATCATGATTCCTCGGCCGCTGAGTTTCATGCATTTGATCACGACTCCACCGAAAATGCTTCCGAGAAGAGCTCCTGGAACGCAAACGATCCCACTTGCCACAGCAGAATTAGCAGCGGTCACATGAAATCGCACTTCGATGATCTTTGGTCCAAAATTCATCAGCCCTGTTTTCACCGGAGCATCAAAAGCGCTCCCGAACGAGCAGAGAAGAAAAATCGGATTCTTCACCACCGACATCAAATTTGCTTCTCCAGCGGACGAATCTCCATCTTCAATTTCGACCACTCGTTTTTTCTTGATCTCCGCGGTCCCAGGAATTTGCCTCGGAAAGCCGAAAAAGAACGGTCCTTAAAGTTCCCCGTGACCTTCAAAATTTTCTGAATGACCTTCAAGTACTCACCAACAAAGATGCAGCCAATGCCCGCGGCGAGAATTCCAGGCCACCACGCCCCTACCCACTGGGGCTCGCCCGGCTCGATATTATCCGGCTTTTCGACCGTGTCGAAATCTACCCAAGTCGATAAGCTAATTGCTCCGCCCAAGTACCCAACAAGCGGCCCAAGCGCCGTGCAAGCTCGAACCAGAGCAAAGTAAATAGCCCCTTTTCCAGGTGGACAGCTTGTCTCGATGAACGCCATGCTGACTGTATGAAGAGGAACACTGCCGATCCCGATGAAAATTTGGCCAAGAACAAACATTGCCAGCCACCATTGAAGATTCTGCTCATTTTCGACGCATTCTAGAGGTTCATCGACGCAGAATTCGAAGTCATCGCCGTCGGAAGCACTGTTGTTCATTCCAGGATAAGAGTAGTTGTCCGTCAAAAAATGAGGAAGCGAGTAAAAAATACAGCCAAACCCAAGAATCACCATACAAACACAATTCTTGACACCAACAGTCGCCGTCCAGGACTTCGTTATCGTTACAGCACTGGCAACGAAAGCAATTTCGCTGAAGACGATCATGAATCCAGTCATCCACGACTCGAAGCCGAATCGTTTTTCAAGCGTCGAAACGCAAATCGGAATCAGCCCGAAATTGACGCCGCACTGCAGCAAGACCGCCAAGCAGAGAAAAAACGTAAAGACTCCGATTTTATTAACACATTCGATTTTTCCATAGCAAGGGGCGTTTTTCTCTGGTAAACAAGAATAAGGACCTTCATCTTGCTCACCGAAATCGTCTTTTTTCTTATCAAAGAATGAGTTATTTTTTACAATTTATGATTTTTTTACCTTTTCCTCCTCTTTCTCCATAATTTAAGCTCTCTTCTTAATCTTTAAAAAAAAGTTACATGAAAATTTTCTGCTGAAAATCTGGGCGAGTGAAAAACAAATATTGGAGATAAATACACTTTATAATGGTACCGCGAAAATAGTTTGTTGATCATTCTGCACGGATTTTATGGTCTTCTTGTTTCTGGCAAGAATCCAAAGAAAAAGCTCGTCAAAGGAAAAATTGCAACATAATCTCGAATTCAAAAAAAATGCACAATTGTCAATTAACACCGCCACAGATTGGTGTATCAAATAGTAAAACACAAGATTGCGTATCAGCCGATCTGAACCCAAAACTAACGATCGGGCCGTCCTGACGTGTACCAAGCGATTATCCAAAACACAGATCGGGAGCCAATCCGATCAGCACCGTTTCGATTGATAAGCGTGCACCCCCGCTGCGCCTGATCATTTTTACGCAGCTCTCCGATACGCGAGAACGGGTTTGGAAAAAAATTTGATTTTTTTTCAAGAGATAAAAACGAAGACTTAAAAAAGATGAAGGCCTGGATCGAAATATATCTTCAAAAAAATATAAATTATTAAGCAAAAATCATTAAAAATATCGTTATATCAGATCTAGAAATCTTTCCTTCCTGAATTTTTTAATTTAATTATTCATTTTAATCCATTCAAAGCTCTCTATCTCCTTACTTTTATCAACAACCAAGGGTTTTGACCTGTCAACCCTCGAAGCCGATGGCCTCGAACTTATGCAACCATGCTTCGGCCTTCCTCGATCAAAAAATCTCCCCAAGATCTCCAGCGGTATTGTCCCGAATAACTACAAATGCAAAGTCCGCTGCATCGACTACAAGAAACACCGATTCGCTGTCCGAATCACTGATGGAGAAATGGTGCCAAAACTCGGCTGCGCTACTGCTGAAACTCGGGGCTGCCCACTTCACGAAGACTATTACTTTAGACAGAAGCGGTCTATCTTCGACAAAGAGAACCAAGATTACATTACTCCGAAAACGACGTTTGTCAAATGCAAAAATTTGGGAATTGACTCTCCTGAATTCCGCCATCGCTGCGTCAAAAACCGCCCTCAAGTCTCCCCAGAGCTTTCCTTCCGATGGGTTCCTGATCTTCGAGAATGCTCTGAAGTCTCAACAACGACGACTACAACCACCACAACAACAACTACGACGACAACAACGACCACAACAACTCCCGAATCCTCAGTCTCCGATTGGTCGAGCTGTCCGGATTCCGGAGTTTGTCGACCGGAAATTCAGACCAGAACTATTGATGGCGCTATAGGAACCGATCTCGAATCATTCTAGAGTCAAGATAAGAGCCTAGCTCAATATTCAAGTCTTCTTTCTAAATCGGGCACAAGAGTCACGAAGATGCTTCCCGTTCTCCTGCCAAGCTTGCCATGCTGACATGACGTTCTTCGAGTGGGATATCAGTTCGACAACCTTGACTGCTAGAATTCCATGGGTCAGCCGAAACAACTTGGTCGATGGTTTCGTACCAGTCAACAAACGAGTCAAGGTTTCCATTTTTCATTTTTTCTAGAATCTTTATTTCTTCTAGAATGCTCGATGCATGGACTCAGTTGAAGTTAACGCGAAATTAGGAAGCCCGTGCTTGTGTGACGAAGATCAAGGCTGCGCTTTCGACAATTGGCCGGAAAATATTTGCGCTAGAAACGGCTACGGAGAAGAGTACTTCTGGACTCCCGGTCCTCAGAAAACTTTCACTGAAGATCGAGATTTTACTAGCACGATTGTCGAGGATGATTACTCTTTGACTTACCTAGGTAAGGATTTTCAAAGAGGGTTAATCATTCTACGTTTTTTCAGGAACGAATGGAGAATCTGATGTTCGATTCTCCGATCGAATCAGCTGGTGGGAAAACGGACCATCCATCTGTCGCGCTAGAACCGAGCTCTACATGCCTGGTGTCGAGCGACCAGTTTTGAAAGACGATGGTTCTTTGAGCACCCCTGCATGGAACCAACTCGAATGCGATTTTGAGATCAACAAGTATCCAACAACAAACGATCCTATTTCAAGCACTTCATCCAGCCATGGAAGCGACAGCTATGAAGTTTTGACTGGACATGCTAAATGGATCAAGGAACGGCTCAAAATTTTGAACACCAAATAGAGTAGATTCAATTCTAGAGCCAAAATAGGCTTCGGAACTCAACGAAGAATACGAGCGACTAATCATTGTCGGCAACTACAATCAAGGCTTCATGTACGAAGAAGGCCAAGAATACGGTCTTTGTCGATGGTCGAAAGAAAACTGCATCAAAAGATCTGGCGCTAGTTGCCATTCTGATGGAAGTCTGAGCGCTGTTGAAAACGAACAGACGAGAGATTTCATCAGAAACGCTCCTTACCATCCTGGCGTCCTGAGCTGGAGACGAGGAAACTTGGTCTGCAACAGTTTGGTCGGAGTCCAAGGAATTACTAATAATGTCTATTCTGTGCGAAACGAAATTTTCCCTGACAACGATGAGCTTGAAATCCTTGTTCGATCTGTCGACATTACACCAAAATAAAATAACTATCGTGTCTTGTTTATTGGTGTTGATAAATTATCAATGATAATGCAGCCAAAAACTCATGATTTTCGCCTTTATATATTTTTATTTCTCAATGATTAAATTTTGATAAGAATTTTTAATAAAATTTTCTAAGAATTTTTTAACGACTCTGTTTCTTTGACAGCGGGCAAGGCGATGATTGGACCTTGACGTCATTCTCCAAATCATTCTTTGTTACGATCTTATTTGAGTAGTTCTCTTTTGGAGAACAAATGAACAGAAACACGAGAAATTATGAAAGAGGAAGAAAATTGCACTAACGAAAGATCAGGCCAAGAAAAGGATGTTTCTCTTATCGACACAGATCAAGAGCTCGTTGATGACGGTCAGCTTCTTGGTCAAGGGTAACATTCTTTAATTATTATTATAAATAAAACTTTTTTCATAAAGACAAGTCAGTATTGACATAGATGTCCCTCTTCTTGACACAAATGAAAGGCAACGAAATGAAGAGGAACAAAATGATGACCAAGAAGTAAATACCCCTTCAACTGAAGAGAACTCGAAAAAATGCTGCTCGAAAGAATGTAAAATCGTCACAAACAGCATTTTGTTTTTGTTTGTCATCGCTTTGCTGGTATTCAAATTCGTCTTTGAGTTCAATCACAATTCTGATCCGATAGGGACTATTTTCATTCCGATTCTTGGAGTTCTTACCCTAGCGAAACTTTTGCATGACGTAAAAAATGCCGACTTTACTAAATTCTGTTGACAATCATTACATCAAATAAAATCATCACGCTTGAAACAGTCTCTTTGAAAATAAACGGCGCGAGGTTAAAAAATTCTAGATAAAAGCGCGAAGCTGCGGTTTCGCGACAATTTCTCTGACACGACTTCCGTTAACTTCCATCTTTTCGCACCCTAAAATTTTCGATTTGTAGAAAACCGATATTATCTAATTTGATTACGTGAAAACGTCACCGCTTTCTTTTTTCTCAATTCTGATTTCATCCGGGTTCAAAGAAGTCCTCTTTCTTTTCTTGTAAAATTTTATTTCTGGAATAGAATAGAGATAGTACTGGCCAGTAATTCGCAAAATTATTCCATCACTTGTGACTGCGATTGTTGGGTTGTTGGATACATATTAGTAAAAAGAAGGGGAATTTGTACAGGGGAGAATTATTTTCAGATTGTCAATTTTCATCGCATTGATAACTGCAGGGTTTCAAGGGCATCGAGCAGAGCTGGCGACGAGGAAGATGGCGCTATAGGAACCGATCTCGAATCATTCTAGAGTCAAGATAAGAGCCTAGCTCAATATTCAAGTCTTCTTTCTAAATCGGGCACAAGAGTCACGAAGATGCTTCCCGTTCTCCTGCCAAGCTTGCCATGCTGACATGACGTTCTTCGAGTGGGATATCAGTTCGACAACCTTGACTGCTAGAATTCCATGGGTCAGCCGAAACAACTTGGTCGATGGTTTCGTACCAGTCAACAAACGAGTCAAGGTTTCCATTTTTCATTTTTTCTAGAATCTTTATTTCTTCTAGAATGCTCGATGCATGGACTCAGTTGAAGTTAACGCGAAATTAGGAAGCCCGTGCTTGTGTGACGAAGATCAAGGCTGCGCTTTCGACAATTGGCCGGAAAATATTTGCGCTAGAAACGGCTACGGAGAAGAGTACTTCTGGACTCCCGGTCCTCAGAAAACTTTCACTGAAGATCGAGATTTTACTAGCACGATTGTCGAGGATGATTACTCTTTGACTTACCTAGGTAAGGATTTTCAAAGAGGGTTAATCATTCTACGTTTTTTCAGGAACGAATGGAGAATCTGATGTTCGATTCTCCGATCGAATCAGCTGGTGGGAAAACGGACCATCCATCTGTCGCGCTAGAACCGAGCTCTACATGCCTGGTGTCGAGCGACCAGTTTTGAAAGACGATGGTTCTTTGAGCACCCCTGCATGGAACCAACTCGAATGCGATTTTGAGATCAACAAGTATCCAACAACAAACGATCCTATTTCAAGCACTTCATCCAGCCATGGAAGCGACAGCTATGAAGTTTTGACTGGACATGCTAAATGGATCAAGGAACGGCTCAAAATTTTGAACACCAAATAGAGTAGATTCAATTCTAGAGCCAAAATAGGCTTCGGAACTCAACGAAGAATACGAGCGACTAATCATTGTCGGCAACTACAATCAAGGCTTCATGTACGAAGAAGGCCAAGAATACGGTCTTTGTCGATGGTCGAAAGAAAACTGCATCAAAAGATCTGGCGCTAGTTGCCATTCTGATGGAAGTCTGAGCGCTGTTGAAAACGAACAGACGAGAGATTTCATCAGAAACGCTCCTTACCATCCTGGCGTCCTGAGCTGGAGACGAGGAAACTTGGTCTGCAACAGTTTGGTCGGAGTCCAAGGAATTACTAATAATGTCTATTCTGTGCGAAACGAAATTTTCCCTGACAACGATGAGCTTGAAATCCTTGTTCGATCTGTCGACATTACACCAAAATAAAATAACTATCGTGTCTTGTTTATTGGTGTTGATAAATTATCAATGATAATGCAGCCAAAAACTCATGATTTTCGCCTTTATATACAGTCGGAGTCCAAAATAAGGGACTTTTTTTGCTCCAAAATTTTCGAAAAAAGTCCCTTAAATTGGGTCATCAAAGCAAAAAATATGTCCCTGCCAAATTTTTTCAAAGTATATTTTTTGCGGCAAAATAAGCTGAAGTCATTGTTTTTCTTGCTTTTATGACATTTTTGAAAGAGGAAACCATATTCTGAAAGGGAAATCACTTCAGTTTGCGGCAAAACTGGTTGAAATCAAGGTTATTGATACCATTTATTGGCTCTCAGCTAACCGAAAAAGCTTACTAATCTCAGAAAGTCCCTTAAATTGGATTTTTTTCTGCCGCTGATTTTCGGCATTTTGAGCCAAAAAGTCCCTTATCTTGGTGTCCCTTATTTTGGACTCCGACTGTATTTTTATTTCTCAATGATTAAATTTTGATAAGAATTTTTAATAAAATTTTCTAAGAATTTTTTAACGACTCTGTTTCTTTGACAGCGGGCAAGGCGATGATTGGACCTTGACGTCATTCTCCAAATCATTCTTTGTTACGATCTTATTTGAGTAGTTCTCTTTTGGAGAACAAATGAACAGAAACACGAGAAATTATGAAAGAGGAAGAAAATTGCACTAACGAAAGATCAGGCCAAGAAAAGGATGTTTCTCTTATCGACACAGATCAAGAGCTCGTTGATGACGGTCAGCTTCTTGGTCAAGGGTAACATTCTTTAATTATTATTATAAATAAAACTTTTTTCATAAAGACAAGTCAGTATTGACATAGATGTCCCTCTTCTTGACACAAATGAAAGGCAACGAAATGAAGAGGAACAAAATGATGACCAAGAAGTAAATACCCCTTCAACTGAAGAGAACTCGAAAAAATGCTGCTCGAAAGAATGTAAAATCGTCACAAACAGCATTTTGTTTTTGTTTGTCATCGCTTTGCTGGTATTCAAATTCGTCTTTGAGTTCAATCACAATTCTGATCCGATAGGGACTATTTTCATTCCGATTCTTGGAGTTCTTACCCTAGCGAAACTTTTGCATGACGTAAAAAATGCCGACTTTACTAAATTCTGTTGACAATCATTACATCAAATAAATCATCACGCTTGAAACAGTCTCTTTGAAAATAAACGGCGCGAGGTTAAAAAATTCTAGATAAAAGCGCGAAGCTGCGGTTTCGCGACAATTTCTCTGACACGACTTCCGTTAACTTCCATCTTTTCGCACCCTAAAATTTTCGATTTGTAGAAAACCGATATTATCTAATTTGATTACGTGAAAACGTCACCGCTTTCTTTTTTCTCAATTCTGATTTCATCCGGGTTCAAAGAAGTCCTCTTTCTTTTCTTGTAAAATTTTATTTCTGGAATAGAATAGAGATAGTACTGGCCAGTAATTCGCAAAATTATTCCATCACTTGTGACTGCGATTGTTGGGTTGTTGGATACATATTAGTAAAAAGAAGGGGAATTTGTACAGGGGAGAATTATTTTCAGATTGTCAATTTTCATCGCATTGATAACTGCAGGGTTTCAAGGGCATCGAGCAGAGCTGGCGACGAGGAAGCCCCCGGAGCAGCATTTTTCTGTGGCAGGGGAGTAGGTAGATGACTAGGAGAAAAATAAGTTCTCTGAAATCAAGGAAGAGTATTTGGACTTACCCCGCAGCAGGCAGTGTTGACATTATCGACATCGTAGAGATTGCCACCGCAGCATTCTTGCATCTAGAATTTACCCGTTTTTGAGCCGAAAAAGGGATGATTTTTTTACCTTGGAGCTGTATTTATGATTTCCGCAGCAGGCATCTGGAGCGATGAAGTCAGTATTTCGCTCGTTCTGGATCTTGGTGCCGGTGAAAGTGGAGGCGATGAAGTCTGGTGATTGAGGGGCAGAAAGTTGCTCGTCGTGGAGGGCGATGACGGAAACGGTGTATTCATCGTATGGGTCGTAGCTTGGGCCGGAAACCTCGAACTAGAAAAAAGAAAATAAAACAAAGTTCAGAACGGATTTTGTTCTCATTTTTAAAGGGCAAAATTTACGAGCACCCTTATCCCATACAACTTGCGCCGGATTTTGCGTCAAAAAACGACTCAACTCCGAGAAAGATCGGCATGGAAATAAACGTTGACCCCGGTTCCCGGTAACTTTATTTATTGACCAAATAATTTTCTTGTGAATATAGAGATACGAATGACGGGGGGAGAGAAAATGCAAGTCAGCAAGCAAATTCTCCTACTCAAGCAGAACCGAAGCAGAAGAAGTGTTGCAATGGTTACAATCTATGTGCCTTGATCATCATTCTAGCTATAATCGCTGGCTCTGTATTGGCTGCTATTTTTGCCCCCGGAAGCGGCCCAAGATCAAGATCGCATGGTAGAAGAATTGGTTAAAAATGACATGTTTAACAAAGGCTATTTAACTGAGAATAAAGGTTTAAACATACCCAGTAAAAATCTAAATGTTTCAAAAACATCTCAAATCTTTCAAGCTACAAAAAACTCTCAATAAGCCGCGTTTAGTAAAAACACGCGCTTCACATAAAATAAGCAGTCATGTCTATTTACACCCACCAAATCCCAGTCATTAGTTACCTCATTGCTGTTTCTGTCAATATCCTGGAACCACGGTTTTTGCGCGGTGACTGGAGTGAACGGGGCAAAGACGAGGCGGTATCCGTTTTCTGGCTTCTTTGCTCGGGGATGATCCCAGGACACTTTCATTGAGGTTGAGCCGAAGATGTCACGCTTGACGCGGAGGTTTTCGGGTCGGAGATAGGTTGGAACCTGAAGAGTTAATCGTTAGTTGGAGCATCAAACAGATCGTAGAGTAGATTGTTCTTGAGGAAAATAATGAGAAAAGTAGGATCAATTAACCTTATCATCAGAAAGATATTGTCAAAAACAACTTCAAAATCTAATTTGAAAATAAATTAAAAGAAAAATATAAAAACCTTCGAAAAATGGGCAGATTTTTTCACAAATTTTATCCTTCTTTTTTTTAAATTCAATTTTCTGGAGTTCAAAAAAAGAAAAGGTTCACGTGAAATTTTCATAAGCCTGTCACACTCAATTTGGGCTATCAACATCAAACGTTGGTTAGATCATTTCAACTCGTCATTTGCGGCCTCGCTTATGCAAATACTACCGAGTGCTGGTTTCTTAATCGCGCTTTATCGCTCTATCTTTCCTCTTTATTACCTGGCAATTCTGTTGTTTTGGGAAGTTGGACTCGGCATCGGCGATGGCGACGGAGATGGTTTCGGAAGGACCTTCGATGTCGTTGAGGACGAATCGGACGGAAACAGTGTAGACGACGTTTTGGTATAGTCCCTCAATATTGGTCTGGGAGGTCCAGGCGCCGGGGAAGAAGGTGGGGGACTTGGTGAAGCCCTGGGGAGTGTTGGGAGAGTACTCGATCTTGACTTAGTTTGGCTTTCAGAATTGGGATTTTTCGAATCGAAAATTTGTTAAAAAATAAACTTGGCAATGGAAATCGAAAGATATGATTTGTATCTTTCATCAGTGATAAATCATCACATTTGCCGTCTCTTCTATTCAATTTGTCCGTCTTATCACCGAACAAGCCCACGTGACGGGCCACCTGCCAGAGCTAGCAGCATGAAAATATTTTCTGAGAGCCATTCCTGAATCATATTCTTGACTTGGCGAGTCCCAAGCGAGGAGGACATCGGCTCGTTCCCAATCTCGGATGTTTTCTTCGACAACAGTGAGTCCAGTGGGCTTTGGTGGGAGTGAAGTGACTTCGAATTCAAAGGGCTTGGACCAAGCGTCGTTGAATGGGTTTTCGCAATCGTCGCACGCGGCGGCTTGGACCATGTATTTTCGAGAAACGCCTTTTCCGAGGACGATTTGAAGATTCGTGTCGCTAGTGAAATATCTCTCGCTGGAATCGTCTACATTGGTGATGACGTACTGGTCTGGTGTTTCTCCCTGTCGGTTGTCTGCTGGTTGCCATTCTACCCAAACGGTACTGGCGTATCGGGCGACAGTGATGACGTTTTGAACTGGCTGTGGGGAGGTCCAGGCGGAGAAGGAAGTTGGGGTTCCAGTCTCAGAGCCGGATCGGGGGATCAAAGTGACATCGTATTTTCGGTGGGTTTTGAGTCGATCGATGTTGATAGAATTATCTCTTTTCTTATCGAACTTGACGCTTCCTGCTCTCTTTCCATCCTGGTCGGTGACGATGACATCCCAGCTGTCGACGCTGTCGGAACCAGCGACATCCCAGTTGAAGAAAAGTCGAGTTCCACGGGTTTTGTAGACATCGACATTTGTTGCTTGGGCATCAATAGCTGCTTGTGCTCCTTAAAATTCTGTTAGTCAATGTCCAGCTCTCTAGAATCCCTCTTTTTGGGTTAAAATCTTGATAACTTGAGTCTCCCCACTTAAAAATTGAGCGATCCATCAAATTAAAACAGCTTGGCTTCGTGAAATTCACCGATTAGCCCTCAAATCATTTGGCGTGATTCCGCTGCTCAAATTTCAGAATTTTGAGCTGCTCATTGCATTTAAAATTCTCGAAATCGTGAAAAAAAAATCACTTTAGCGAAAATTCTCTAAAAAATAATATTTCGCAATTTGCCCGGCTCGAGCTAAGAAGATAGCTGGCAATAAATCAAATTAATTACGCGACAGCTACTAGTCAAAATATCAGACCGCGAAATCTTAGACCGCGTTAAATGTCCACTCAAGAATCTTACATAACTGATATTTTGACTGACATGATTCTGTTCACGTAACTTTGTAAATAGACTTCTCGGAAACTTGCGGCATTTCCCGTTTTTACGAAAATGGCCAGAATATAATCGAGGTAAGAATTTTGCAATAAAAATATTTTAATTTAAAACTCCGAATTTTCGATACAAAAAAGGAATTTCTTGCAAAGAGCTGGTGAGTCATTTTGTAATTCTTATTAGAATTTTCTCAAGAATTTCAATCTCTTGCAAATCATCCTAATCATTTATAAGCATGCAATAATCGAATTTCCACGTGCTTTCATAATTGAACGAATCCGCAGATGAGTGACCCTAACTGGACTTTCTGCTGTTTTCGAGGGAACTCGGTTTGCCACCCGCTTAATCCCCGCAACTTAGAGCGGGCGAGTTTTAACCGGGTTGACATGGCCGTCACGTGGTTGTATAGAGTACAAAGTTTGCACGTTTTAGAACAAGTTGAAATGTCTCTTTTGAAAGTGAGCAAAGATTTTAAGACATTATTAGTTTTATGACCACAGACTACGGTTCAATCATCAAAATAGCAATAATTTCGATTGATTCGATTTGGCAAAAAAGAAAATTCTATAGTAAGATTAAAAAATGGAACAAGAACTCTTAAAATGAATTTTTTCTTGATAATTTTCTTAAGGGTGTAGCGTCCAAATTCATTTTTTAACCAAAAGTCGTGATTTTTGCCTTATTTTGGGCTTTTTCAAGGTTTTTTTTAATAAAACATGTCAAATTGTCTTTATTTTATAGAAAAACAAATAAATTTCGAGAAAAAATATTAAATAATTGAAGAAAAAAATGGTGTATCTTATTTTTTACCTGCTAGAAACGAAAGTCCAGCAACCAACTTCATCTTCTTCTGATTAGTTCCTGTTCTCTTTTTCTTTCAAATATACAAAACTAACAAAAAAAGAAGCGCTTGGCGTAATTTTTCCTACTTTTACGGTGGTGGAGCAGCACAGAAACCGTCCGGGCGGCTCCGGCGCGCCACCTCGCGGAGCACCACCGACGCGGTGAAGGGACACAAAAAGCACCAAATGAGCACCTAGGGGCATACTGACAAATTCTGAGCTGCTAAGAATGGCTTTGCTAAAGGTTTACACGATTGCGGGGCATTTAAAATCTACATCTCTTGGATTTAGTTCTGTTAAGCGACACACACTAAACTAGCATTTTGAAGGATTATCTATCTTACAAGGAAATTATAATTCATAAATACAGACAGATTTAGTGAGTTCTGGTTTCCTTATCCTTCTTCTAGAAAAATTTCAGTACGATATCATTGATAAACTTGAAAGCGAGAAATTTAACGGCTACAAATTAAATTTCCTTGATGATTTATTAAAAACTAAAATTTTCGCTTTATTCATCGTCGCGTGAAAAATCAACTTTGTCTTATTAAATTAAATCAAGCCTTCTGAGGCTTTTCTAAACGGACCTTTTGGATTTCTATATTTTTGTTAAAAGAGTGGCCCGTTAGTTGTCATAATAGACTTTGCTTATGTAAAACAAGTGTTACGTTTGTCAATGCGCACGATTCAGATTCAACATTGTTTATTTCTTCTAAATTTCACGAATAATCACAATATTGTTATGCCTTAATAAGTTCTATTCTTCAATTGTCTTCTCTGTGAATGAAACAGTAAAAGTGATAAGTTCTTGGTCAAAATGATCTTTGTCGATAAAGAGTTGAAATTCAAAGATATTACTTGGAATGTCTTCATCCTTCAAAGAGACCAAAGAAGTCTCGTAGTATTCATCCAGCGATGAGTGTATTTCGAGATAAGTATTAAGCGGAGTTTGCAACGCAAACAAAACAATAAAATATGGCTCTTCTTCTTTTATGTAAAGCTCGAATGCATAATCGTTCCTTTCAATACACGTAGAGGGTTCTTTGAAATATTTTTTCGGCACATAAAAGACTTTAGGAAATTCTTCGATGTCTTTAAAATAATTTTTGCCAAAAGGATCATCTCCGAAGAATGCTTTGAACTTTAAGTTATCAATCCCAGCTTCGAGGGCAGTAAGAAAAAGATTTATATCTTTCGCCTGATGACACACGCTCGAATTTTCACCAAGAAGAAATTTCTCGATAATGTAAACTCTTTCGTGTTGTTTTAGCTTGATTTTCCTCAAGATCTTCAGTTGAGCTTCTTGAGTTTCCGAATCGTCAAAAAGTTTTGTGATTTTCCGCTCATGCTCTTTTATCCCTTCAGCTATTTTGATATTGATTTTTTCTAAATTTTCATTTGCTTTTAATATCATCACTCTTTGTTGCTCATGTTCTTTTTTCGATGAGGCGTGTTTTTGCTCGAGAATATCAAGCTTCCCATTAAAAGTTGATTTATACTCGTCGGTTATTTGCTCAATATTGTTGAGATGCATTTCCAACACGACAATTTTCGAGTTTTGCCCACTGATTCTTGTTTCAAGATCATCAATTTTTTTCTGTTTGAGATTATTTTGTTGCTTAAGATCCTCAATCTTCTCGCTCAATGCTTTGACTGTCTCTTTTTGTTCTTGGCGCTCAGAAGAAATTTTTTTCTCAAATTGTTCCTTTACCAAAAGAATTTTTCTGTCATTCTCGAGCTCTCCATGAAGTCGAAAGTCACGTTCTTTTTTAAGGTCATTTTTAAGCAGATCGATCGATTTTTTCAGCATTTCAATATCTCAATAATTGCTTTTAGTTTTAAGAGGACAAAAAACTTTCTGCTACCTGATTGAGACGCATAATTAACAGTCTCGTGATAGGCATTTTGCGAGTTTGTGATGTATTTAATAGAATATCTTCTCTCCGATGACATTTTTTTAATGAATAGTTTTTGTGACAAAGCGCTGCCTAACTTCACTGCAAGTTGAGTGAGAAAATCAAATAAGAAACCTCTTTGAAAAAGATGAGCTCAAATAAAAGACCACAAATATTCGCTGAATAACTCGAAAATCCTGAATTACCGGAAAAGGGCTGCGTGGAGCACGGCCGGTAACTCGGCGGTCATGGGTTCCGTTTTTCAACGCGTAGCTTAAAATCTCGGATTTGTTCAAAACCGAAATTTAGGTTTTTCTTGATTTTGGACAGCTCATCTTTCTTTTACCAGAAATGTTTATACGAAACAGTTTTATCAACCGTTCAACGAAAATATCTCACCAAAAGAAAAGATAACACAAGGGTTCAAAATTTGCAAATAAGTATATTTTGGCATACAGATCACGGAAATGTTGGATTGGGTTTGATTCGTTGACGATCAATTCTATGTTCAGTTCGACTTGGAGAGCTTGAGTACGTGCCATTGCGACGACGGCAGTTTTGGACTGAGAAGATATTGAAAAAATAATTGGATTTTAAATAATTGATTAACCTTGAAATCATATCTCGCCAGTGTTGTCGCTCTAATGAACTTCCCTTGTGGCCAAGAATCACCTGAAAAAAATAGCCAATATCAGAATGACTCCCTTAATTTTTACCTTTCCGATGCATTCGTTTCTTCCGATTCTATCCTTGTCCATTACAATCACTTCCAGCGTGTAATCTTTCAGCTTCTCCATCGGGATATAAAACTCAAATTGCTCGTTGAATTCCGGGTTCAAGGTGTTTTTCTTCACCGCCGTCTTTTTCTTCTCCGTTCTTTGGCCTCGATGATGCAGCCAAATTTTCGTATACGGATCTTGGGTGGGTTAGACAAACGGAGAGAAACTGGTTAATACCTGATGAGCCGTTGAGGTCCATCGCGCGAAGATTTGATCCTTTGATGATTCCCAAGACGAGACGGCCCTCCAGGGGGACGTACATCAGCGAGATCAACAACTGCCCGCGTTTTTGCTAAACATCCATCATTTTTCTATTGCCTTTCAAAGCGATTTCTTACCGTGGCTGTGCAGGGAGCGAGAGGCTCTGTGAATGTTTGTGGATCGGAGGATAGATGGACTCGATTGAGTTGTACAAAGACCTGAAAATTGGTAGAATCGGACCAAATTTTCGACAAAAAAGCCTTTTTCATATCAGTAAATACCTCTCCTATCGGATCATTTCTTGAGAACCGATCCCAATCCATCATCTGAAGATACAGTACTCGCTGAGAGATCTTCTCAAAAGGATAATCTAGAATTTTATAAAGGAAAACATCCATTTTTAAAAGATACTTTGAAATACTAAGGACTCATTCCATTGAGGATTCAGTGTTTTTCTCCGCACTTTTGTCTCCAGTTTGTTTTTCTTATCGGGAAGCAAGCAAACCTGAATTATGGTGAAGGGGTGATCTTACTGAATGAGAGCGCTGATGGCGACTGTACTTTGACAAACGGATCTGAGGTTCCGGAAATGTCCATGGCAGGAATTTTGTCCGCTTTCATAATTTTGACTTTTTTGGGTCATCAATTTTTGCTTCAGAAATTTTTTTCTGTAACAAAAGTTCGGCGCGATTATTGACCCTGACTATAAATGTGGAGCTTGAGAAATCATAAGCAAGGCTGAATTTGATCGTCCCGAGTCCATAATTCTTCTGTTGATCTTTCTACAAAATAATACTAGTTAAATTGTTAACGTCCAAAGAAATTTTACGATGTCATTGATTGTTTCAGTAACTGACTGTATTCCGGCAGTTATTTTTCCCAGAATACCCCCAGACTCTTCCGTCGACCCAGTGTTAGTCAGCCCTTGATTTTGTCTAATCAAAGCGTTCAATAATGGGAAAACTGAAATTATCATCGTGACACCCTTATTTTCATCATTTTTTATCTTGAAAATGAGTCATTTTCTTTATTTGAATGCTCTTTCTTTGGCCTGAATTTGCAGTAACAGCGTCGTTGTTGACTGCACTGTTGTCTGGTACAGTATTCGTCTGCTCCTGACTACTGAGGCGAGACATTAGCGCAAATGACAGCCTTCGCGACGCATTGATAAATCCGGATCCCTTTAATTCGGTTTGATTCTCTCTTTTATCCCTCTTTTAGGATCATCTCTTTCCTTTGCTGCAAAATGACTGTACTGTCTAATTATACGAAAGAGGGTGGATTAAGCTTTTGTCATTGACTCAGTTCGCAAACGACAATGGGGAAAAAGGGGGTGAAAACTGGGTAAAGATCGGTTTAAAGTATTGATGAAAGTGTGCTCTCGAAATCGGCAAATAAAGTGAACAACCGGTACTGCGGCAACTACGGAGTCTGTAACGCATCAATTTTTAATTGGCTTGGGAGAACAGCTATTTTAGATATTTTGTTGGATCTAAGAGGGCATTATTAATGCCGCATTAAGGAGGTGTGGGGCGACTTGGCGAAGATTCGAATTTTAAAATTTTCTTTCTATTTTTAGAAAGCCCACATCAAGAGCATCAAAAAAGGTCTCCAGCTTTTTTTCTCAATGCCAACAAAAGTTGGTTAAAAACGGGATTGAAAATTGGCATTTCTATGAAAATTCGTGAAATCAGATTTTTTAAAGTCTTTTAAATGCAATTATTTTAATATTTTTAGAAAGCTTACGACTCGCTGAGTATTTTTATTCATAAGAGTGACTCACTTATCTAACTGTATTACGAGTTTGTGCAATTTTAAATTTTTTTTTTTTGACAATTTGAAACCCAATTTTCGATTCAAGTTTTTAAATAAGCAATTTTTGCGAAAAATTAAATTCCTTCAATTAAACCCTAGAACAGCGATGGAAATTTCTTTTTATCATCAAAATTTAAAAAAATTAAAATATTTTCATTAAAAAAATCGCGTTCAAAAATGACGCAAAATGACGATTTTCACGGGAATGACTTGGAGTCGAGGTCATTATGGCCAAAATCCCTTAATCATTTTTTCTGAAAAAATTTTCAACTCTAGTTTAGAGTCCAATCTATAAATAGAAGAAGAGTTTTTATAAATTTTATTACCCATCTGAGCCTGAGGGCTGTTTGAAAATGGTCGATTTGCCGAAAATTGCCCCACACCTCCTTAAGCTGTCTTTCAAAGGACTTTTTGAGTCAAATTGTAGGAAATTTCTTTGAAAAAATGCTCTGTTTTGAGTCAAAACGCCATAAAACCGTTCCAACTCAAGAAAACCTTCTTGGCTGCTGGAATTTTTCAAGTCTTGTTTTTGACTGTTCATCATTATCTCTCAATTTTCAAAAATGCTTTTGACGCAAAAAGTTTCGCCTGATATGGGTTCTGTTAAAAACCACGATCCATCATTAGCGAGTGAATTTGAGATGAGATTTTTATTTTTTTAGTAGGTGTTTTGCCACAAGAAAAATAGCATTTCCACGATCAATATTATTTTCTCAAACAGATGTCTATCAGATTCTATGAATAAAGATCTTGATGGGGTAAAAGGAATGTCAAAATCAAACCGACCTCGTCATCTGATGCGCAAGAGTATCGTTTTTGAGAGTTCTTTTCAAAGTTCACAAAAATTTGAAAAAAAAGCTTTTTGTCAATTTTTAAATCGCGTGGGCGGCTTATAAAAAGCCATATTGGCTCCTCATTCGTCAGATTGACAGAATCAGGTTTCTTATTGGTTCGAAATTTTCAACCAATAAGATCCCAGAATTCGGTCTTTCAGCGAATCAGCAAGCGAAAATGACCGAGTTCTTGAACACCTCGAACTTCCTCCGAAAATACTCATTGGCCCTTTCATCAAGGCTAGATGCTCTTGGTCTACTATTCTTCCGAAAGCTCGAAGCTCTAGAAGCGATCCTCGAAACATTTGGAGTCAAAAAGATAGACTCTTTTCTCGTCATTTTTTCTCTTTTTCTCTTCTGATTCGAGATAATCAAGTGGTGAACTTTTTTTCGCGAGGGGCTGCTGATTCCTTTTACAAGTTGATTGAAAATTCATGATAACTTGAGCTTGTAAGGCCGCACTTCTTAGAAAAGTCTGTTGCCCGCTTTTTCAATGCGTTCTCATTTTGCGTCTCGGATTCAGGATTAATAATCGGCTCAGTCGGTCTTCGATTCAAGGACGAGACAAATTAGCAAAAATGGAATCCAAATGCATGAAAAAGGGATTTGCGATTGGGATTATTTTTGAACGTTTAGGGGTTGAACCTGCTTTTTTATGCTACATTGGTCTACAAATTCTTCGTTTAAAGGGGGTAGAAACAGCTTTCTCGATTTTGGACTTCAGCTACATAAAAGAAAACAAAATATTTATTAATGTTAACGGAAATTCCTCATAAATGTTCCTACTAGGAACTTCCTAGAAAAGGGACTGAGATTCACAAAACTGTGACTGAAATTTGCTTAACTATCAGGTGACTCGAGATATTCCTATTTGAAAAGTGGCGAAAATCGAGAATTTCGGAGAGATGAGTTGCTTCTTAGCCCGCTTTCTCAAAAAATTGATGACTAAAAAAAATTTCGAGAGAAACGTTCCTAGATCTAAGATGAATCTATCTAAACCTGAAGAGAAAATTTGAAAATGTAAGATTCTCTTGTCTGTAGCGCCGGTCAAAAATCGCCTTTTTCGGAAAAAAGCTGTTACTACCCCGTTAAAGCTAACCCTAACCCTAGCCCTTCGTTTTCAAGCTAATAACAGATCTCATCCTAACCCTAACTCTAACCCTAACCCTTCCTTTGGGCACAAAAGAGAACGGGTCCTTAAATTAGCTTCGTTATCCGCCTGAATCTCTGAATAAAAAGGAAAACCCAACGACCATCTCCTGTGCTGACAATGCTCCTGTTAACGGTGTTCTCTCAGATCATCAATAAAACATAGATTAGAAAACAGGTACATAACGATACGCATTCATGTCAGAAAACGTCTCATCTCCGGTTTTCACCCTTCCTCTGTAACAGTTCGCTCGTCAAGCTCATTTCCAGACGACGATTTTCTTGAGTGCGGATTTGAGCAATTATCGCTGCAAAGTGATCGAGTCAAATTTCGGAAGTTTTCGTTTCGAGATTGGCGGCGTTGTTTCAAGTAGTACTCGCGTCGTAAATTCTCATCCATGATTTCATCAGCATCTTCTTCCTTTTTCTCTTCCCCCTCGCATTCTCTCAGTTTGATTTCTCGACCGATAAGGCTTTTCTTTCTTGACTCTCGAGGACCGACATGATCACTGTCAGAAAATCTCGTCGCCATTTATGTTCTTTTCGTCTCTCTGGTAGATATTTTGAATAATTCACGACGAAAGTCGGATTTTTCGCGTTCAGAGTGGATGGGAGCCACGACTCGAAATAAGACGTTTTTGCATATTATATATTTCACCAAGGCTCTTCTTCATTCCCAGCTAATCTAAGTATTGTAATAACCAGCATACAAGCCAAAAAGTCGATGAAAATCACATTTGACTTAGAGCAAAAATTGATGACTCATCAATAAGTTCAAAAGGCAATTTCAGAGTTGGCACAAAAGAAAACAAAAAAAAGAAGGACTAATTAAGTTAGTCCTGTGCTCTTATTCAATCCTTATTATACATTAACTGATAGGCCTCATTTAAATATTGTTGATAAGAGTTGGTGCCCGGGGGTTGTTAGCACGGATTAAGGGACCTGGGCGAGCAGCGCTGAGCCAAACTTCACGCGCTCGCCCAGAGTTTGAAATTTTCGTGACTCGCGAGCGGCTCACTTGAGAGCGAGCGAGCACGAGCATGATGCTCTTTGTGCTCCCGAGCACATTTATTTCAGGGCTCGTGCTCTTTGCGCTCGCGAGCGCATTTCATTTCGCGCTCTCGCTCTCTTGGCTCTCGAGCACTGGTCGAATCGTGCTCTCGCTCGATCGGCTCTCGAGCTGAAAAAAATGACTCGCGAGCAGCTTTCAAGGGCCTTAAATGATTCGGCGGCCCCGTGACTAATTCCATATGAGTCCCTGTCACACGAGTTAGCACCTCGCGGTGGGCATGTTTTATCTGTTTACTCTCGGCTTTTCGCATTCTGCTGCCGAATTCTAAGCCTAATGAAGCTTACATAAAACCGAAAACAACAAAAATAGATCCTCAAAGAAATTTATTTATGAAAGTGAATAATTATGCGAAAAAATTATTCTTTTAATTTTGCTCGCGAGCCGCTCGTGAGTCAATTCCATGGCGAGCACAAGAGCAGCCGCTCCCGCTCGTCTAGCTCCCGAGCATTGCCGACATATGCGCTCGTGCTCTCTGCGCTCGCGAGCGGGTTCAAATTTGGGCTCGTGCTCTTTTGGCTCTCGAGCCAACTCATTTTCATGCTCCCGCTCCCCTGCTCTCAGAGCAATGATAAATTTTTGCTCTCGCTCTTTTCGCTCGCGAGCATTTGCGAGCATTTCAAACTCTGCGCTCGCCGTTCTTCTTAGAAATAAGATTTTTTGAAATTTCTTTTTGTAAATTATATCTCCAAATCTTCAGCTTTCTTTTCCGATTCTAAGTTTTTCTCTATCATTCTTGGTTGATGAGCTAGCGAGAAAATGAGAAGCCCAACTTCAAAAGGCATCAAGTCTTGTAGACTAAATTTTTTCTTCATGAAACTAGCACCATTGAAAAGAGCGTTAAATTCTGAACAGATCCCACTTCATCAGCTAAACTAAATCTGTACATACTGGAGATAGAGGCCAGATAAACAAGATAACTTAGCGCCCGCGCAGCGGGAATCATGTCCAGGAAGCCCAAAATAGCTAAATCGGAGCGTCCAGCCGCGCCGCGACCAGCTGCGCGCGCTAAGTAATTTTCTTAATCTGGCCTTACACGCCAATAAGTACGGACTTAGTTTAGCTGATGGAGTGGGATCTGTTCAGAATTTAACGCTCTTTTCAATGGTGCTAGTTTCATGAAGAAAAAATTTAGTCTGCAAGACTTGATGCCTTTTGAAGTTGGGCTTCTCATTTTCTCGCTAGCTCATCAACCAAGAATGATAGAGAAAAACTTAGAATCGAAAAAGAAAGCTGAAGATTTGGAGATATAATTTACAAAAAGAAATTTCAAAAAATCTTATTTCTAAGAAGAACGGCGAGCGCGTGAAGTTTGGCTCAGCGCTGCTCGCCCAGGTCCCTTAAAATTTCGGTCCCAAAAATTACTAACCATAACCCGAACCCTTCCTCTAACCCTAACCCTAGCCCTAACCCCGATAACTAAGCGTACTATTACAATCAATGACATCGTAAAACCCCTTTGACAAAAAAGAACGTACCTCGCTATCAGTGAAAAATCGCAGAATGGACTCCATCTGCGTCGTTGTCTCAGAGTGGTGGTAAGTGTTTTTGAAATTGAATCTCTGCTGAGCTTGATTTTTCGATGGACACCACTTTCCTTGTCTTGCGATTTTCGTTCAGCTTGAGGCCAGCTTGGAGTGAGGCACACGTTTGGTCCACTAGAATTCAAATTTTAATCATTTTTCAATCAAATTTTTTCAATTAAAATTCGGCGAAACTAACAAACCAACTAATTTTCCTGTGTTTTTCTCTTTTACTCGAGGGGGCCAAGCCCTTTCCAGCATAACTTTCAAACTCAATAAAAACCATATGTTCGAGTGTCAGAAGAATGTCTCCCTGACGACCTGACCTTCTGCTCCGGATCAGAAACTCTTAATTGAGAGTTTTTTCTCAAGTGCTCTTGAAAATCGAAAATAGATAATTCTTCTATTTTTCAATATGAAAATAAATCGCTTGAGAATTTGTCTTTACAATTTATGTCTCAAAAATAACATGATGACACCCTTATTCAATCTTTCAAAAAAAAATATAATCAGTGGCGTCATTTTAAGGAAGTGGGGTCATGGGGGAAAACCGACAGAAAATTTAAAAAATTTTGCGTGGGCGGCTGCTGATTGGCCGGTTTCCAAAATCCAGGCTTCTGATTGGTTGAAAAATTTGACAAAAGACTTGTGGGGATTTTTGTCGGTTCCTTTAATTTTTACTCAATATTTTCGAGTTACCTTTTTAAAAATTGATATTAAATTCTCTTTGAAAGAAGTTTTTTCAGACTAACAGAAAATAAATTCGAAGAATAGGCCATTGGATCTGAAAATATATGTACAAGTGCTAATCGGGCGGATAAACCGAATTATTGGGCCGAAGGTGTTTCCCTATCTCACATGATTTGGTCCGTCGTGGAGGGGGGAGAATGGCGTTACCAAAAAAATTTTTCGTAACCGTTACCAAAATTTTGGTAACCGTTACCAAAATTGGTAACCATTACCAATATTTTTTCCTTTTCTTTTAAGCGAAAAACCAGAGAATGGCGTTACCAAAATTAGTAACGGTTACCAAAAATTGGTACCGGTTACCAAAAGGAAGCTTCTCTCAAAATCAGGCGCGGAGCGAATTCAACCTTTAATTTCGGGATTTCTTTGATAAAGGACCTTTTAAATAATTTTTTTCCGGATACCCTCCTCGGTTCGCCGGGATTTGGGCCAGAAAGTGTGTGATGGTGAAAAGAATTCGAGAAAATGAGGACGAGCCTGTAATCGTTCATTAAATACTTTTTATAAATAAATGTTAGGGTAAGGGGGCACTGGGCAAAATGACAGAAGAAACTCACCCGAGGGGGATAGGCTAGGGTTAGTTAGGGTTACTGAAGGTCACCCTAAGTAACCCTAGACTAGACCCCGGCATCTTAGGCCCGAAGGGACGGAGCCCCGAGGTAAGGGACACTTGGATTTGATAATTTCAAAAAAAATTTTTTTTTTATTTCTTTTTTATTTTATAAAAAAATTAGGACCAAAAAGTCCCGGCGAACCGAGGATGAGGGAAAAATTCCGGCGAATCGAGGGTCATCCGTTTTTTCTTTAATAAGGGTTAGTAACGAATTCGGGACTTCTGCGATCTGACATGATTAAAATGATAAAAAACAACAAAGCCCGAGTTCTAGAGACCCTTTTTCTTATTTTTTCCATTTTTGAAATAAAGAATTTTCCGGAGAATGGCGTTACCAATTTTGGTAACGGTTACCAATTTTAGTAATGGTTACCAATTTTTGGTAACGGTTACCAATTTTGGTAACGCCATTCTCCTACTACCTCCGTCGTGACTGTTAATTTCGTACGTACTCGGCTTTTGAGGCAAAAAGTGCACTTCTCGAGCGCTTTTCTTGTTCACTCATTTCTCTTGAACTTCTTCTCGAGCTCATTAAAGATCTTGTGGAAGAAGAAAATTTGCAGCGACCTTCAAAAGGAACTCTCGGAGGTCTCATTGTCATTTTTTTCAATTAGCCGAAAGTAAACTCGAATTACAAGATTTTCCCTCTCAAAAAATGGAGAAATAAATCTTCCCGGGAAAGGAAAAAGAAGGAGGGATGAAACGGAATAGGGAGAAGGCTCAATATGACAAGGATCGGGTAGGAATATGAGCTTTTTAATCAAAACAGATAATTTAGGATGATAAATAGAAAGAGGCAAATAAAAATTTATAGAAATCAGCATTTTTTAAAGAAAATATTTTGTGATTTATTCGATTCAAGTATTGAAAAAATCGAGCATTCAAAAATGCTTCTATCGAGATTTTTGCCTTGAATTTTTCTCAAATAAGCAACTTGACCCCCTTAAATTTTCATTTAAAGACTCTCAAATAGATATTTTCCGATACAGTAGCTCTGAAGAATTTCTATAATTGAAATGACGAAAAAAGTGTATAAGAAAATTCATTTGAAGACTCTTTTCATTTAAGCTTCTCACTCCCTTAATTTTATTTCCGAGTACCTTTTTCTAGTGCTCCTAGCACTTGGTGGCGCAGATAACTTTGGACTGTCATACAGTCTGATATTAGTACTTTCATCTTCATTAGCTTCTCTCAGCCAATTAACTGTATCACAAATCCACTGCATTTTTTCTAGTTTTACAAAGGCTCTTTAAATTGGGGTCTTGTTTAAACTTGTTTTTGCTTAGATAATCAGAAAAAATAAAATATCGAGCTTATGTCAAACGCAGTTAAAGCAATATATCTTCGGATAAAATATATCTTGGCAGGCCATAATGTGCCCAAAGCGGACAGGTCTCGCCCCGAGCCCGGGGGGAGTTCTCAATTTCAAGCGACATTGGCGCTGACAGAGCTTGACGGGAGAGGAGCACACGCGCGACAGGGCGAGTTTTCTTCTGAACAACGGCTAATGGATGAATAATTTCGCGCTTGATAAGTTCATTATGGAATTTGGGATTTAGTGGCAATTTTGTCAAGAAGACCGGAAAAAAGGCTATGTTTATTTTTTTTATTTTTTGTTAGGCTTAGAGTAGACCCTTAGTATAACGACGTTTTTGATTGGGCAATCCCAGAAATACTGGTTTTTGATTGGCTAACTTTCCCCATCAAATAAATTTAAGTCATCTCTTGAATTTCTAGAGTTATTTTAACAAGAATTTTTAGGGACATAAATTTTAAAATTCAAGAGTCGAAAATAAAGTTCCCACTGCGGCAGCATCCAGTCGTATCTTACATTTGCCTATTTATCGTCGATAAATTATCGAACATCCTAGGAGTACTAGTCTGCCCACCCATTATGAATAATTCATGCTTACACCGAGCCTTAATTGACCTCATGTCCAATAATCCGTAGTCTGACAATGCGTTTATTGTCTTACTGTAGTTCATTATTTTCCTGGACTGTTAAATAACTACAATTCCATATTTTATTGCCCGTCATTATTTTTATCTTTCTGGATGTCCTTCTTTGTTGAGCCTTTTTCTTATCAATCAGCTCCCGTCAAAAGCAAATCGATTCTTTCAAATTTTGGAGGGCTCAAATTAAGATCAAGCCCGCTAAACATATTGGACAAGTGACCGTCTTATACATTGCCGCAATATGGACCTACACCCTGTCTTCTGTCTCATGAATCAAGATTTACAAAATGCTCATCTTGATTATTTGTTGAAATAATTTATTTCGAGTAAAAAGGGGATTATTTATAACCTCATTTTTACAACCCAAAAAATGATTAATAAAGGCAAAATAACTTTTTTTATATCATCTTGACGCAGTAGCCGAGATATTGTATCTCTGATTAAACAATTTAAGGGTTCAAGAGATACAGTTAACCAAAGAATAAAGGAAAGATTGAGGATCTCCCCGCCGCTATTTGGAAGATTATCCAGAATCGTTGATTCCGAAGCGATTTTTCTGTTTTGCCCCAAAATTAAGGGTTTCAACCCAATATCCTTGTTTGAAAAAGTCGTTTTTATTTGAGGAAGTCCTTAAACTTACGTTTGTAAACGATCATCTTCAAAAGTCGGCGTTGGAGGCAGTTGAAGGTCGGCAATGTTGAAGTCGTATTTACTCGTCTAAAATTTGATAATGAGTCATTCTGATTTTAAAATTTTGATGACTGAAATCTCTTTTTAAAAAAACCGGTCTAGGAGAAGGCGTTCTCGATCGCTTCGGATGCAAATTATTGAGCGTTAATTTGGCGCGTCCGACTGATTTCGCGATGCTTGTGAATTTGGCTTTTGATCGACCAAGGATTGGCATTTCCGAAACTGTTTTCGTGTCTTCTTCGTTTTCAGGAGGGCGAGGAGGGATTTCTTCGCCGACAATGTCTTTTTCGGAGGATTGTTGGCGAGATACTCGACGGACGACGTCGTCCATCATTGAAATCATGGAAGACTTTTCTGGATTCAAGAGAGGGCTCAGTTTTAAAGGGAAACCTTCGAAACTATTCTGCATGCAGAATAGTTCTGCAAAATGCAGAATAGTTTCGTCGGAAAAAGGGCTGTTTTCCGACGAAATAATTCTGCATGCAGAATAGTTCTGCATATAAGAAAAACGACTTTTATCAAAGGAGGCGCGAGAGTAGAGAAAGTTGGCCACCTTCAGAAATGAGTTCCCTACCAGAATTTGCGCGCAAGGGCCGTAGGCCCGCTGCGTGCTTCCAAACAGTGAAATTTTGTCTCTAAATGAAGATCTTCTTTTCAACACAATGCAGAATAGTTCTGCACTTGTGCAGAATAGTTCTGTATTTTGCAGAATAGTTCTACATTTGCAGAATAGTTCTGCATTTGCAGAATAGTTCTGCATTCAGCAGAATAGTTCTGCGAAACGCAGAATAGTTCTACTTTTTGCAGAATAGTTCTGCATGCAGAATAGTTTCGACCCCCTCCCGTTTTAAAGGGGGGTTCCCTTAACTGGTTCGAGTCGAAAAAAAGTGGAGCTCAATTATTGAATCCGAAATGAAGTGAATTGTAGTGTTCAGAATGCGATCGATCTTGATCTTTGTTTCGAATAAATCATTTCGACTTCTAATCCTTACTTATTCAGGGCATTTTCTTTGAATCCTGTTCAAGTCGATAAATTTTTTATGCATTCGAAACAATTTCCCTTCGCTCTCTGATTTCTTGCGTTGGGGCGATGTTCCGACTTTGCTGTGCGATCGTTCCATCAAAACCGCACGCATTGCTTCTCTCCACGGGTCTCAGAATTAAAAGTTGACGAGTTCAATTTCTCGATCAAAAGATGAACTTTTCATTCTGGACCAGACCTTTTCACCGGATCTGAAACATGGCTGCCTGTACTTTTTGTTCGCGGCCGTTTCATGGGACTGTCTTTAGGAGAGTTCCGTTTCTGGTGGAAAATTTTGTTAGGGTGAAGGTTAGGGTTAAGGTATAAGTGATATAAGAATTTAGTCAAAAGCTATTATTTGACAGGTAAGTCAATAAAAGTTGAGTTTAAATGCGTCGCCCTAATTGTAAAGCAAATCTTTTCTTAGACCAATCAAAAGAAAGTATTTCTCTAAACAGCCAATCAGAAAGCCGTTTTTCAAAAATCGAATCAATAAAAGCTTATCAGTCAAACTGCTCAAAGCTGGAATAAAAAATCACGCTAACCCTAACCCTAACCCTAACCCTAACGAGAGTATTTTCATCCTCAATTACTCTTTATGGTTACCCTAGACTAACTAATGACATTAGGTTTTGGAACTTATCTTGAGAACAACTCCGAGGACGATTTCCACTGAAAATATGACTTTCAGAATATCTTTTTTTCGGAGTCAAAAAGCCATTTTCTTTTCAATGAGATTCTCTTCCTTGATTTCATTATCTCTTTCTCTCTTTTAAAAGACTGTTGTTTGCTATTCGAGCGAAATTGACTCCTCGCCTGTAATGATATTGTGGTACTGAGCGATCATCATAAGCTGTTCGCATGACAGGTATATCTTTGTCGAGCCCTGCTCGTTTCTGTGACAGCTTCTTCCAAAGTGCTAAATTATGCAGCTCGTCCAAATGCTTGTCTTAGCCAAGTTAAACTGCTCTTTCTCCACGATTTTCAACAAATTTATATTCTCTTATGAATTTTCAATGAATTAAGCCCCTCTGGTCCTATTTTTTTGAGTTTTTTTTTCAAAAAACTACGCAAAAATTCAGAAATTTCTAATCAATATGGTAAATCTCAGAAAAAAAGCTATTCTTCAGCAGCTTATTGAGACGTTGTATATTTTTCGTCATGAAAACGTCATTTTACGCCTCGAAAAAAGGGACGAAATTAATAAAAAAGGCCTCAAAAACAATAAATTATGCATAAAATGTGTCTTCGGCCCCCTTCACACCAATTTTTTTATCTAATTTGCGATCGAAAATGATACAAATAACTTATTTGAAATAAGTTAAAATTCGCCGAAAATTCGGGCAAAAAATTACTTTCTAGGGACATTTTTTTTCCTAATTCTGATTCAACAGGGGACAAAATGCTCAAATCTGATTAAAATTATATCTGAGATAGGGTTGAGTCAAAATTTTCGCAATTTTTTTTGTCTAGTAAATCTTACTTCGCAAATTTTGAAATCAAAAGTTTTCGTCTTACCAACTCATTTTCAGAAAATTTAATCAAGATTCTCTTCGACCATAAAAGGAGAAGGTTTCAAAGTTTTTATCAAAAGAAGGTCAAGATTTGAGAAAGATTTGTTTCTTCTGAAAGCTTGAGGAAACGATCAATAAGATTAAACTCGGAGTAAATCCGTCTTGTGGACAATTTAAAGTAGTCTGATTCAGACTTGATCATCAGATAGATATATTTTAAGATTATTGTGACCCTTTTTTAAAATCGCAACTTTCCTCACTTCATTCTCTTCATAATTCATTTTCTTTCAATTGGAGGCTCTCAAAAATGCTTAAATCCGTATTCTTCGTATCCTCCTATCCTAATTACTGGTTTTCGCTCGGGCCGGAGCTCACATGTGCTCTTCAATTATTCCGTGAAAAAGGGCAAAGTGTAATTAACAAATAAGATATTATTAATTATCCAGAGAAGTGCGAGCACAGGCACCTGTATTGATTCTGCCCCGTTTCTTCTTTTCTTGTTTTCTCTGATTCTGGCATTTTCGATTTCTCTCCGCGAAATGAATAAGGGCATACTTTCGTACAAAATTGAAGGCGGGAAAAGACTGATAGGAGGGTTTGGGTTAGGGTTAGGGTTAGAACTTTGTATTGGATGGCCTTAGGTTATGGAATAGGGTGGGCAACAGGTTTATATAGCCTATATAATATAAGGAAATTATCTCGGCTCTGATTGGCCGAATCAACTCATACAAGCCTCTTATTGGCCGAGACGTCCTCCTTCAATCTTCTTTTAGAATTTTGCTTATGGAAAGAGATAAGGGTTTTTGAAAAGTGAGAAATTTCAGTCATCAAAATTCAAAAGTCAGAATCAATCTTACTGTGCTACAGTCTTTATGCGACAACGCTTTCGTCAGGAATCCAAAAATTGCCATCAAAAATGCTCCAAGCAAACATCCAACAATGGCGGCTGAAATTTTGATTAAATTTTTTTTTTAAGAATTTGGTTATTTACTGCAAAAATGACTGAAAATCCCAAAAAAACTCGTGATAAATTACCTGAGTAGGGTTCCAAATCATCGATAATCGCAATAAGGCCTGTATCAACCATGGGATTGATTGTAGCTGCTCTCTTACTCGGTGCCATTTTTCTCGTTTTTGCAGAAAAAAAATGCCTGATGGAATTCTGTAATCGCAATGTATGGTCAAGCCACGTATTCTTGCGGTAGAAATTGGCCTGAAAAAACAGTATCGAAAGAGGACAGCGCGCGCTGAATTAACTATTCAGGAATATTTCCGCTTTTCTCGCGAATAATGCATACTGTTTTTCTGCTCGGCCACGTTTATTCATTGCCCGATCCAATTTGTGGAGTCAAGACCTTTTTATTTCGAAAGGTCAAATCGAATTACGACTTGATGATTTCAAATTGAACATTCTCTGAAAAAAACCTTATTTAATTTCTACTGTATTAAATATATCCGCAAGAAAAATTTCGCAAATTTTGATTGGTTGAAAATTTTCTCGCGAATTTCGTCGGAATTTTTCGGTTCCTGAATTTTATTCAGGTTTTTTTATATTTTTTAATTAATTTTTTTTATATTCTATTTTTTTATTAAAAAAGGCACCATGATGAGGATAAGGGTTGTACAGTAGAAGCTGATCTGATGCAGAAAATTTTGATGACTCATTCGACATTGAAACTTGCAAAGACGAGAAGAATATTATCCGCAATTCTCGACCAAGAACGCGACCCTGGACATCGTCGTAGGTAGATAAAGACGATGTCGAGGGAGAAGTCGAAATGCTGCCGAGCAGTGGTCCTGGTGTTGATTGCTTCGATTTCCGGAATGATTCGTTCTTGAAATGAAAAAAGGGTTGATGATGTGGAAATCTTACCTGGAACGGGTCTTGATGATGGACTGGCGCATGGTTTGTCTTCCTTGATGGATTCGATCAGTGAATTGTAATATCCATTGACTCGGCGGGTCAGGCGAATCGCTCCGTTTCCGGTGAAGGTATGCAGCTGTACGTAGTAGACCAACTAAAGTCTTTGAGCCCAAGAGTCAAAAAAAGAAGTCACTTACCTTGACTCGTAAATAATTGAGCAACTCAACCACATCTCTCAAATTATAAGTGTCGATTTCAGATACCCAGTCGAGTTTGAATCCTGCTCCGTTTTCGGTCCGATCTGCATCGAAACCGATGTAGACTTTGCTCGAAAACATGTTGTAGGGAACATCCCAAATGAGCATTTCCGGGGTATTTCGAGGGTTCCAAGCGATTTTTCGTAGTGCATCGTATGGTCTTTTTTGGTTTCAAATCGTTTTAATCCAACAGTTTATTTATGGCTAATTTTAACTGATTGTTTAACGCAGTCAAGAATAATGCGACAGTTAAAAGCTTGAATTTTCAATAAAACAGTGAATTTATCGTTTCTTAAAAAAAAATTTTCTAGAAATTTTTGAATCCAATACTGTCATGATGATGTTTTGGACCGCACAATCTTGCCATTCTTACATTTGAAATTCCATCAATAAGATGAAGCTTGTCATATCCGCATTGCCTTGAATTTCGTTTTTACAATATCGAAAAAAAATCTAATTCTACCTGTGATACTCAATATCAAAGCCGTAGGACTTGTCAAATTTCAGCATGATGTTCTGGTCATTTTCCGCCTCAATCGTCCAGAGACAGTGAGTCAGGCCATCATACAGGGTCGAGTTCAGAATAATCGAGCCTGCGTTCCCTGTCAGGGTCATTTTACATTCCTGAGTGCACAATTGCGGCGCTAGAAGACACCTCGGCCAATCGTACAAATATCGCGGCTGGTGCAAAATATCGTTTCCGCGTTTTCTCGAAATTCCGGGATTTCGCCTTTCTCTCGTTGTTATTTCTTGAGCCAAATTGCTGCCAAAGAGAAAATAGAAGAATTTCATTTTGACGAACTTAGTTTCACTTTTTGGAAAATGAAACCTGGGAAGTGCCTTATCGAAAAACATAGAACCGAGAGAGCGCCACAAAATTTTATCAAAATTTTTTGTGGTTCAAGAGATGACGTTAGAAGGGTTGAGAATTTTTCGGGCATAAGAGTGTAAGTTTTTTATACAACACGATTGAGGTGGTGAAACAAGACTTCTTTAGTTTTAGACAAAGAGCTTACATTTGCTTCACATGAGAACCTCTCAAACTGAAGATTGGTCGATTTTTATTTTTCTTTATTTGCATTTTTACAGTGAATCGTTTTTTATACATCTTGGCTTGAATTTTCTGAAATTTTCGTGGTTCTTCTTGGTTCAGAAACTGATTTTGACGATGCTGTGTTTCTTCGACTTTTGGATTCTTCCTCGAGTTCCTCTAGAATTTCCGGCATCATGACGAAGGATTTTCTGATCTCGCTTCCGAAGTCTGTTGGAATGCTCATCGATCTATTCTGCTGCACTCTCCTGAAATATTTTGATAAAAAAAGGAGGAGATTTGTAGTGCTTATTCTATTGTATGACTTTTGCAACTTCATTCTGAAAGCGAGCTTGCCCTTGGCGCGCGAAGAGCGCATGCGGCGCACTGTACCTGACCAATACAGTACAGCGAGACTAGCCAAGCAGCGAGCGCGCAGGTGCTGTAAAAACCAAACTCCTCCGTTTTCCGTGCTCCTCCTTGGTTTTTAATGCTCCTCCTCGGATTTCGAAGCTCCTCCACGAAATTCCGTCATTGTCCACGGATCTCTATATAAACCGTTCACTGTGCACACATAATTAATCACACTCCCAGAGATAAACTTGAGTGATCCGCTATCAAACACCCCATCAGTAGAATTAATGATTTCGATGAACTTTTCTTCTAATTTACAAACATTGATTATCTAGGGAAAATTTACAGGGTTGAAAAGTCCGGCCATGATCACAAAATGATTCATATTGAATTTATCAGAATGATAAACGCTCAGTTGGGCGAAATGCCTTTATCGGTTCACGAAAGGAAATGTGGCGCGGCGTTTCGTTTCTTGATTTTGCTTACGCGCTGATTTTCATTTCAAGAATCGGTGCGGACGAATCTTGATTCACTCATTTTGGAACCACTTTAGGTTTTTCGTTTTCAGCAGAGTTGGCAAATTAGCACTCCATGTCTTTCGAGGAAATTCGAAATCAACTGCGTGAAATTGAAGAAAATCATGAAAAAGAGATAATGCAGCTTCAAATGGAAAAAGACGATTTTGCCCGAGAAACTCTTCGCCGCTCAGTCAGCCTTAGCAACCTTGAGGTAAATATTTATGATTGTATCAAGTAAAATAGTGAATATACGAAAATTTCTTTTCGTTTATACGAAAAATAAAAGTATTCTTTAGGGTGCTTACAAAAACGCGCTCAAGCTGCAAGAAAATTTAGAAAAAGAAAATTCGGAGTTGCAGATTGAAAGGACCGAGCAGCAAAAAGCAATGACGAAGTTGAAGAAAGAAAATGCCAATCAGCAAAAAACAATTACGAAGTTGGAGGAAGAAAAGGCCGTGCTGCAGCAAAAACTGTAAGAATTCCATTTAAAAAATACTAATTATTCTTAAGAGCTGCGTATGCTTCCTTCGATGCCTTTATGAAGATGCAACAAGAAAATGCTGTGAATAATGCTGTGGCAGAAGCCGTAAGTTTGATATAAATCTAAGGCTAGGAATTTAATTACTTGCTTCAGTTGATGAAACAACGAGCTGCTACGGAGCGAGAAAAGGAGGTCGCGAGAGAAGCAGGAAGAGATGAAGCGGTTAGTCTCTTAGAATTTTGTTTGATCTGTATGATTTCTTCAGTTTCGAGGCATGGCGAATGCCTGCATGGAAGAAGGCCCCGAACAAAAATCGCGACGAAAGAAAGCTCGACGAGGCACTGAGCGACGCTAAGCGGCGGTATTCAGTTACTCCTAAAATTTAGATTGTTTGAAAATAAAAAAAAAATATTTCTGTCAAAACTTTCTCGTTCTTAATTTCAGATAAGAATAGATAAAGAATACTCAGCAGGGCATTCTGTTATCTGAGCTGGTGGTCCAAATGCAAAAGCCGCAGTTTGCATTGTTTGATTTCCAACTTGAGCAGATCCACGTTTTAAAAATCAGGGTTTTCAATTTCGGATATCCGTCGATCCGCTCGTCAAGTACAGCTAAAATACAGTCATTCTGCTTGTAAGAGTGAAATAAATGTAGATCTGCGTTTAGCATCTCCGACTTGTTTTAAGAACAGAACGGTCGAGTTCATTTTCGATACAAAAATTTTTCGGAGCATTATTCATGTTTGTTTGGAAACAGGGATATTACCAAGGAGGAGTCTGTAATTTCGTTAGCTTGAATAGTGTTTACGAAATTTCAACTCAGTAAACACGGCTGGCCCGCTAATTCAGTTCCCCTTTTTTCGTGAACTTGGAAAATCGCTTTGATTCGGGCTATCTACTCTTTAGACAAGAGAGGGAATTAATCCTATGGCTTAATATTTCTTATTATCCTCTCACGGCCGCCGTCTGATAATGTCCAACGTGAGCCAGTTAACCTAAGCTGCAACAATCGCATGATTCTCGGGCTCTGATCCGCTGCGGGAAATCCGAATTCGGGCGATCTTTTCTTTCTTTTTCACACCAGGTTCGTTTTTTTCGTAAGAAAAGGGATGATTTCGCAAGATCAGATGCACTAGTTTTGTATTTAGAGAAATAAACTGTGCTGTGCACTTGTTCTTGCGTATTCAGAAAGCGAAAATATTATGGGCGCGGTTTGTCATGGAACGGATCACTGTCAGATTATCCAACAGTATACCAATGATGGTGGCAGTTACTAGTAAATTCTGCCGCGTTCGGCCTCCTTTAGACGGCTTGTTTGCGCCTTAGAAGCTATTTCTCTCTTTCTGTCTATTTCCTTCAAACTGCAGTTTTTCGAATTCGTCCTTTTTGCGCGATTTAGAATCGAGACCGCTTCCCGAGATTTCACACTATCGCCTTGCTGCTCACCTGCGCAAGATTGAGGTGAATCTCAATCTTGCATCGGGTCTAACCCTAAGCTGCAGAAAAGAAAAAAGAGAATCTTCTGCGGTTTGTTTATCATTTTTTTTGAAAAAATATCAGCAAGCTTGAATTGCAAATTTTCTGAGAAGCAGTTTGAACTTCGAAGACGGCAACCTTTCAACACGTAGCTGCATTGCAACAAAATTCTGGGCATTTAATCAACACAACAACTTCAACTTGCTCCCTTAGGTACTTATTTTCTTCAAACGACGATCACGAAGCTTCCAAGATGTCTACAAGAGTGATCTTACCGTAAGTATTGGAATTATACAATTTGTACCCTTTTCTTTGTCACTTGCAAAATAGAAGCAAGCAGTACAAAATTTGGTGACTGAAAAAAACGGCGAGAATTTACGACTGTAAATCACGATTCCCCGAACACGATCGAAGAGAGCTGCTGTCACGATCGAAAAGAGCTGCTGATTCGATAGAAGAGAGCTGCTGATACGATCGAAAAGAGCTGCTGTAAACGATTTTTCCTGACTCTCCTAAGGACAGCTATAAGGTCCTTTATAAACTATATCCAGGGTGAACCTAAGCAAGCGGAGTTTAACCATAAGTTGAACCACCGACAGATGAACCTTTAGGATCGATTTTCGCAAATATAATCGGACCTTCTGAGCGCTTCAACAATGAGTGACACGTATTTCAAACTTGTTATCGATCTGAGCAGAACGGAGCTCGTGAAAATTTACGATTCACTGGATGGGCGAGTCTTTCCAACGCCAATTCCAATAAGTGATAAAGCTTCCGTTGCCGCGAATATCCTTCACGTGGATGAGTCAGTCCTCTCTCGCGGAAAGAAATACTTTTTCAAGAAAGAAGCCGAAGGCTCTGTTAAATATCTACCCAATTTTGCCGCGGATCACCCAAATGTAGCAGATTCGGTTGAACAAAAATACGCGAAAAGACACCACCGATTGGATCTCGATCGAATTCAAACGTCGAAAAACGCGAAAGATGTTGATTCATTGATTGCAAATCTACCCGTCACTGATAGCGATATCGAAGACGAAGTCGATCTGTACGACGATGAATCTGTAAACGAGGCGGACGAAACTGTAATTCCAAATACAGGGAACTCTGAAAAACGTGAGAATATCAAGAAAGAAAATACTGAGCCAAAGCCGCGTGTGCAAAAACCAAAGTCAACAGCGAAATCAACTCCACCAATGTCGACGTCAGTGCAAACATCGTCAACATTAAAAGTTAAACCACCGAAATACGATGGAACAATACCTATCGCTTCCTGGCTCAAAAAAATCTCGATATTTACGCCCACTGTTCCAGGTTGAAAGACAATGAGGTAATCACAGTGGCACTAACGACACTTCTGAACGAGTCAGAAGGCAGTCATATCATCGAGAGCCTTGAAGAAGAAGACCTCAACGATTGGAGAAAATTCAAACAGCGTCTAACAGCGATGCTTGGTAAAACCGCTGACTACTACAAAAATGAATTCAAAACCTACAATCGCGGATCCGACAGCTTCGGAATGTGTCTAAGCAAACTGATCAGTCTTTACAAACAGGGATTCGGCCTGAAAAATCTAACACAAAACGACAAACTTCTAATCATAGAGCGATTTGCTGAAGCTCAGGATCAGAAAATCCGCGAACTGCTTATGCGAGAAAAATCAGCGTTAACGATCGAGAATATTGCTACAAGAGCAAATGAAATCGAAAATGCTATCCCGAAACGCGACATTAACTTCAGTATCAAAACTGAAGAAAGAAACGAGATGTTCCGAGAGTTTGTGAACCAAATTAAAGAAATGATTCGTGCAAATCGAAGTGATGAGAGAAGAATCACTGAAAAAATCAACCCGGAAAAACTGGAAGGATACTGCATCAACTTCATTAACAATCGCAATTGCAGATTTAAAGATGAGTGCAAATATCTTCATTCCGAAAATGCGCCGAGAAGAGTTATTGACTATGTTTCTCAACTGAAGAAGACACAGTTCTCGACCTATTCTGCGATTGTACAAATCAATCGCAGGCAAAACACAATAAAAACGAGAAAAATATAATCCAAAAAATGAGAAGAGAGGAGAAGAGATGAATACATTTAAGAGCAATCCCAATGAGAGGGATGATCAAATTTTTCGAATTATTATTCTGCAGCCATCTCAAAAGCTGTAAGAAAATGATATCGAAATCATCGCGAGAGTTCAAAATCAATACGATAACTAAGAGGGAGAAGTTTTTCCGCCGAGAAATTATACGAAAATATAAGGAATGTAAAACGAGACCTTCTTGAGTCCTTACAGCTTAAAAATAGCTGACTGTATGCTGGAAGACCATCAACAAACAGAGAATGAGAAGGAGCGAGAACCGTGCCATGGACCTCGTATAATCCATGTTATCAAATGGCTAGTTAGCTTCAACGCAGAGGAAACCTGCTCTATCAAACCCAGCCTTGGCCCGCACAGCTACCCTGATGGCTACTGGACTTGTGGACCTCTATTTTTATGTGATATTTGTGCCCACCGCGCGCACCCGGGCCCAAATCTCTCCATATGATATGTTTCATGATGAAAGTAGAAGCAAAAATCGCCTGCTTCGCGTACAGCTTAGTTTATCGAAGAAAAGAAAAAAAAATTATACAGAGATCGACGAACAACACCGATTGATCACGATTAACAATCAACTGATGAGTGAGCAACACTTTATTCCTGAAATATGTGCAAAAGTCATAAATTAAGAAAGGAAGGATTTGTAGTGCTTATTCTATTGTATGACTTTTGCAACTTCATTCTGAAAGCGAGCTTGCCCTTGGCGCGCGAAGAGCGCATGCGGCGCACTGTACCTGACCAATACAGTACAGCGAGACTAGCCAAGCAGCGAGCGCGCAGGTGCTGTAAAAACCAAACTCCTCCGTTTTCCGTGCTCCTCCTTGGTTTTTAATGCTCCTCCTCGGATTTCGAAGCTCCTCCACGAAATTCCGTCATTGTCCACGGATCTCTATATAAACCGTTCACTGTGCACACATAATTAATCACACTCCCAGAGATAAACTTGAGTGTCAATAAACTACGAGATAAAAACTTTTGTACCCTTTTTCTTTGTCACTTGCAAAATAGAAGCAAGCAGTACAGATTTTTGACCTTACCTTGGTTCCATTTGATAGGCCATTCCCGGCGCTCCATTTTTCTGCCCTTTCATCAAATGCCTCATATACGGGCTGTTTCTCACTTGCTGTCTTCCTTCATGAGTATCGACGGAGAAAACACTTGGACTTCGCCCCTGTTTGATCATGAACTCGCTGCTCTGAAGGTCATCTTGTTTTTCGCTCGTTTCTATCGACGGAATCGGCGCAGCTTGGGTCTGTTTTGACAAGGAAGAAATCGTGAGAAATCCAAGAAAATGTAGGATGATGATTGTGATGATTTTTAAAACGAGGGTGACGGAAATGTAGATGACTCCTCGACTCCACTGAAATAGAAAATGAAAATAAGCTAGAATTAATTGACCAATTATATTATATTAAATTTAACCTTATATTGAAGCTCATCATAATCTAAGTAATCGTATCTCAAACTTCCATAAGAACTGACATAAACCAGCAGGCAAGAAAACAGCAACAACAAACTGATTCCAAAACCAATCAGAGCACCACTCAGCCAAATAATAGCAGGAAGAATTTCTTTGGACTTTTTGCTTTCTTCGCATTTTTGAGAGTATTTGTTGCCCATGTAGGCGGCGAGAATGGAAAAGATGGAGATGATGAAGGAAAGAATGCTGGTCGTTTTGAGGATGAGAAGGGTTTCCGAGCTCATTTCGACGGAATGATAAATCATTGACCCAAGACGGCTGTTTCTGTTGTGAGACAAGGAATTGAAATCTGCGCAGTAGACATTTCCCTGAAGATGAAGACAAATATGAGCTTATTGCAAAAAGATGAATTACTTTTGAAACATCTGTTCGGCAATAACCCCATATTCCTGCCTCCAGATAAAAGTCTTCTGAGTCTTCTGTTAGATCAACTACAACCGGTTATTCAATGAATAAAAAACAAAAATTTTGATGAGAAAACCGATTTCCTGAAACCCAGGATCCAGACAAAATCGCAGCACCATGCAGCGCAAAGCCCAAAAGCTCAGATCCGGAAGCAATGCAGAGCGCGTAAAAGCGCATATTCAAGTTTTCTCTGCGGGTTAGTAAATGTCGCTCTTCAGAGTAAGCGTTGCGTTCTGCGTGATGTGTGCAGATCGTTAAACACGATGACTTCTGCTATTTGGAAACCATGCTCTATCATAACGTTCCGCTTCGAACGAAGCGCTGGGCAGTCATAGCCGAAGGGCCGTCTCAGCCCCATTCCTTGATTTTTAAATTTAGGCTTGAATACCCTTCGGGCCGTCTCAGCCCCGTTCCTTGATTTTTAAATTTAGGGGCTTGACGCCCTTCGGGCCGTCTCAGCCCCGTTCCTTGATTTTTAAATTTATGGGGCTTGACACCCTTCGGGCCGTCTCAGCCCCGTTCCTTGATTTTTAATTTAGGCTTGATTGGCCCTTCGGGCCGTCTCAGCCCCGTTCCTTGATTTTTAAATTTAAGGGCTTGACATCCCTTCGGGCCGTCTCAGCCCTGTTCCTTGATTTTTAATTTATGGGTTTAGCCCTTCGGGCCCTTCGGGCCGTCTCAGCCCCGTTCCTTGATTTTTAAATTTAGGCTTGATTGCCCTTCGGGCCGTCTCAGCCCCGTTCCTTGATTTTTAAATTTGACGGCCCTTAAGGGGCGTCTCAGCCCCTTCGGGCCGTCTCAGCCCCGTTCCTTGATTTTTAAATTTAGGGGCTTGACATGCCCTTCGGGCCGTCTCAGCCCCGTTCCTTGATTTTTAAATTTAAGGGTTTGACGGCCCTTCGGGCCGTCTCAGCCCCGTTCCTTGATTTTTAATTTAAGGGCTTGACGGCCCTTCGGGCCGTCTCAGCCCCGTTCCTTGATTTTTAATTTAGGCTTGACAGCCCTTCGGGCCGTCTCAGCCCCGTTCCTTGATTTTTAAATTTAGGGGCTTGACGGCCCTTCGGGCCGTCTCAGCCCCGTTCCTTGATTTTTAAATTTATGGCTTGACGGCCCTTCGGGCCGTCTCAGCCCCGTTCCTTGATTTTTAAATTTAGGCTTGATTTGCCCTTCGGGCCGTCTCAGCCCCGTTCCTTGATTTTTAAATTTAAGGGGCTTGACGGCCCTTCGGGCCGTCTCAGCCCCGTTCCTTGATTTTTAAATTTAAGGGGCTTGACGGCCCTTCGGGCCGTCTCAGCCCTGTTCCTTGATTTTTAAATTTAAGGGGCTTGAGATCGGCGTTGGACTCTGAGGTGATCAATCTCAGTTATGTCCCCAACCCCACCCACACCCATTGGAGGTGGAAATACAAATTATTCAAGTTTTTCTTTTTATTATGGTTTTTATTTGAATGTTTAAAATTTAAATTTTTTATTTGCGGATTCTTTATCTCGCTTCGACTTTTGACTCAAAAATCATTTTTGAGCTTTAAAAATGATTGTCTAGGTTTTCTCAGGCTTAATTTTGCAAAAATGAAAAAATCGATTTTTCGGCCCCTATACCCTTAATTTTTCGAAAATTTTTTTGATTTTTTCTTGATTAGGACCTCAGAAATATGTCCACAAAATTTCATCCCTCCAGGTCAAGTGCAAAAAGTCCATTTTCCCACTGGCGCAACCCCAGTCATAGGTGTTTTATTGCTTGCTATAGGAGAAATTAAGGACGTCCTAAATAATTTCGAATCGCGAATAAACGGACAAGGAAGGTTATAAATGAGTATTTATTGTATTAGAAAATATGGCTTCAGCAAACTCGTTCTGTCAATTTTGCAATCTTCAGCGCCCATCTTCCACTGATAAAATCTAAAAACGATGATTAAGAAACATATTTATGAGAAGTTTCAAAACAAAATGGCCTTGTTCATCCTTGAATCGGTGCATGTGATAGCTTCTTTATTCTTCAGGCCACGTGGCCTTTCCTTTCCCAGAAATCTTGAAGATTTGAGAAAAAGTAAGGCTACGTGGCCTTAATGTTGAACAAGGCAACTCTTGCAATTATTTAAGGATGAACAAGATTACTCCTTTTAAATATTTTTTTACCTGGAATTCCATCAAGACAAGCAAAATCAGAAGCGATTTTTTCCAAGCCCTCTTGAAAAGCGCTCATTAATTTGCAAGGATTTGAACTCAATTTTGAGTTCTCCTCGGTCCATGATTTGAACGAAGAGCCACCGTAGCTCTCGAAGTCAAAAGGAATGAGACAGGAAGAAGATTTAGTTGAGGCGATCATTTGATTGATTGGTACCATTTGATGCTTAATTTTTTGAAGAAAGAAAGTTTGAGAATTCGCACCTTGAAAGCCCACGGTTTGATATTGACCATTTTAAGGACTTTGATCACGTGATTCTCCATTTTTCGCAGCAGCTGGATTCCTTCTTCGACATGGAATGAATCTCTTGATCTATCTATTTGCTGAATCTGCCCCCATTCGACCTAAAATAGTCCGAAATTTCCGACCAAAAATTCCTATTTCAAAAGTACCTCGAATTTCCAGGAAGCAAGATTTGGTGGAAAGTGAAGCTCAATTTTGCTCCCCGCTTTGAAAACTTCCGGCAAACTCGGGCTCGAAGGAAAATGTCCGAACCGCAGAAGCTCCAGTAGTTCTCTCGATAAATGACCGAAAGCCGCTCTTCAGCGCAGTTTTCGATCTTTTTGAAGACAAATGGGGTAATTCTCAAGCTCACATCGGCAGAAGGAGTAAATTGATAGACGACATCTTCGGTCTGGTCGCGAAAATCTTCGCTGGAGAATTTCTGTGGCGCGAATTCGATTGGAGGGTGAAAAACAGAGTTTCTGGCAGACATTTGATGATCTTTGGGAACATGTTTATTCGGCCGGCCAGCGATCTTTTCAAATTTCAAAATGCCGCTATTTTAGATTAAAGAAAATGTAGTTTTGAAAATTTTCCTTGTAATTATTTTTTCTGAAATCAATCTTGTTCAATGACTGGGCCTCTAAAAGGCAAGCAAACCAATAAAAAGCTTCATGCTTTCTCTCTTTTTTTCTCTTTGACTTGAAAAAAGGAATGATGCTCTTTGTAAAGATATGTGTGTTAAAAAGCGAAAATGATAATTCGCGCGGTCTAACCACCTAGTTTATAGTAAAGACAAAAGGCAATCAACCAACTGGTTTAAAACGTGTTCGCTGCGGCTTAACCCGTTGGAGGCCTTTTCTAAAGGATTAGTGTGCTTTAACCTGAAACAAAAGTCCCGAGAGTTGCATTTCTTTGCCCCACTTAAAGGCCTTCCCGTCACTTTTTTCTCTCCAAAGAGAAAAAAAAACGTGGCTTGTTCAAGCTCGGTTTTATCTAATCAAACATATCCGGCCTCATTAAACTCCCGTATCGTATTTCCAAAAGGTCTAATCGTCTGATAATTTTCCTGTTTTCATATAAAACGCACAGGTCCTTAATTCAACAGGGCCTTTTTTCATCAAGACAGAAAAGAATGAAGCTTTTTACGATTTTTGCAATTATCGGTTTTTCTGAAGGATACAAGAGAAAATCGGCGAACGTTTGTCATAATTACCACGAAAAAGTTTTTGGAGAAGAAAATGGGGAAATCGGGATGAGTGATTTGACAAAGAGAGAATATTCGATCTTTCCGAGCTTTTTCAGATGCAATTGGACCATTCAAGCGCCAAAGGATAAAAGTAAGAATATTTTTGAATCGATTTCAAAAAACCATAATATTTTCGTTGTTTCGATAATTCAGGATTTTTGGTAAAAAATCGTGATCAGTACTTATTTAAAAGCAATATTGTTGTCAAAGAGAAACTGACGTACTTTCATGTCAACTTAAAATAGGGGACTGCCTTAATCGTCGTTAAAACGTTGCATCGAACTGTTTTAGTCGTCGTTAAAACGTTGCATTGGGCTGCCTTAGTCGTCGTCTTGGGAGAATCTGGAAAGTCTTCGGAGAATCTGGAAAGTCCAGAAACACTCTGAAAGCGCTGGTTGGCGCGCGCCTACCTATCTTGAAATTGAAAAAGGCAAGATGACTCAGACGACGACTAAGGCAGCCCAATGCAACGTTTTAAGGACGACTAGAGCAGTCCGATGCAACTTTTTAACGATGATTAAGGCAGCCGATGCAACGTTTTAACGACGATTAAGGCAGTCCCCTATTTTATTATAGTTAACTTTAAGATTTCTTATCGTTGAATCATTATTTTTTTCTAGAAAGCAAGTAGACGAGAACTATATTTATGCTTTAAAAATGCTGAAATTCAATTTTCGAAAAACAGGGTGTTTGTTAAAAACCCTTAATAATCACTTTAGTCGAACCATTAACAATTATCAATTAATTATTTTCTTTATAATTATATTCAAGAGCTTTTGGTAAAAGTCAGTCGATCTTCAAACGCGGCCTACCCGCGTCACAAGCCGCAAAAAATGCCTGGAACGTGCGACGATAAGCTCGCCATCGCGACCGAAACCGATAGCTACAATATCTGCGGCTTTTATAGCACCTTCCCGCCCGCTTTTCTTCTTTCAGAAGGTGAAGAATTGAACTTTTTCTTTTCGACGATGACTGGTGGACAGATGACTTGGGATTTTGACGTCAGCTGGGAGGAATTGTGGGATGAGCAGGAAGGTGTGGAGAGGATTCAAGAATTGATGAGTCATTTCAAGAAGGTGTTGAAGATGGTTAATAAGAAACATTATTCGATTAAGGTATTCTTGACAAAAATTTTTTGCTTATTATTATATATACCATATTATATATACAACTTTACTGTAAAAGAAATACAGTAAAACCACTGAATACGTCATGGCGATGTGTCAGGAACCGAAAAAACTCGACAAATTTTTCGTTGAAATTTTCAACCAATCAAAAGCCTTGATTCGGTCTACCGGCCAATCAGCGGCCGACTACCCGCCAACGCAAAATTTGTCGAATTTTTATCGTTTCTTGATGCAGCCCCTAAGTAAAACTGTATAACTAATAAATTCAAATCAAAAATTTATTTTTTTAGTACAAAATGAATCAGCTGAGCCCAATGTTTTCTTCGACAAATCTCATCTGCAACTCACCACTCAACCCGTCAAAATACGGCGCTGCCACCTTCCGAAATTGGACAAATACGGTCGAAAAAAGCTCCAATCCTTGCAAACTCGCAACCTCCATCAAAACCGGCCTCGAGTTTTTCCTCGACAATCATGTCTGCCTCGACGGCGTTTTCAAATCAAAAGCGGATAAATGGAAGTCTTTGGTGGAAAATTTCAATGGTGATTTTTGCGAAATGAAACACGAAGAAAAACGCTTCGCGAAAATAATGAGAATGGTCAATCGAGGGTGAGCATTTTTCTCCTTTTTCCTGTCAATAAATCTCTTTATTTAAAAAATCACAGACCAGTACTTTGACCGCATTTTCCAAAAGCATAAAACCAAAGAAAAGTGCAGATCAGAATAAAGGGGATGAAATATACGATCGTCAGAAAATAGACTAGAAACATTGCATTTATGACGAGGTTGAAAAGGACGATTTTCATCTTCCGGAGATATTTCGGATTCAAGGCCATTATGAAGGGCAATTGAAGTGCGTAGAGGATCCCGATTGAGCATAAAGCAAGACTGATCCCGACGATCACTAGAATTTGAGTAAAAAAGGGTAAATTTTTATAAAAAATTTACCTTGAAGAAGCTTGAATTTCAGCCCAATCGTAACAGAACTATTCTCATCCAAATAATAAAAAACAAAAACTAGAATCGCCCAGAGAAAAGAAATCAAAACCATAAAAACATTGCAAATCGAGTAAATCTTCGAGGCTCCAGTCAAGCAGGTCCTTTCTTTCCGCAGTTCAAAGTCTAAAAATGCTCTTTTCGAGTTAAAAAAACTTGAGGATTACCGAGGTCAAGGACTTTTCTAGGGCGAAAAGCGACCTGAAGGCAGGAGATAACGAGAATGAGGGTTGAGAGGATCAGCTCATAATAGCCGAAAATGATAAGGGTGAAGCGAAGACTTTCGTATTTCAGCGGGTAAATTGACGATGCAGCATTTTGATCTTTGAACCAATAATTTTTCAAAAAGAAAATAATGTAATTTGATTAGATGAGGGACCTACAGATAGACGCTATTGGTACTTACAGGAAAATTTCAGTGGTACTGAAAAGAAAAAAAAGTTTACATGTAAAAATAAAAATCATCTTCTGGTTTTTATTTTTGCGAAAAAATCTCATTTCAAACCTGGATTACAAGATGTTTTCTCAAAGCAGGAAAACAGCTCCGCGCTAGAATTTCCTCCTCCGACCAAATTGCAAGTTTCGAGACTCATTTTCGTTTTCTCCTTTTCTTCGATTTTCGATCTCTTGTTTACGAATTGAAAAAGATTCAAAGATTCGTTGCTAAGTTAAAATTTAAAGCTGAGACGAATATTTGTTTTATCCATTCTACTTGAAATAAAAGACCTGAGCTAAGTTGTGATAATTGCTCGCAGACAAAGATCTATTGAAAAATTTAGCTTTCAGAATTCTGAAATTGTTCCGCTTCTGCAATAAAAATAATCAAATTGGCCTGGTTTTTTCCCATGTCAGAAGAAATTGACAATAAAGGGTTCGCGGAAGGGGACCGTTTTGAATTTTCCGGTTTGCTTTTTTGAGTCCTTGTGCTCCGATTCTTTCGCCAGGAAAGAAAGAAAGATGCAGTAGTGATAAACCTCAGCTGGGCGCCATTGAATCAGTCAGATGCCCCAATATAAACCGATCAAGGGTGAAAGCCACATTCACACCCCAAAAATCACAAAAATTGAAAAACACAGAAGCTTTCAAAAGACAAAAAAAAATAAAAATAGAGAGAAAATTCAGAAAATCAGAGAATCTTCCAAGTCTTCGAAATTCTTCAAAATTCTTCGACAAATCTCGAAAATCTTTCTTGAACAAAATATGATTCTTACTCAAAGAAAGCTCAAAAAGGTATGAAAATCGTTATTTATGAAAGATAATTTGGCGGAAAAGAAGTGGAATAACCATAAATGACTTGACAGAATGATGGGTTCGATCTAAAAAAAAGATATCTAAATTGAAGGAAAATTTAAACTAGTGTCTTCTAATTAATGAACACGGTCAGCTAAATATTGAAATTATTTACTAAAAATCATCCTTTACATCTTTCTAGGCAACGATATGTTACGTAACAGTTTCGTCCCTCTCCATTGCCTTTCATGTTTTGATATTCACACTCACAACGATAGCTTCTGGCTGCGTCTCTGGAATCGGAAATTGCCCGAAAACGCCGTTTCCTCTCATCGGCCATGGTATTTGGTGTGGAGCTGGCGGCTTTTTATGCTCGGCGATTTGTATTCTTCTCGCTAGGTAAAAAATTTTTTGAATATTCGGATTCGTAACCTCATTTTTCTAGCGACAAAACAAAGTCAAAGCGCAGCTTGAAAATGATCCTCCTTGTTGGCAGCGTCTTCATGATCATGTTCAGCTCATTCGGCTCAATTGCTGATGGATATGGATGTTTGATGCTCTTGACTTGCTTCGATTGCGCGCTCTTCAAAAGCCAAATTTCAACGATCCTGTTTTTGCTGCTGTTTTTGGAGTGCATAGGAAAGGTTGACAAATTTAAAAGTTCATATTAACTCATCAAGAGAACAAATCCTCAACCTGAAAAGTTCTCCTGACTCTCTCCGTCCTCTCCTTCGTCATGACTCTCCTCAACGGCCAAGACATCCTCCCTCTTTCGATAGTCAAAGCCCCAAAAATCATCAAAACGTCTCGCCAAAAACGAAAACTTCGCCGATCTCAAGATCCAACAGAGCCCGCCGACTGGACCTGTTCCTACCTCAACCCAAATCCACTGCCACAGAGAATGGATTTTAGCACTTCTTATCACCGATCGCACAGTCGGATCGATTTGGATTATTCTCATTGTCCGACTTTGGAGGTCGGCAATGTCTCCATCGCGCATGCTTGAAAATATTGTGGAAGCGTCTGTATTTATTCTCGTTTTTTAACTGTATTTACAAGCATGAAAAAATGAAAAAAAAGGTTTTGAACGATTTGTCATTCGCTAAAAAAGAGGCAGTAGAAAAGATTTTCGTCGGTCAAGTCGTAGCAGCGGGATTGACAATTCCATCCGGGCCGTAGATTGTTGAAAACTGTGTTTCGCGATGTTCTCTTGCATCTCTGTCGATATTTCTAGTAAATTTCGAGATCAAGGAAGAAAACGATGAGGCAAACCTCCAGCTAGTGAGTGTTGTGAGAGGAGAGCTGCACTTTTTGACGAAATACTGAGAATTCGACAGGTGACAATGCGCCACTAGAATCATCAAAAGAAGGACGCAGATTGCCGCGCAGAGTAGAAGTGACCAGACGATCCAACTATACGCCTCTAGAAACCACTTATTTCACCATTTTGAACATGACTGTACCTTGGCGTTCCTTGATTAATAGTGGGCCAAATTTTAATTGAACTTGTTGATCACCCTTCTTGAGAGACACTTCACGCTTCCTTCTTGCTACAGCTGAACAGGAGATGGAGCATTCTGAGCTACTGCTCTGTCAGAAGATTTTTTGCTTGTCATTTTTTCTGATCTATTTATTGCGATAAAATCGAATTCGATGATGATGATTTCTTAATCCTAGTCTCGGAAACCGGTTTAGAAAACCTGAGTCAGGTTCTGAAGAGGTAAAATGAAAAGCCGCATAGCGGCTTTTTTAAAAACGAAGCCGCGAAGCGGCTTCGCCAGCATTTGAATGAAGATTATAGTGGTTGAATTGCGAAGCCGCTTTGCGGCTTCGTATTTGAAAAAGCCGCTACGCGGCTTTTCATTTTACCTCTTCAGAACCTGACTCAGGTTTTCTAAACCGGTTGCCGAGCCCAGTCTTAATCCTAGCGATCATCAATTTAACCGAACTCCCAAACTTGCGATTGTTACAACTTACAAGTGCCCCTTAACCCGTTTGCTTTGGCCCTTGGTCCGGAAGAGAAGACAAAAACCTTTCCTCGCATAAAGTGACATCGCAGTGGAGATAAGTTCGATTCGACTGAAGGAAAGTGAACACAGACGCCGAAAAGCCCACGCTGCCATCGTCATCGTTCGAAATCGTCTGTACTCGCCCGCTAAATGCGAAAGTTATAAGCGCATTAGCGGTAGTTTGATACGAAAAGTATTGAAATGAAAATCGATAAAAGCCAAAAGTTGGGCACGAAAGAGGCGATTATCTCTTCCATTTTCGACCTCGCCATATGCGCTAAAGATCTTTGAAAAAAGAGATGGCTCGGAAATTAATCTGTTAAATCGACTGTACTTGAGCTCGGGGTTCGGGCAGCCAGAATCTAAGAGGATGAGGAGGTCGGTTTCGTCGTCGCCGGTGATCCAGCATCTGTCGAGGCGGATTCCAAGGTCGATTTTTGACTAAATTTTTGACCAAAAATTTTTTGACTAAACTTTGACTTGAAATTTTGACTAAAATTTTTGGCTGAATGACTAAATTTTGGACAAAATTTTTCGACTAAAATTCGACTAAAATTTTTTGACTAAAATTTTGGACTAATTTTTTTGACTTAAATTTGACTAAAATTTTTTGACTAAAATTTTTTTGTTAAAATTTTTGACCAAAAATAAGAATAAAAGCTTACGTTTGCCCAGACTTTTGCATAAATCTTCTCCCCTGCGTCAAACACCAAATCTGTCCTTCTTTTCTCCAACTTCTTTGTCTTGAAAAGCGCCATTTCGACCTCGAAAACGCCCGTGCCACTGATGGCCGGAATGATTTTCAGGCTCTCGCTGACGGCGTACGAGTTAGAAAGAGTCACTTTAATCAGGTTCATAAATTAGCAACGCAGACAGGTCAATCAAGCCCGCTAATCGCGACATGTCGCAAATGGTCATTAGGAGAGCAATGAACCTGCACTTGATGGTTCAGGTCGTAGCCACAAGAGAACTGGATGTGCACTTGTTCGCTTACCCGCGGATAAACAATCAATTTAGATTAAAAAATGTCTGGTAGACAAGAATGGTTGTTTAACCGCAATGCCCAGTTACTGCCGATTTTGACCGAAAGCCGGAAAAGATGGAGTTGGAGAAGATCATTTTTGTAGTGTTTCCAGCTCTTTCTACGACTCTTTTTGTGCCACAATGATTGTTTGCAAGGGTCAATGATATCCTCCTTAAAACAGATAACTATCCCTTCCTAAGCCCAAAACCTAAGTCAGGGTCGTGAATGACCCAAGATCTCTCCTCTAGAAAAAGATGCTTACCAATCAGAATTGACCTTGCACTGGTCCGGCGTAATTTTCATCTGCTCATCATCAACAGCACCAACTTGAATCTCCTCCCATGAAAGCCCTTGTCTCGTGAACCAATCTCGATTGAGCACGAGTTCAATTTCAGACACGCCGCAAGCGAGTTCTTATTCAGAGTGTAAGGCGCTTGATAACAAATTGTTAAATGTCGGGTGCGATCCCTTAGGGACCAAGTTCTCTTGTTTGCTTTTTCGCCACACTTGCCTAATGGACTTTCGTTTTTCCCGGCATTCCCCGTGCTGTCGGCTTGGTAGTCCAAATCTATGTTTTCAATGAAGAATTTTAACTCTTTTTTTTCATCATTTTTTACCTCTGAAAACATCTCCCGATCCAAAATCTCCAGAAAAATTCTCTTCGACATCGAAATCAACCGGAACTGACCAAATTTCTTCGAGCGCTAGAACTGATGAAATCACGAAAAAATAGAATTTCATTTTTGCCATTTCGAATTGCAATTGATTAAGAGTACAATGATAGAAGTTTAATGTCTCTATTGCTTTTTTGCGTGCCCAAAAAATAGATCAAAGATATCGTGTGCTCCGGAGCGCCACGGTCAGAAGCTAAGAGCGCTGACGTAAGAAGCTTACGATTTATAGAAAACCTTTTAACTGCGATTGAATTTCTACAATAAGAATTTTTAATTGAGGATTTATTTCAAGTAATGAAAACAGGGAGTAAAAATAAAATGAAAATTTCGGGTCGAAAGTTCGAAAAACATGACTGCGCACCACTGAAAATATCTCCTCTGCAAATTGCGAAGGATTTTTCCTAAAAAAACCTAGTTAACAGATCATCATATAAACTGAGGCAAACTGGATTAGGGCTGATCCACCAGGGTCCAACTTTTTCGACATCGTCTTTTCTCCACATCAGCGCATTTGGGATAGTTCCCCAACTTTCGTCGATTATTCCAAGTTCTCGATGTTCTGCATTGTAATCTAAAGAATCATGGTTAAATTTCTAAACAATCACGAAACTTCGAGGAGAATTAACATGAAATTTACCTTTAACGAAATAAAAAACATCTGAAAAAGTTCCACCAACAATGAAATTTACCCTTCCATCATCATCTTTGACGATTAGGTACCCGCTGAAATCTAAGTGGCCATTTTTAGCCTTCCTTTTTATGCAGTTTTCTTGGGCTCATATTTAATACAATGGTTGACTTATACTTTTGAGGCAGAAAAAAAAAATTTTTTTTTGAAAAAATTTTTCACGTGACCAAATTTTCGTCTTAAATTTCGGTTTTTCCGCTTTCATTTGTGAGCCTAAACAAGCCTAAAAATGAATCACATATAAGATGAAAGAGCACAAAAAATGCTTTCAGAAAATGTGCCTCATTCAACGGCCGGAAGCGGCCGAAAATTTTTAGAGCCAAAAGATTGCCCGAAAAGCAGTGATTTTAGGACAAAAATGGCGTAGGCGGACCAGCTATAATCAATTATTTCTAATTAATTCTTAAATAGAACACTTGTTGAGCTGGAGATAAGCACCAAACGACTCACTTTGCAAGTCTGAACACTTTGGTGTGCGAAAGTACCCCGAGTACAAATGTTCTAGAAAATTTTATTACCGAATTTCGATGACCTCGAATGACCCCAAGATGACCTTTTTTCGAACTTTTGTGGTCAGAATTGAACTCTAGGGTACTATTTTAGTATTATCACAAAGTTTGAATGAAAAATATGAGCGAAATCTACCATTTAGTTTTTTCAGCGGGTACCTATTTGACGATCTCTGTCTCGTTTATTTTTGATTGAAACTAGAAATAATTATTGATATCCAGAATTTCGGTCAGTCCTTACTTTTGATTCGATGAAATGGAAAAGGCTGTTCGCATATTTGACGCTCGTAAAGGGTAGATTTATCAGTCCTAAAGGCTCACAGAAGAAAACTGATTCATCTAGTGTTAGATTTTCTCCCAAAACAAGATTGTCTTCCCAGAAAAAACTGTCTTCCATGTCTTCGTCAGAAGAAACGCAGACGATGTAAAATCTTGATGATCTATCGAAGTCGCCCGAAGACGCGAAAATGATATTTTCCCTCGTTACCGTCGTATTGTTTTGTATTTGCAGCCGGAGAACTGGACCTGAGAGCACCTTCTTACTACTTGTGGCCACTGGTCTTTTGACATTGAGATATTGAGCAAGAAATGTCCAAGAATGATAAACTCCTGTGTCGCTGGTTGAAGAGTCATTATCTTTACGATATTTTTGATGGAGCAAAATGCCAAAATTCTGCAGTTTATTCAGATCTTCAATATCTTCTGGAATAATGATCGATGAACTTAGTCTTTTCGTGGGTCTTACGGACATAAATTTCATACTGTTTTGATTTCGGACCCTCCCTGGAGCAATAATTCAGCGCATTCGCATTGCTTAAAAGCCCAGGAAAAGCAAAAATGCCCGGAAAATTATCGGAGGTGACAATATTTGCCTTCGTTGAAAAGAAAATTCTTCTCAAATCAAGGCTCAAGTCCTCTTTTTGGACAAGTTCAGCGGGAATTTTGAGTTCTTTCAAAGAAGTCTCTCTAAAAAAATCATCAAAATCTCCGAAAACATTGTGAAGTAGAACACAAAAAAGCATTTAAAACGAGTCAACGAAGGTTTTCAAACTTGTGAGGCCTTGTGATAGGTGTTATCGTTCGATATTTACGGACAAGTGCTTACGGCGGCCTTTTTTATGTTTTCAATAGCATCTTTGTATAACGAGGAAGAATCGAAATGATATTATTTTTGATATTTTATATTTCATATATTATGAATAAAGTTCTGAAGCAGAAAAATAAAAGAAAATTAGTGATAGGGCTGAAAAAGTGAAGGGAAGGTATGGGTCAAAGGACCGTTAGGTTCGGGAAGAGGATGGAGATTCCAAAATAGTGCCATGGGATTCATCGCCATCGGGAACATCTTGGGAAGATGAGAGCTCAATTCATCAGTTTGCGGCAGCGAATGTTGTTTTCGTGATCGAGATGGATTGATTTTACGATTTCTGGTCTGGATCGCGCCGTCTTTTTTCATCGTCAGTGGTCGGGGAGTCTGAAAAGATCGGATAGAAATACCAATGGTGAGAAAAAGATCTTTTTGGAAATTGAAAGGTTGGCATACCCTGTGAAGCTTTTCATAAAGTCCGCAAGCGTTGCAAACCGAGATCCCAGAAGAATTTTTTCTCCAAAGCGAAGTTTCTGTCGTCTTGCAATTGTCGCAAATTGTTCCTTGTCGCTTCGAGGGCGCTGGTTTTCGCTTCGGCTTGACGAGGGGGCGAGATTTGCCGTTGACTTTGCAGTACAATCCACAAGCGTTGCAGAGGTAATTTCCTGCCTCATCTCGTCGCCAGAGGGGAGTGACTGTGGCTTTGCAGTTCGAACAGACGCGGTTTTCGAGCGAGACGTCGGAAGGCTTGCATCGTTTTGCTGGAGGAATTTCTGTCTGGGGAAGAGATCGCTTGGAGGCTTCTTGCGGAGAGGATGGTTGAGTTTGTGAGAAGAAATTTGGGATGGGTTGGAAGTAGTTATCTGGAAGAGACGATTCTTGGTGAGTTCCAAGTTGCGGAGGGGGTTGATATTGAGGCTGTGGTTGGTAGAAATTTTCATTATAGAAATTCATCTGAGGATTTTCAATTGAGACTTGGGGCTCTTGATTTTGGCTGTAATGGAGGTCTTGATATTGGGAACTGTGAAAGTCGTTGTAGCTAGATGAGGAACCAGATGATGGAGAAGGCGGCACATCTTCGACAGAATTTGATCGAGTTGGTAGAAGAACCTCTTCCTGAGAAGAATTCTCGAAAGTGGCGAGAGGGGCTGCTTGGATATTTGGCGATTCGTATTCGTTCCTTGCTGATTGAGGGGAGCCGATGGAGCCATCGCTGGAGCTGTTGGAAGCGATTCCGGAATCGTGGTGGCCCTCTTCGAAGTGATAAAACGAGCTGGAATTCAAGAAGTTGATGTTGAAATTATTGCTCGGTTGGGACTCGTTTGAAAAATATTGAAAATTTGTTGATTCGGTCATTTTGAGATGAGGAGATTTTGTAAAATTCTTTGTTCTTGCTAGAATCGAGACGATCGGACAATATATGAGTACCTCCGGTGAGTTGAGGCGCTCGAGGGGACATGTGCTCCGGGCGCGCGCGAGGAAGTTTAGCAAGAATCGGCCTAAAAGTAGCGGCTGCTCGATGTTTCAGCTGCGGGGACCAGCTTTGAAATGATTCAAAAACAGTCGATGGCGGTCAAAGACATCTGATTTTCTATCATTTTCGGCGTATCTCACCTACCATAACGCAGAAACCTGCTGCTGATTGCCCTGGCCTGCTTAAGAAAACGCCTTTGCAACTTTGGATTTTCAAAAAATGAATCTATTAGGGGCGTTTATTGAATAATGGTAAGGGTTAACCCGTAGGCAACAATTAAAGTGTTTGATAGAAGAAATTTCGAACCCTGTACTCAGAAGCGGCAAGGTAGAAATTGTCCGAGACGAATGCCTGGAGATCACCAGTAGTCATGGAGCCGCTGGAGTCGTAGCGTCCTACAACAACTGAGACTCCATCAACGCTCATAATGTAGTTCAATGTTGACGTAGTCCCTTCAACGAGCTGTACTTCGACGGCATAAGTATTCCACTCTTGATCGTTGCATACAACTTCGTAGTCTCTTTGGTGGTATTTGTCACCAACAACTGGATGGACGTAGTCCGGATCGTTGACAACAAAGTGGATCTTTTGATCAGATGGCCGTTGGAAAAACGCAAAGGTTCGATCTCCTGGAGAGCCGTAGTCGTTTCCGCCAGTCACGTGGAGGATAGTCTTCCAGTTTCCGTCAGGCTCGATGCTGTGATCACAGAAAATATCAGCAGAGACCTTGTAGCTCAAGGCTGCAGCGGCGGTTCCGACTTGAGTATTTTGAACAGGGGAAACGGCGCAGCTGTTGACGAATGAAGTGCAATTTTCAAGACCATCGCATGGATCGGAGCATGTTTGATAGAAGAAACTTCGAACTTGGTACTCAGAAGCCGCGAGGTAGAAATCATCCGAAACGAAAGCTTGAAGTTCTCCAGTCGTCATGGAGCCAATCGAGTCATAGCTTCCTTCCAAGACAGTTGCGCCATCAATACTCATTACGTATTTCAAAGTCGATGAAGTCCCCTCGACTCGTTTCACCTCGACAGCATAAGTATTCCATTCTTGATCGTTGCATTCAACTTCATAGTCTCTTTGGTGGTATTTATCGCCGACGACGGGATGGACGTAATCAGGGTCGTTGACTACGAAGTGGATTTTTCGATCCGAAGGGCGTTGAAAAAAAGGCAAAAGTTCGATCTCCAGGAGAACCGTAGTCATTTCCACCAGTCACGTGGAGGATGCTCTTCCAATTTCCATCAGGCGTGATGCTGTGATCGCAGAAAATATCAGCTGAGACTTTGTAGCTCAAGGCAGCAGGAGCAGTTCCGAAGCTCGTATTTCGAACTGGAGAGACGGAACAGCCCTTGACAAATGCCGTGCAATTTTCAAGGCCGTCGCATGGATTGTCGCAAGTACCAGCACACGAGTTTTTCCAGTCGAGTTTGTTCCACCACGGATTATTGAACTGACCTTTGTAGCAATGAATTGTCCCTTTGACTTGTCCATCATCGCAGACAACTTCATAGTTGGCTCGCTTTTTGTTGATGACAGGCTTCAGAAGGTTGAGCTGTCCGTCTTCGATGCTGATAGTGGCTGCTTTACCGGCACATGGATGGGATGGTTTTGGAGAGCATGAAAGTTGAGTACCAACCGGCAGATTTCTATCGAAAATGAAAGAGTTTTGGCAATATTTGGGTCGAAAACTTACTTTCTAGCAACAGTAGCTGGGTCACCGCATCGAGTCATGAATCTAGCAATGTTCTTTTTCGGCCTCACAGTCCAGTCTGGAATAAATCCAGCGTCGCATGTTGGCTGACATAGGATCTTCGATCTTTGAAGACCGAGATTAGGGCAAGCCCAAGATCCATTTTCAATCGGAAAGGCGTTTTTTGTCTCTTCAGCCTTTGCGTCGCAAATTATTCGCCGCCCCTCTCTTTCCTCTGGTGTCAAGTTTTTATAATTTTGGTATTTTCCGGCGAAAACTTTCGCAATCAAGAAACTGGCAACTTTCATTTTTAGAGCAATATGAAAATTAGGCAGTTTTTAGTATCACGTTAATGATGGTTTTACTGAAAATAGCTCCAGGATATTCAAACCATCAATACCAAGTACTTCAATCATGTTTTTATGAAAATAAGCGTCAATAGCTTTTTCTAGCGCTTCGAATTCAAAAAAATATTTTCCATCAAACTAAAAATTAATGAATTATTTTCGGAAAATTTTTAAAATATTTATTTGGTACAATTTCCAGAAGACTCTCAACAGAACCAATTGATGTAATGAATGTGCTTAAAGAATTTGATAATAGAAGTTTCGGACTTTGAAGGCAGAAGCAGCGTCGACTTGGTAGTTGTCAGCGACGTACGCGTAAAGATCGCCGGTAGTTTTCGCGCCGCTTAAATCGTAACTTCCGGTCAGTTCACTGGCTCCGTCGACACTGGCGACGTAGTTGAGTTGGCCGTTTCCGTCTTCGATGACTTCGATTGTATATGTGCTCCACTCACCGTCAGTGCAGGTGACATCCGAGTATCGCTGATGGGCATAAGTATCAATCGGATCGTTAACTACGAAGTGAATTCTATTGCCATTGGGTTCTCGCATGAGTAGAAAAGTTCGATCGCCGGGCCCGCCGTGATTGGCACCGCCTGCGCCTAGTCTAAGAATGGCCGTGTATTCCGAGTTCAACGGCGCGCTATGATCGCAGAAAACTTCAGCCGAAGCCTTGTAGCTCACAGCAGCTGGCACAGTTTCCAGAACATTATTTTGAATTGGGGCGATGGCGCAACCGTCGACAAAGCTGAAGCAGTTTTCGACTCCGTCACAAGGGTCAACAGCGCATGCTGGAGTGGCATCGAGAATTTGGTAGAAGAAATTACGGACGTTGAAGCCTGTAGCGGGCTCATTGTATTGCCCTGCGACAAATGCTGTGAGGTCGCCGGTAGTCTTTGCGCCGCTCGAGTCGTAAGTGCCATCCATGACGGTGACTCCGTCGACGGTGGCGACATACGAAAGTGTAGACCCTTCAAGCACCGTCACTTCAACAGCGTAGGTGTTCCACTCGTTTTCGATACAGTCGTGAATCACATATCTTTGATGACTCCAATCACCAGGAAAATTCACCACAACGTGAACTCCATTGCCGTTTGCATTTCTCATGAGAAGAAAAGTCCGATCCCCGGGCGCACCGATATCACCACCTGCCCCAAGTCGAAGAATGGTCTGATTGCTCGCAGAAACCGCCTTCTCGTGACTGCAAAAAACTTCAGCAGACGCTTTGTAGGCCAGGGTTGCTTGGACGGTCTCAACTTGATAATTGGCAGTGGGAGCAATTTCACAGCCGTTGACAAGTGTTGTGCAGCTTTCGATTCCATCGCATGGATCAGAGCAGAGAGGGGTATCGGCAAATGTCTGATAGTAGAAGTTGCGGACAGCAAACGCCGATCCAGCATCGTACCAGTCGTCAGAGACGAAAACTTGGAGATCGCCACTTGTCACCGATGATTGATAGTTGTAAGTTCCTTCATCGATTTGAGCACCATCAACGCTGACTATGTATCGCAAGTTCTTTGGGGAGCTGTCGACTTGCTTCACTTCAACGGAGTAGGTATTCCATTCACCGTCCATGCAGACGTAGTCGTTGCCCTTGGAATGATCGTCACCGGCTGGATCATTGACGGTGAAGTAGAGCTTGTTTTCGCTAGGATACCGCCAGAGCGCAAAGGTTCGGTCATTCGCAGCGCCAAAGTTTTCTCCCGCGCTCACGTGAAATATGTTCTTGAAGACTCCATCAAGCGCCATGCTTTGATCGCAGAGAACGTCAGCGGAGAATTTGTAGTTGAGAGCGGCGGGCACGGTTCCAATCTGATTGTTTCGAGAAGGTTGGAGGCTGCAGCCATCGACGAGAATGTGGCAGTCGTCGAGTCCATCACAAGGGTTGGTCTCGCAGGGAGGAGGAGTTGGTGCAAGGAGGTTGCACTTGAGCTGTTTGAATTTTCTGTTGAAAAGCATGTTGCGCTGTCTTTGGATGGTAAAGATCATTTTATGGGGAGCCCATCCGTTGTCAGTCGTGAGGTTGACATCGTCCATGCAGACGAAGGCGTCGTGGAAGCTCTTGACGGACGCAATTAGGTTGTTGATTGAGTGGCAAACGTCTTCACTGTCGTAGTAAGGAGGGATGAACGCATCCGGGTCGCCGGAGCCGGCAAAATCGACGCAGGAATCTGAGATGCGAGTGGGGAAGTTTTCGACTTTGTTGTAGAAATCGCGAAGTCGATTTGCCTTCTTCCTTGAATTGCGGGCGGGCAGTCCTCTTCCAACGTAGGCGGCGAATACATCGTCGTAGACCTCGTTGTAAGCAGCAGCAACCTTAGTCCAGGCATTGTCCGCTACCTCGAGACCAGCAGCAGCTGCGATAACAGCAGGAAGAAGCTACAATGTCATTTATTTTTTAATATTTTTTCTCTTATAAATTCGCTCTTACCTTCATTTTCCGATCAATTTTGAAAAAATTCTATTTTCAATGATAATTCTGAGGGACTTCAAGTTCGATTTTATATCGCGAAAGTGCTGACTAGCGCGCCGCATGTGGTATCTTATCGCATGTTTTCGATCGTAATTAGCCACAAGGCCAAGCGTAAAAACACGCGGCTGATCTTCTAACTACGTACCTGGTTCGTCGTACATGGCAAGTAATTGGTGCATGTTGACAACTTTTTCTCATCATGGTCACAGAACAATAAACTCTTGCAAAAACAACAAGCGTGAGAACGTTTTTACAAACAAAGTCATAAAGAAGACGCTATTTGATATCCTAAGCTCATTCGAAATATGCTCGTTTTCATTATTTTCAACCGAGTTTTTGCAGAGACGAAATTTTCAATTGGTCAAGAAGAAATCCGCATCTTCGAAAATTGTCCGAATCCATTGGAATTAACTCGATATATTCAAATTTCAGGAGGGCAAAATGGCTTAGGGTCGAATCTTGATCTATCCAAAGAAGAAAAATCCGTGGAAATTTGCTGCAAGCCTTGCTGCGAGTGCTATGAGGCTATTGACTGCGATGATGTTCAAGAGGTCGAATTTTCTGACGAGAAAAAGGCCGAGATTGTTGATTTTCTCAAAAGAGCATTGACTTGGAGTTTTGTTGAAGAAATCGCAATTCACGATTCTTGCCGAGAATTCTTCGTTCTCGAATCAGGTGCTTTTTCAAAGAAGATTATTTATTGAAACATTTCCTAGAGATCTTCTTCTACCTTCCAAAACTCAAAGAAATTTTCCTTCTTTCCCGGAACGGAAGAAATTCCTTGGCGAAGTTTGATGACTCATCGAAAAAATTTATCTGCGCCCCAAAAGCTCATGTTCTTTCAAATCAGATTCTAGGCGCAATTATTTCTGAAAACCGAGATTTTCGAGCTACTGAAATGGTAATTGATCTTCACGAAGAAAACCTTGCTTTGGGACAATCAAGTTCGATTATTGAAGATCTTCAAAACTGTGCAAAAAGACTTCTTCATGTTATTCTTTACAAAAAAACTACGGAATAAAGATATAATAAAATTTGACATTTTGTTAATGTCAAACAACCCTAACAATTCAATAATTGATCAATCAATAAGTTTAAATAAAAAAAAAACTCGGATTTTTTCGTGAAAAAACAGTGGTAAGCAGATTTTTTCTTTCGCAAGTTCAAAAACAGCCTTGAGAAACACCCATCTGCAATTTCATTTTTCTCCATTTCGTCTCAAAAACCTTCAAATCATCTCCTGATGAAACTGTTAGGCTCCATATCTCTGGCTCTTGCGAGCGCAGACCGCAATGTTGAGCATCGAAGTTTCGAGAGACCAAAGAGCGTTTCACAAATCAACGCTGAAGGAACCATTCCAAACGGGATCAAGAATCAAGCGCGACAAGGATTTCTAGATGGGGCTCATCGATGGCATAATCGGACGATTCCGATTTCTCTGAATCGATCACTCGATGAAAACGGAAGGTAAATCGTTCATTCCTATAAAAAATTCTTTAATTTTTCGCTTTGACCTTTTACTTACCATTTTTCTAGCGGTGGACTTTTTCAAGCGATCCGAGAACTGGAAGAAAAGAACATTGCTCGATTCAAACCCGCTGGCCCGGAAGATAAAGATTCAATCAACGTCATGAAGGGCGGCGGCTGCTGGTCCTGGTATGGACGACTGAGCGGGGAGCAAGAATTGTCCCTCGGGACTGGTTGTGGCTGGATGAATGTAGCTATTCACGAGCTTTTCCATGCGATGGGAATGGCTCATACGCAGATGAGAAGCGATAGGGATGAACATGTGGAAATCCTGTGGGAGAATATCAGCGAGGAGCAGGCTTATAATTTTGACAAGCTTGACGATATTTCCTTCAGCAACTACGGTTTTCCATATGACAAGGGATCGTAAACTTTTTTGAAATCAAGAAAGACTTCGTTTTTTTCCAATTCCGATCCCTGATTTTTGATTATTTCTCCGTGATGCACTACGACAAATACGCCTTCACCAACAACAACGAAATGACCATCAAGACGAAAGATCCCTACTACGAAAATCTGATTGGCCAGCGGATGACCGCGAGCCCTCAAGATATTCAAATGCTCGATATCATGTACGATCCTTCAAGCTACGACTTGACTCAATGCCGATGCAAGGCTTTTGAAGTGTCCGGATTTCATTCCCAGGGACACAATGTTCACGGAGTCTACTACCTTGATGGAACTGCTGAAGATAAACTTCTCTATGGCCAAGGTTTTTGAATAAATTTTTCAATCACAACAAAGAAAATCATCAAAAACCAAACAAGACCAAATCAAAACGGCAACTACCTCGCATACAACAAGTACAACTGGAGCTGGGGCATTCAAAACGTCGTCGGCGAGAACTACTTCTTTGCCTTGATCTACGATGTATCTCTCTGCCCAGAAGACATCAACGGCCCAGAACCATGGAACGAGTGGACCGGTCAGCAATGGTCTGCTGTTCCAGGCGCAAAAGCAGAATGCATCGATTGGCTGACTGAGGATGAGACTGTTCCGGAGAGCATCAAAATGCCAGAAAACGAAAAACTCGAGAGAGCTGAAGAAGCAAACGGACTGTGTCCATCAGATGAGGATAAATTTATCTGGGAGATTGACAACTGGAGCTTCGTACTGTAAGCACTCTTTCCTTTTTCATTTATAAAAACTAATCAAGAGCCACGATTCCTCGAGGAACAGCACTGCGAAAGACCTTCGTCGATCGAGAAGGTTACACTTTCGAAGCTTCAATCTATCCAAATGGTGCGCTGACCGCCCCAGATCACATTTCCGTATTCTTCGGCGTCGTCGAAGGTGAACATGACGATGAGCTCCCTTGGCCTCTCTACGGTAGATACCTGACTATGGGCCTTGTCGAACCCACCAAGACCTGTCGGGATCGAATGACGCACAAAATGCAGTTCACTTCGGCCAAATATCTCAACGATTACTACAAGCCATCTGAAGTCGGCCCAACCACCTACGGCTGGAACACCTTTATGAGCAAAGAAGAGTTCGCTGCGTATGATTTTGTTGACGAGCAAAATGACAGCGTCAAGTTTGTCTTTTCCGCTGAAGATGCAACAGGGCAATATTTGGATTGTGACGTTGAAAAGCTTGGAGACTTCAGCAGATGCTTTTATCATCCAGTTGATAATGATCTGAGTAAGTTGACTGTAGATCGGAAAGAGGTTAAGGGTTATGGTTATTGACGACTATTTTGAAAAGCAGTTTCCCTTATGTCATTTTAAGCATTTGACAACAACGGAGTCATTTCCGGCCGCGGAGTTGTCTCCACCAAATCTCCACCAATCAAAATCTATGGCAAACGTTGCCTCCATGTCGATCTAGAAACAACTGGCTCCGTCACTCTCAGCATCCAGGGCGAAAACGTGTGGACAGGAGAAGAGTATCAATACCTCCTTGAGAAGCGATTTTTCGAGGGCGACGAGCATCAGCATTTTGATGTCGAGCTCGGCCACGATGATGATTTCTCCGTTGGATATCTTCAATACATCAAGTTGGAAATCATCAATCACGACAATGTCGAGACGAAACTTATTCAAACCAATTTTGAGCATGACGACTGCGAGCATGATCACGACCATCATCTTTAGAGAGATATTTTTTTCTACTGTTTTAGACAAAAATAAAACATGACTCATTATCAATATTTTTTTTTGCTTTTTCAACACCTTGCCCTAGTTGTTCCTGGTAATCATATTATTCAATTCGTAAAAATTGCCCCTTCGCAGAAGGCGACAATGGATAATGACACGAGTCGGCAAGCGGGGGCCTGTCAGGTGTTCCCAGCTGCTCCCGGTTCGTTGGTGGTCCTTCTTTTCGCCACGCGACCTCGGCCTGGCCGGTTGCCAAGGAGCACCAAAAGTCTGCACCACCGGATTATGGCGCCAAGGAACAAGTGTGTCTAATTAGCAAACCAAATAAGAAGGGGAGCAAATCTTGGAGCGCGAACAGCTTTTTTTTGGGCGGGAAAAAACGAGCTCATAACTTCCGGGAATTGAATTAAATACGCCTCGTTTTCTTATGTCAGTTCTTACTTGATGTTTTTCAGAGAAAGATCTTCTCGATCAATTATTTCTTGCTATTCGATTTTATTCTGACAGCATCGGCAGATCATCTTTTTTCTCTTCTCTATCAAAAAGATGCCAATTAAATTGATGAGTTTCTGTATAAAAACTCGGGCAAATTGAAATGATTTCTTCAAAATTCAGATGAAATGATTCTCAACAAGATATACATTTTAATCGTTATTTCTTTTGCCAATCCCGTCCTTTTCGGAGTTTTGAACAAGTACGGAAAGCTAATTTGCGACCTGAAACATGATGATTTGACTCATCCACATCGTAACTGTAAGTCGCTATTACAGTTGCAAAAAAAGGGCTGTGTTTTTTCTTCAGATAAAACAATTCCTGGATTTTACGGAGAAAATTTTAAACAACTTTTGAATAAAGACCTGCACCTGACTTTTGAGCACTAGATTTAATAAAAACCAGTTCGAGTTCAATTTTTATGGTGTCGCTTTTTATTGTGTCGTATTCTTTGTACAGGGTCTGACTCTAGCTTCAAGCAAAGCTGTGTTTTAAATAGTTATAGTAAAAGTAAGCATGCGTTAAATCATTCCGCTGATCTCTACCAGAGAGGGCGCAAGAGCTGTTATTTTGGCGGGAAATTTGAAAAGCAAGAGCGAGAACTAGAAATTTTTCACCGTAGAAAGTTGAATAAGTTGACTGTTTATATAAATGAAAATTTGAAAATAAGGAAGTGAAGCCCTTAAAAAGGGAAGAAATTTTACAGTTTTGAAAAGTGCTTATATATAAAATTGAAATAAGGAAAAAATTGAAATAAAGAAAGGATACTTTGTTTTGAGAACAATTCATAAATAAGGTGACTCCTGAATCTTTTTTCTAAAGAGAAAAAGACAAGGAAGGTTGAAGAAAATGTGACACGACGGTGGTGGGTGAACGGCATTACAGGATGGCAAAGCGAAGTTGTGCTGCAAGTTGGGGCCCCCAACTTGGGGGGACTCATCGCGGGGTTGAGTTCTTTTACTTTGAGACGGATTCTGAAATTCTAGCGTTAGAAGACTGTTCCCAAATGGTCAAAAAGGATGTTCGAAAGAAGGTGTCACTGAGAAAACCACTCTAGAAATACCCTCCTTTGATCCCCAATTCTAGCGCCGGGAAATAATCCCTTGCGGAATTTCCCCCTCTTCGCACCTTTAGAATTGTAGAATTTCCGACACTGGAAGTCATTGAAAGATCAAATTTGGAATGTGGCATCCAGTGGCACTTGGCTCTTCGCGAAATTCAAACAAAGAGGCGTTCTTAAGGGGCTCTCAAGCACCATCAAGTGCCCATTGTTTCGAACAGACTTGAGCTCAGCAGGTTTACTGCCCTTTTTTGCGCTTTATGCTTACCTTGTTGATTTTTCGGCCGGATGGTGAGTTTTGTCATTTTGGCTTTCTTCGCTTCTGTGGCTGAAACTGGCGCGGAATTCGAAAAGTCGAGTTGGGCGCGAGTTCGTTTGGTTGGGGATCGCTTCGCTGGGGAGGCAAAGTCGGGAAGAGTCGCGGCTTTTTTGCTTCCGACGGCGTTCAGGGCTTCGGCTCGACGATTTCGGAGGGCGATGGCTCGATAGTATCGTGGAGCAGAGCGGGTGATAGTCCAATCGTAGTTTTGTTCACTTTCACTGAAGAAAAAATTGTAAGAAATTTGATGAAGGAGCCTCTTAAATCTTGGCATGTAAAAGGCCTTTAATTGCTCAAAAATATAACCCTTTTCAAGAATCTCTAGAAAGCCCCCACTCTCGCATGCCCAAACAAACCCTCAAAGAAAGAGGGCAAATTAACACGCGCGCTGATTCTTGTCAAAATAGCGGTCGCTCACCTTGATCTAATGGGTCGACCGGTAGTCGTGTTGAAGTTGTAAATTTCAGCAAAGCGGCGTTCTTCCGATTCCATTGCTTCAGAAATTTGACGCTTCAGGAAATCGTCGGTAGATTCGCGAGTCGACACTGGTCGGTTGTTTTCGTCGTTGTCTTGGCCAAAATTCAACCTCCTAAAAATAAAATAAGTCTCTTTGTTAAGGGAATCCTTGGCACTGTTCATATTGAGCGAAAAATCTCAAGAAGGCACCTTAATCCCATTAGCCTTTCCACTCCCAAATGTCAAATACGCATTATCTCTGCATGGCATTACCAAATGTACTCGAACATAAAATGTCAATCACGCAAAAAATAGTCTTGACAATAAACTGCGGTTTTGTCAACACTGAGTTTTATGCCCAGGACATCTTCTTGCGGCTTTTTTATTTAGTATTTACGGCTTCGTTTTTATTCAATAAACCCATTTTGTCGCTAAACTGCCCTAGATTATCAAATCAAAAAACACCCTTTAGCTTTATTTTCCCCGAAATAATAGGGAAAATATCGTTTGGTAGACCCTTAATTGCCATTTTTCAAGTTTTGATTACATCTTCAACTGACCCCCTCAAAAAACCATCAAACACATAATATTATTCCATTTCCAAAACAGTGGCAACCTGGTCACGCGCCAAAAAATAAACTTATGGTAACTACCGATTTTTTTTCTTTACAAAAATAAATTTTCATAAACGATCTTTATGTAATGCGCGACTTTGTGGCGGCGAAAAAGCGCGTGAAAAAAAATAAGATGCGATGACCTTAAAAACGAACGGGTTAGATAATGATAATAAACATGGTGTCGGGGGCCTGGGGGTTTTCGATTCTGATAGACGGGCAGGAGTGAACTTGGCTTGATTTATGACGCAGGGGCAATCAAGTGAAAGGCCAAATACACACAAGCTGGGCAAAACAAATTACTTCGCACTTGATTTTCAAGACTTCTAAGACTTAGATTTATCGCTTGTTCCATCATTCAACCCCCGGTTACCATAATTTCCGACCGCAAAGAAACATCCCCTTACCGAAAATTATCAAACTTCTCGCACGCTAAGAAGCTTCCCTGGACACGTGACTGTGGTCAATATTCTGCAGGTGCTCAAGTCGGGGGGCTAAAATGGCGGTCCTAGTAGCGGAAAAAAATCACCACCCGGAACATCCTGTGAAAGAAAATTCGCGGTTCTTTTGTGTTTTCAAAAAGGTTTCAACCCTTATTTTTTCACACCGGGGGATGCAGATTTTTGGAACTCAGCCTATCCTCATCTTTTTGAGACCTTCGCCCTAGCGCATTCGTTTCTGAGCAAAGAAATGATTACGTGATAATAGCGCACTACAAAGTCAATAGAAAAAAGCGTAGTAAAAGCAGAAAAAAATACGCTGTCGGAGAGCCTGAGAGCTCCGAAAACAAGCACGAGCCCCATCCAGTCTCACCGACAGAGCATTTTTAACTGACTGAGGCAAGTTTTGAAGATGAGAACTTATTTTCAAGGACGAAAATACGCAATTTTCTTTCAATAAAATCATCATTTTTTTCGGAAAAAATTCAAATTAGCGAAAAATTGAAAATTTATAGGAAGAAAAAAGGTGAAAAATTAAGGGTATCTCTCTAAAAAATATTTTTATAGTTCTTACCTTCGAACAGGAAGTCTGGATGGGCGAGAAGGTGTCATGAGACTGATGATGTTCGAGGCCGAGTTTGTCATTGTAGGAATAGTCTGAAAAGAAAAACATGATTATCTCTCATTTTAATAAAATCGTTAATCAACAACAATTAAATTTCTCTTTTTTCAAATTTTCCTGAAAAAAGTGCATCGCGGCCTGGGCGCGAGCTCAAAATCGATCTTGTCTGACAGAACCAGGCGCGCAAGATCTCTGTTTTGACCGTTTTTTTTCCCGGGGAAATTTTACTTTTTGAAGGTTTTTTTTCGAATGAGGGAAGACTAGGATGAGCTCGAGTTTTTATGCGTTCGGGCTTTGAGAAGGCAATCGGTGCTCATCAGGCCGCTCAGACTTTGGCCAAACAAAAGAGCAATGGCGGAGCATAGCGGGGCGCGCGGATCATCCAAAATCATCAAGGGTCGGGGCAAGATGGTTGACGATCAGGAGGGCTTATTCAGGGGTAATTAAATAGAAGGAGAAAGTCATTAGGCAAAAATTCGAATCTTTTTTTATCTCAATTTTTAATTTTTTAGAGTAAAAATCATCAAAATGGTGAATTTTAATTTGAAAAAATAAGGGTGTCAGAACTTTAATTTTTTGTTAAACATTCGATTTCTTGATTAATATCGACCTTGAAAAAAAAAAAAGAGTTGAAAAGAAGTAAATATGGTTTTTGGTCATTCACGCGTTCATTTCCGCTTTCAAGCAAGTTTCTGCTTGTTTAGCAGTTTTATTTTATTTTGTTGAATATAATTTCAAACCCGTTAGTTTGGACAGATGACACCGCCGCGGCGGATGAAAAGGATCAAGAGCGGATCATCCTGGCGGGAAACAGAGAGCTATAGCTACAGGATACTCTATCCCCCGCCGCTTATCGCTATTGTAAATAACATAAGGATCTGGCCAGGGAAGCCAGAACTACTAAGATTTTGGGTTTAAGGGTGTAAGAAATAATTCGAGGTAAGTTGAACTTTTCCGATATCATTTTGACACCCTTAAATCACCAATAAACCCCATTTGTCCTCCTTCAATACGAAATAAGGGTGTCAACAATGCTTTAATCAGGGTTTCGACCTTCTTTAAAACGCCATTGACACCCTTATTTCTAAATTTTCAAAGGCAAAAGTGCTATCAATCATTTTTCGTCACGAAAACAGAAGAGAAACGCAATGAAATCTCATTATTCATATCAATTTGAGGCGAACTTTCCCCTCTATTCACGATTATTTGCGCAAAATCCGATGATCGAGTTACTATTCACCTTCATTTTCATTTCAGAAAAGTCAATTTGCTTTGCGCAAACTAATTCTGAGTCTCAAAATCGCGAAATTAAATTTCAATCTCAAGTTCAATCCGGCTAAAAATCGCTTGATCCGGTTGATCCGTTAAATAAGATTAATTTCAAGCTTGGTTTTCTCGAAGAACTTATTGAGCGAAAGCTTAATTTGATAAAGAAAAAAAAGCGGACAAAAGAACTGCTGGATGCTGCTTAACAAGTTAAGAGCCCGAGGGTCGAATTGTCCTTGTGAATGTGGGAGCACGTGGCGGATGTCCGGATCAAAACAAAAAAAAGCGCACTTGAGGGAGTTATTTCTCGCTGTTTAGGTTGATTGAGCCTATTCAGGAAGCTCGATTTTCGCTAAAAAGAGCGTTTTTCAAGAAAAAAATCTCAAAATAAAAAATATTTTTCTTTTTTTTTATAAAAGGACATTCAAATCGCTGATAAGCCGCTTATCAGTATTATTTTCTTTAAAACTTACATTTTGAGTCATTCTTGATGGTTTTTTTCGGTATAACTTTTTTTTTTTTCTTCTTGTTGAATTTTTATATCTTTGTTTCAAGTTTGTTTCGAGGTCTCTTGGCTGTTATTTCTTCGAGAAAAAGGAGTGATTGAATATCTATAAGCGCGATATATTTTGTTTGAAAAATGGATTTGAGCTCTGCATCCGGGTTCGCGCTTTTTTACTACGGTTTGGAATAGTAGCGGCGCTGGGGAGCACGCGCGCGGGCGCAGCTGAGGCGCCATCCTCACGTACCGAGCTGCTCAAGGCTTCGAGCAAGGCCAGCGAGGAGGAGGAATCGATGACTCTTGATGCAAAACTCAGGGATCGATTCGGGGGTGAATGATTTGATGAGATCGAAATAAAGGGAGGGATATCATTTTGAGAATTAAGGGATTATTTTATGGGAAATAATAATTTCTGAGAATTTACAAATTGACACCCTTAATAAATTTGCTCAAAGGGAAGTTAAAACAAAGAAGAACTGAATCAGGAAAACCTTTTTTGCTTTGAAAAGAGTGATCAAAGAGCCTTGACTAAGATTTTCTTCCAAATCTGCTAAGGGGATCCCAAAGGAAAAAGATTGAAATAATGAGTCTGGACGGGCGGGCGACCGGAGACAATTTAAATAATTTCAGGAAAGTCTGGAATCCTCCTCGGACTCCAAATTCTTTTACTTCTTGACCGAACCATCGCAGGAGTTCCTTGACATTTCCTGTCAGCACCACTCAGCGATCGTTTTATCTCCCCGCGGCCAGTCAGTTGCGGAGATCAATCAGGACATTTTTCGCACTTACTGTCCTTGACCAGTCCCATCGCGAAAAATGGATGAGCCACGAGCTTAGATCCCTCCCGCTGAGATCTTTTCAGACCGGGTTTTACAGGCGACTGACAATTTATTGCCAATTTCCGACTCAAGCGACCTAAGCGAGAATAACCATGGGAAGATGGAGCTAGAAAAAACTGTCCGTGAATATTTAATCGCATTGAATAAATAATAAATTTTCTCGAGCAGGTGGTCTTTTCGCAGCGCATCGTAATTTTGCTCGAACACACAATAATGGATGACATCTGTAATGACGAGAAAAGGAGAGGTCGATGCCCCCTCCCCTAAATTTAACCTGGAAGCGAGTCATGTTATCGTCAAAAGAGACGTTTCAGGCGACTCTTTTGTTGAGAAACGCAGGAAAAAATGGTGAAATAGCCTCATTCTGACTAAGAGACTTTGCGAACTCGTAGTAAATCCAAATCCATTCCATATTGATCTACTACTGTATCAACATTTGATTTCTCTCGTAGATTAAATCTTGCGATTCAGCGTTTCTTTTCGCAGCCGGGCTTCAAATTAATATTTGTGCTAACCGCGCTCAGCACTGAGTTTCAATGCAAAAGCAATTTTCTTATCGCGTTTTGCATGGGATTGTTAGCTCGTCATCGTTCCTGGGAAAAAAGGAGGGATGAGAGGGAAGACGAGTCCCTCTCCTCAATGAGTGTCTTGATGAAGCAATAAACGTCTAAAAGGGATAATTCTTGACTTTCTCAAACGCGGGCTTTTTAAAAATTTCAAACTCGGCGCCGAAAATCACACAGCTCCCGATTTCCCGGTATCGGAAAAGGTTAATGCTAAGCTTCCAATATCCGACCCTGACATTCGTGACGAGTTTTAGGTCTCTCTCACGAGTTCAAGAGTAAATTTGAACACTGTTTATTTGATTTAAGGAAGTTGGCATCAGAAGACAGTATTTCGCAGGAAGAAAATGAGGGTGTCACTTCGATTTCCTGAAAACTTCGAAAATTGACGGCAAAATTGCTAGAAAACTAATTTTACAACATTATTCTCCAGGTGTGAAGGACATGTCGCTTATCATGGTGTAGGAAGTGAAAAGGTTAACCCTGACACCAGATGGCTCAGCATCCTGTTCATGTTGCGATAAAGGGATTACTCGAGTCACACCCCGCAGAAGGCGATAAATTTCGACCAAAACCGGAAGTTGGGCTTTTTGCATAAAAACGACTTTCATTCGAAATTGAGAAAATACCTTCATTCTTGAAGAAGCCCTTAAGGGGCGGGTCGACGAAATCGGGATTTCCGTGACCAAAAATGGGAGAAAACCTGATAAGATAGGCGAAATCTGAATTTAGTGGCGAATAGAAAAGGGTTGAAAAAATTAACCGGCGAAAAGTTGAAAAAATTTGGCCAGAAAAATCGGTCAAAAATCCCATCAAAGTGGGGCCATTTTCGCGAAAATGCACCAAAAATGGTCATTTTTTTACATTTTCCTAATTTTACCCTCTAAATCTCATTTTTATCAAATGATTTTAGGCTCAAAAGATTTGGGAGAATCTGTAGATTCCAAAAATATAAGTTTCATATCCAGACTATGAGTACAAGCGAAATTACGATCACCCCTGAAAAATTTCTCGTCGACCCCCCCCTTAAATTCAGAGGAAATAGATTTTTTTGAAAAGAAAAATAAGGGTGTCACTGAGTTAATTTCGATGAATGTTATTCAAAATATAAGACTTTAAGTCTTTTTTGTGCGTTTACCCTTAAGATATTTTTTTGATTAGGAATTTGATCGAAATTAACATGGTGACACCCTTATTTTTCTTCTCGAAAAATTCTTTCCTCTGAATTTAAGGACTACCTAAAGAAAGAAGGTATTTTCTTAATTTCAAAATTTATGAATCTCAGAATAGAAAAAGTTAGATACTAAGCCTTAGTAACTAAGGGTATCCCCTTATTATTTATGCAGATATATTTGCTACGCCCTGAATTCATATTTTCACCTGGCTACAAAATTTTAATGAGATACTAAATGTTATGTTTTCATCATTTCCAGCGTCTGCCAGATTTGAGTTGGTCAGCATCAATTCTGAGTTTAATTGCCGGAGTATAAAATTTTATTTCGATCGCCCCCGAAAACGTAAGCACTTTGTGACAATGATGGATTGTGGAAGCTTCTGTTTGAGAAACGAAAAAATAGAGGAAAAAATATGTTTGCGGAAAGGTCAGATTTGTCGTGATTTCGAGATAAATTGTGCAAATTTGAGATATGAAATCTGACAGACAAAAAATCAAAAAATCATTGCACTTTTTTGCGAAAATTTTTTCGAATTTTTTTCCGAAAATTTTTTCGAATATTTTTTGTAAAATTTTTTCAAATTTTTTGCGAAAAATTTTTTTCGAAATTTTTTTGCAAAAAATTTTTTTTTGAAATATTTTTGTGAAAAAGAAAATTATCTTGTCCTTCATAATTATGTAAATTTCGCCCGTTTTTTTATCTCCCCTCCCGGCGCGGCATTTTCTTAGAGCCAGATGTCATAACTGCGCGTTTTCCCTTATCAAAGAACATAAAGATTTCCCAATTGTATAAATATATATCTTTTGCGATAATAGCATGTTTGGTTACATATAATTTTCGCGCGCGCTCGCTGACCGCTTTCAAACTCCGCGCCAAAAAGAGAGGGACTCGCGACACCTTTTTGTTATCGCGGCCACGAGTGATAGGAGCCACGCGAAAAAACCGCTAAGTTTGGTAAACAACTCAAAATAGCGCAAATCACGAAAAAAACGCAAATGTGTTAATTTTTATCTGAACGAAAATGTCACGACAGAGTGGCCGGGTCTTAGGGTTGATATAACAAAACATGGTGATAAGGTCAAGGCGAATCAATTCTTATCAGAAAAAAAAGTGGTTGAAATTTTGACCCCCATTTTGACTCGATTCGTGATTTTTACTCATCTATGATTTTCTGTTTTTTTTTTGTGATTTTCTTACCTTTTTCAAAAGACACGAAAAAACTGGATAAGCGTGGCGCTGGGCGTAGTACAGCTCTCTTACTACTGTGTACACTTGACTGAGCGAGAACAAATTGAGCTTCGCCTCGGCTCTGACAAAGCCCTCGAACTTGAATATGATACATTACCAAAAAGCCGCGGCGGGGCCCTTTCTTTCTTTGCTTTCCCAAGTTCTCACAACGCTTCTTTGCGGCTCCACATATGATGAGAGGTATATCAGCAGTTTCTTGGAATTATGATGATTCATAAAAAACAATCCTAGAATTTAAATAATTACGTTTATTTTAAATTATCTAAAGCAGTCAAGAATAAGTGTACATTCCACAAATCATTCGGGATACTCTTAGAAGACATGATTAACATTTTATTAAAAAAATTGCCAATTTTTTGGCCCTCAATTCTACCTAAATAGTCAGAACGTCGCGCCATCATCTTGCGAGTATGTCTTATCATAAGACGTATCTACTGTTACGCTTCAAGAATTTTTATCAAGATTTATCGGCGATAACTTATCGCAATTCTAAGCTCCCTTTTTTAAAGAAAAAAAAACAAGCAGCTTTTATGGTACTGAAAACTTGAATTTTCATTTTGAGATGATAGGTGCTCAAGGAGCTTAAAAATTTTCCTCCAAAAATTAAAAATCTGGTCATTATCCCCCAAAAAATCAATGAAGAGCACATTGTCCAGACGGACCGTGGCACGAAGTTTATCGAACGCTGTGTCCAGGTCGCAATCTGGCGCTCGAAAATTTGGTTCCTCCGAAGACGCGGGTAATGCGATATTCAAATTAGAAATTTTCCGGATGAGGATGAAAATTTTCGGATTCGCGCCCGGCAGATTTATGAAGGAGACACTGGCGGAAGGGTGGAATTAATCAAGTTCTGTTTGTTCTTGGGAAGATTGACTTGGAATTTATTGATGAGTTCTGCTTGACGAAAAACGGCTTTTTCGACGAGAAAAAATATTTTGTTCAAATCAATCAAGGATCACATAATCCTCAAAATTACCCCTGTCAGGGCCTAAAAATATAAATTTCGTGAATATTCATAATCAGCGCCAAAAAGTGATCGATCCTCGAGCGCGCGCGATTTCAAATTTGTGACGCGCGATTTGATCAAGAGCCCTCATTATCTCCTTCTTTTATGTTTTCCGCCTCATTATCTCTCCCGGGAAACGATTTGAATTCCGCACGGTACTGCTCTTCCTTGATTTCGATCGAGGATTTTACGACCCGGGAAAGCGTAGTCTGTGGTAACCCGCCCCGACAAATGAAAGATAAAGTAACAGTCATTCGTCGGGGTCGATCCAAAGATCTCAATCAAGGAAATAAGGGGAGAGCTGCGGTTGAAAGTGATGGAGATGAATTGATGATGCGTCTTTTTGGGAAATGGTTTCGAAAACTCCTCTCTCATTTTCTAGGAAAATCCGAACAATCCAATATTTTCTCCTTTTTCATTTTATGAAAAGATTTATGGTGTATTTTAACCGCCGAAAAGCGAAAACCAGTGTTTGAAAAATGGCGGCTACTCGGCTGAGTGAGCGTGCGCCAGTTTGCACGAATCAATTTTTTCGTGATTGGTGAGCGTGATTTCAGACGCGAAATTTGTCGAATTTTTGTCGGTTCCAGACACCTCCTCATTTTTATTTCAGAATAAATTGATAGAAGTTTCTTTTATTCGCCAATAAGCAAAAACAAGGCTTCGTTTTGGGTTGAAATTCAAAATAATTAATGACCCCCGTCAACAATTTTAGAAAAATCTATTTTCGGAATTTCAAAATTTTGACCCCGGAAATGGATTCTACGGGTCAAAAACGATTTTGAAGCTGCATTTTTGGGCGGTCTATCTCGACTCTAATACCCTCAAAATCGCGTTTGAAAATCGGACATTTTGACAAAAAATGACGAAAAAGTCCCAATTTTGCTTCAATTTCAGATTATTGTTGGTCAAAAAGTGCTCCCAACGGTTTGGATTTTTGTGTACAGATTGTTTCGGTTAGGACCTTTTCAGATCTCTTTCAGGGAATTATCTGTTTTGTCTGAGGAAAAAAGATTCTCAAACAACCAATCGGTGGTGGGGGTCCATGTAGAGATTTTAAGGGAAACGGTAGATTGCTCATAACGATAAGATATCTATTTACCAATCTTCGATGGATGGCGCCCAACCTTTCAGAATTTCTGCTTATAAAAGCCTTGCAAAGTTTGTATCGAAGTGTTAAACTAATTTATCCAGTTTTTAGTATAAAAATTTAAAATGATTCTTCATCAGTTGGAACAATTTAGCATGAGTAATAATCTTTTTATCATTTTTTTTTAAATAAACTACATGTTACATGTAACAACAAGCACTTCTTTTTTTATTTGAAAAAGTTGAGTAAAAATGCGAAGAAATCGATACAAAAAAGCCATTTTTCTTCCGTCGATCAATTTTATTCGCGCAGGTTCGCTTTTGATCATCTGGTGCCGCCGCTGAAAATTCTGCGCAGCGCGTTGAAGCTCAAGCCTCCCGAGCTGTCACGTGCACGAGCTCCTTTCATCTGCGCCGCGCAATATTCTTAAAATCTTTAATCTTTCTGCTACTTGAATCTGTTGCCTCGAGAATTCCCTTTGTTCCCGATTCGTTGTTGGAAGGATACAAAATTAATCTTTTTCGAGGGGCGTTTTCAAGTTCAAGGGCTGTTTATTTAGGAACCGGACATGCTTTCTTGCCAAAAATTCTTTTTGAAATTAATTAAAATAAATGTCAATATTTATTTTGTACAGAAATAAACAAGCTGCAGTGTAATCGCGCATCATCTTTTTCGATAATTATTCTAAATTGTTGAATATCCGATTTGTCCTGTAATTATTCTGATTGGGCGATTTTCGCTCCATCATCACTTCCAAGTTTTGCTTCATCAAAGGGTCAGATTGGTTACAGTCAGGCCTCCTGACTGTCATTCCTTATCTTTTCCGATTTTTCCCTTGATTTCAAGTCGAATGAAAGTTTTACCTATTCTATCTATCAACCCTTATTCGGCTTGTTTTCTGATAATCATTATTCAAACAATCCGAGTCAGAATCTCCGGACCGCTTCGACAACCGGCGGACCAATCTCGGTCCGGCCGCGAACTTTGGCAGACTAGCGGCCAGATTGGAATGAAGATGAAAGGATCTAACTGACCCCAGCTTGATTTGAGCGCGTTTTCGGATTCTTTCGGTCACCAGGCTTATCAAACCAGAAACCCAAACAAGACCTGAAAAGAGTCTAAAAACTTGAAATCAAGGAAGACTTACCGAAAATAATCCATGTGAAGACGACAATTCTGTATGAAGTGTAAAGCATTTCAATTTTTGAAGGCCACATGCTCTAGAAAACGGCTCAAATCAAGGCAAAACTCGAGGAATTTTCGACTCACGGGAGCACAAAGCTCAGGAAGACCAGTTCGGTTGCTGATTTTGACCATCGTTACTGGCTCAATCATCGCCTGAATAGCTCTTTTTATCGATAAGAAGACCATAACAATTTATATTTATCATCAAAAATGTGCTCCTTTTGGCACAAAAAAAATTTAAGAACATTAAAAGGAATGTGTTAAAAAGATAAAAAGATAATCGATTAGTCAGACTTTTAACCATAAAAATAATGTCAAATAAAAACCAATATGATTTTGGGAGAGAAATTCTAGAGCTAAAAATGTCTTACCTGGAAGCAAACAGAATCATTTCGAACATTGTTCGCATATTTTTCCGGCGGCGCCACACTCGGAATATAATCCCCAAAACCAACCGTGGTCAGCGTAATAATTGAAAAATAAACAGCATCGAGAATCGTCCATTGCTCGATTTTGATAAAAGCGACGCATGGAAGCACAAAAGTGAGGACGAAGCCGATCGAAATGTAGGAAAAAGAGACGATGGAAGAAATTCGCTCGTTTTTGCAGCAACCCTTGGCGGATTGGACGAAGCGTTCTAGTTTGCTGCGGCATTTTCGCAAGCAGTCGTTGATGATTTCGGAAATGACGGAGAGGAGGTAAGCTTTTCAAGGGACAGAAAAAAAAGAAAGAATGAAATTTATGAAAATTTTTTTCTTGAAAATATCAAAATTCGACCCTTCCCGAAATAAGGAACGCCAAAAGAAACAAAAACAATGCAGAAGAGTTTTCCATTATCCGTCGCCGGAGAGGTGTTTCCATAACCAATCGTCGAAACCAACGTTCCAGCAAAGAAAAAAGCATTGTGATAGTCCCACCTTGAATTTCCCCCGTAACAGTCGCTTTGGAGCGAGCTGAAATCGTTGATACTCGTTCTTGATATTTCTCCGAAAGTGTCCAGCAGCGCTTTTTGAGAGACGACCAATTCGTCGTCTTGACCCAGTTTTGATGCTCCGAGTTGAGTTGCTTCTGAATAAAAGAACATTAAATTATGCGTAGAAAATAGACTATTTTCCGAAAGAAACCCCATCTCATCAAAATGAAAAAGACACTTACGCTGCCAAACTCTGTGATATTGATTGACCACGGCTCTATCCGGCTTTTCACTGTTCATTTCTTCCATCATCGTATCCATGACAATCGTTTTATAAGAACTCTACCGTCCGGATTTCAAGCTGATTCGATATTTTCCTCCTTGATTTCAAAAAGAAAATCCGTTCCTTTGAGCAATCTTCATCAGTCCAGTCGGAAAACATCGTTACCAACTTTTCCGGCAATGTATCATCTGGCATCGATTTATAATCGAATAGAAATTTTTTGAGCCCAGAGCAAATGAGGGTATTGAGCCCAAGATTGACAAGCGTCTGCCGCACTTTCCAGACTTGACCATTTCTCGCTTCTCCAACAGCATGTTTGCATTTTGCGATCTGAAGGGAAAACTTAGGGCAATCTTCATGAAATATTTTACCTCAACAGGGAATTCTATTTTCTTAAAAACAGCTGCACCAATTCCAAGGTAAAGAATATACAGTAAAAGAAGCTTTCCACAGTAGATTGATTGTGCTTTCAAAGTTCGTTTTCTAAAGACAAAAATAAGATTAAAAACCGCTTATTTTCGCCAGTAAATCGAAAACTTACTCATCTGAAATTCTCATATTATTATCCTTTTTGCGGAAATTTCTATTTCTCATCCCTTTTTTTCATCGTCTCTGTAAAAAAATCTCGTTTCTCGAAAAAGACTATTAGTCTCTTTCGCAAAACTGGTAATCCGGTATTGAGTTGCATTTTGTTTCCCAGCATACTCACAAATCAAAATCCATTTCACTAGTAATTATTCAGGTAGCATCTGTTCTCCAAAATAAGAGAAAGTGCAATGGCCAACAGTCGTAATATAATCAAGATCGATCGGTTGTAATGAACCTGTCCAAGTCGGGAATTATAAAAAAAAAAGAAACGGATAAGGTAAAGGCGAACTTTTTTGTAGTCATCGAATTTTCATGCGAAAAATCTTTAAATTTTTTTTCTCAAAATTACTTTTTTAACTTTGGTTAGGGTTAAATAAAGGGTAAGGGTTTACCTTTTGAAAAATCGGGACGGTGTATGAAACCGACAAAAAAATTCGAAAAATTTTGCGTGGGCGTCTACTTGGCTGTTGATTAGCAGGTTTGCCTTATCTAGGCTTCTGATTGGTTGAAAATTTTCACGCAAAATTTGTCGAAAATTTTTGTCAGTTCCAGACACCTCCCGAAATATAACCCTAACCCTAACCCAAAAACAGACAAATGAGCTGGAATAAGTCCCTTTTCCCCGTTCTCAAACACATGTTTCTTACATATTCTCCGTCTCCCGATGAGTCTTATTGTGACAGGTACTTTCTGCAATACATTTCCTAGACGCATGAATTCTCGTTGCTGATTTTTTCCGGCCGAAAATATCAATTTGGTTGAGTAAATGTCTCATTTTTTCATCAATTTCTACTTCGAAAAATGACTAAAAAGAATTACCAAAAGGCCAATTTTTCAATATTCGATTAGACCCTCGCTTTACATGGTTTTAAGTTAATGAGAAAATAACGATCTTGCCTTTAAACGCAGGTTGTATTGAATTATTAAGGCCCTATTTCATCTCCGAAAAAGTGACCTTTGCTTAAAAACCTTACGAAAAAAGACCATTATATCAGAAAAAATCAACAAGTTCAAGCGTTAATGATAAATGAGTGTACCCATTACAGAAGTTCAATATTTACTAATATCAAAATTTTGACTTGTATCCCATCAAAAATGAATGTCGTGTCGATTTTGATAAAGATATTTTAATATTTCGACTGAAGGCAAAAAGGCTGAAGCATAATTTGCTTCTGTTTGTTTTTTCTTGGGTTCAACTAATGAACTTGATTTTCTGGTTGTAAACAATGATCTAATGGACCCGAATTCACTGAGGTTGGGCAAGGCTAATGTCAATACTGGGGAAGACAGATTGTACTCGCTGGACCTTTGGGAGATAAACTCAATCCTTGATACTGTGTCAGACAAGTTAATCGACTCAAAAGAGGCGTAGAAGAAAACTATTGAAAATATAGTCTATCGTCTCCGAAATCGGACAGTCTCACATATTGTCATGGAAAACATCATGAATAAGACTTTCAAACTTCGGTTAACTCAAAGTTTTTCAAACTACACTGAACAAACTAACTGCCTTAAAATAAGGCCCTTATTTTTCATTTCGGCAAAGATAAATTTTTTTTTTTTGAATTTGATTCGAAAAATCTGGAAACGGAAAATTTCGCCATGCAAAAAGCATAATGGGGATTTCATCGTTGTTTTATTAAAATAACTAAGGGTGTCACTATGCTAACTTTTCGGTATAGGAAGAAGAAATCCCGACTAAGGATCCTTATAAGTTATAAGTTATAAGTTATAACTTATAACTTATAACCAGTTTTTCCTACCAGCAAATCAGATGAATTCTTTACCGTTTACAATAAATAGCCCGTCTGGCAGATAGATGACTATGATGCTGATGATGACCTTCTAGTTCTTCATCCCCTAGCTTAGTGAAGCTCTTTCTCTTCTTCGACTTCATCAAATGTGTCAACTTTTTTTTTGATGTGAAAGTGTGAGAGCAAGCTTCCAAGGGGTCTCTAACAAAATCAGCTGAAAAAAATAATGAGCACGCATCACCAGTAATGCATCGCACCGCGACAACAACTTTGACTGACGTTTGACTGATGCTCTTACAGCGTTCACGCCCTTAGTGAGGTTCTCAAAAACGGTATCTGAGGATTCGGACGTATCTGATGCTCAAATACTCATCATAAAAACCGAGGGGAATTATAAATCTTTTACCATATTTCTAATATGATATGAGCGTGAAAATGTTCCATCTTCCCTTGAATGATGATCGTGAAAATGACTGATTCAGCCATGCATATTACGTGGAAGAAAGAGTCCGACGTAAACAACATCTTTCTGGGACGAAAGTGCGTTTTCCCGTCTATTTTTCAGCCCCCAATCAAGACTTTCTCGACTACATTCTAGTCTCACATAATTCCGAAAGAAACCCAAAAATCTTATACAGTTTTTTTCCTCCTTTGTGGACCCCAAGTTTGTGGACATTTTCTTCATTTTAAGGGGTTTCCGTGGGACACTACTGCAAAGATATTGTTCCACTTTTGTGGACATTTTCCCTGATAAGAAAGTTTTAGAGGCAAAAATTGCATATTTTTTTCAAAAATCCAAGGTTATTTTCAAGAAATGAAGGACTAAAGCATTCAAATTTGTCGAAAAAAGATAAACATAAGCAAGAGAAAGGCGTTTCGAGGATGAAATTCGCCATTTTTCCGGATCAAAAAATGTCCACAAAAGAGGAAAATAACTGTATGTACCTGAAAATAGATTTTCCACTCATAAAGCTACCCTTCCTTATCGAAATTTTCGACCATCCATTTGATGATCTCAGTGAAAAACTCCGTGCTTCTCTCATTTTTTTCAAAAGACTTATTTCTCAGACATAAAGTTGGGCAAAAAGAAAATTAAATTTGAATTGGCCTAGGTTAAAGCCTTCGACAATAAAATGCAAAAAGAAGAAACTTTCGTGACGAAAGTCTTTGGTCTGAAATGGAAGTTAATTCTCAGTGAGCATACTTTTGATATTCAAAATGAACATCGTATTGAAATTCTGCCAATACCAAGGACCATTGATCCCTCTATTTAGCTTTACAACATAGGCTTTGTTACATAGCCTTCTTTACCTGAAAATTGACTTTCGTCGTCGATTTTTTCTTGATGATTTTTTTCTCAATGAAATTCGAAGCTCCATTTTACTCGAAAATTGATAAAAATTGCTGATCTATCTGGCAAAAAAGCGTCAAATTAATTTTTTGCGGTACTGTTTGGTTTCATTTCATTTTCTGGGTGACAGAAGAATAATACTGTACGATGACATAATTGCATCTGACCAAAATCAGTGGTCAAAGTCAAAGATAACGGGCTTTAAATATTTAATTTTGGATACTATTATTTCTGAAGATTCGGAAATCCTTATATCCGCTACTTAGATGCCTAATTCAAACGATAAAAATAAAAATTTCTTTAAAAGACTCACGCTTGTCCTTGAAAACGTTTTGGAGAAAATTTTTAAGGAAAATTTTTTTTAAATCAAGGAAGAAAAAATCTTCAAAACTCTTTTTCCTGAAGCAATGCTTTCTCTTTTAAAAGAAAACAGACTCGTTTGATCGGGAAAAATTTCTACCCCGAAATTCCCGAAAGAACTTATCGGCAAAAATCTGAACTGACTATCTCTTCTTTCAAGCATTTTCTACTTCAAAAATGGGGCAAAAGTGCAGCTGCTCATCACCGCAAAGGTACTAAAGCTTTGATTTCATTCCGACGCAAATCGGCGATGACAAATGTGATCCCTTTTTCTTATATTTAATGCAAATTCGGCTCATTTAATCAACCCTTTTTGTCATGTTTACTTCTGTTCAAAATGGCTTAATCAAAAGCAGCACTGAAAAATCGGACTTAACCAAATTATAGAAGTGCATTTTTGGATAACCAATAAGATTGCTGTATTTGGCCTACCGGCCAATCAAAACTCTGATCCATAAAATCACTTCAATTTCTGGTTCTGCCCGAAAAATTTGATCTTCATTTGACCGTTTTAAGGGTGTCAACAAAGATTTTTGGTTAGGGTTAGGGTTAGGGTTAGGGAAAGTCGTTGTTGACACCCTAAATGGTCATAAAAGCTTGAAATGAATACCTTTTCTTTCTTGGAAGACCAGGAAGATAAGCAATGGCGTGATATTGATTGCAGTTGGTTTTCGGTAGGGGCACTAGAAAACTCTTCAATTTATAAAATATCATTTTAGTGACCTAATCTCTCTCCACATTGCAAATGCGCGACATTCCGATTCTCAACAAATTCTCCTTCTTTTTCTCTGTTTTTCTTTTTCATCCTTTTTCGGCTCAAAAGAGCATTTGATTTCTTCGAAAATAGAAAGTTGATTATTCTATTGAGGAGTGGAATCGTGTGCCGATCGCGATTCTTATTCCAGCCGATAGTGTTAGCTAATCCATTCTATCTATACTAGCTCTGCCATTACATTATCAAATCGACATTCTGAAAACATAACGAATTCATCGAAAGAGCAACTGCGTTTTTGCTTCACATCTTTGCTTGACAGATTTATTTTAGCAAAATTAATGCAGCAGTTAATGCGCTTACGTCTTATATTCTCTTTTTCTTCGAAAGAACACTGTAAACTTTACAGATAAAGATAAAATGATAAAATAATTTTTTTTTAATTAATTTTTTTTAAATAAAAACTCGATTCTAAAAATTAATTCTCAGAAAAATTAAAATGAATCTTGCTCTTTTTTTGAAAAAAATTTGAAAAAAAGAGATTTTCGAGACAATTTTTTCTGAAATTTGATTGGCTTGAATTGAAAGAATTTTATTGGTAATAAAATTGGTCCAAATCGTCGCAATTTTTTCGTCTATTTGACCAATCAGCACCCTATGAGAGCTATTTATTTTAAAAGTAAAGGAAATTAAGGGTATATCTACCTATATTTTGTGTCTATCAGAAAATAACTTTTTGGTCTACAAATTTTGTTAAGGTCTGTGAACTGCGATCTTAGGCAGATTTTTTTCGTCGATGAACTCTTTCTCTTTCGATTCATTAGTCTTGATAAATGAGATTTGAAAAGTTCTGTCACGGATAATAAGAGCGGCAATATTGAATATTGGAAAAGGTTACAAGTTGGACACGCCAAATCGTTTTGCTTCTGCATCGTTACTGTCGACTCGCATCGACGGGATTTATAAAAAGGCCAAGCATTATTAATGCTATTTGCGCGAGCTACCATTAAGACGATGCACTTTACTAGGCTTTTTCGGAGTTTAATCGAGATTTTTTGCGAATTGTAATTTAATTTTCTATGGCAAAACTGGCCTCTGATCAATTATCATTTCTTAAATTGAGCGGAACATCGTCTTTTTTGGTGGATTTTTTATAACAAATCTTCATCGTTTATTTATTTTCTCTAACCTTTTATGTTGCTGAATCGACAAATATTATATTGAGCTTAAAAGTGCAAAATTGTATTTGTCTATTTTCTCCATTCATAATCCCTTATTATCTCTTCGAACAAGTCGCCAATCTGTTCTGCGAAATCAGAAAATGCTTATTACACAAAACAAGCTAGTCCTCTTGGTTAATCCACTTTTTTGAGCTGGATTAATTTAGCCCATGAACCTTTCTTTTATTACTGTAGTTTTCCACAATTCAAAATCGATCAAGAAGAGCCATTTTTATCCAAAAAAGAAGCGATGAATAAAGATTGTTCTTGTTTATTTAGCTTTTCGAAGATTCTAGAGGCGCATTTTATTAAAAAACTTCAATTGAGAAAGGTATTTTTGAGCAAGTGCTGTCTGTCCGCAAGTGTGTTCCTTGTTGATTTTCACACAGGCTTGAAATTGACCAGTTTCGTTCGAAAGACCTTGAAATCCTTATCTTTCTCAACAATTATCAAACGTACCTGTGCAATTTTTGCTGTGCCACGGGTGAAAAATCCCTTCATCATGAGACCTGACAAATTTTATGCCTCTTTTGATGAAATCATCGTAAAGCTCGGTGTCTTCATTTCCCCAGCCGTGGATGTTTTGATTGTAGCCATCGGAAGAAAGATACGTCCTTTTCGTCATTGCAACTGGACCGACTCCGTGAGAGCGCCAGAATCCATTCGACTCGGAAATTTTAAAGTCTTCATGATTCGTCAGCTCGTATTGACTAGGGAAAGAGTAGCGCTAGAAATTACAAACAGCTCTTTACCTGAACAAGGTCGGGAAGTAGACAAAGTCGTTGCCAAGCGCTAGGACTCTCTTTATAAAATTCTTGGTCACTAAAATGTCGACATCGTAAACGAAAAAGAGATCTTGTTCTTCAAGAGCATCGATGGCAACTTTTTCAAAGCTCTAGAATCGATAGTTCGTCAAAGAAAATGAACCGCTTTGACTGAATTCTAGAGCCGTTCCTTGGAGACAATGAGCCTTGTCAAAAGGAACCTTACAGGAATTCATTCGAGCATTCGAGTGAAGAAAATTTTCGGAAATATTCTCCTCCATGATTTCAGCAATATTTTGTCTCTCAATCTCGTCTCCTGAAATTGCCACGACAAGATGAAGATTTGGAAGACTTTCGAGAAGTTTGGCGTAGTTTTTGATGAATCGGATAAAAGCCGACTGGCGTTTGTACAGTGGCACAATCAGCGTCAATTTTCGGTATTTCGACTGGTCTTGTCCGATTTCGCCGTTTTCTCTCATGAAAAAGTCGCTAAATCGAGCATGAGTCAGGCTCAATTTCCAGCCAAAATCGTCCATTCCAGGGCGCAGAATTGATATTCCCTTTGAGTTGACGCATTTGTAAAGGGTTGAGTGAAGTTGAGTTCCAGGGATGAAAGTGTCTGTTTTTCGGAGAATTTCAGGCCAAGGCTTGTGAAGTTTCGACCCGGGGTTCGGGGCGTTTTGGTAAATTGCTGGAGCATGCTCATTGTTTAAATTTCTGACTTCATGCCAGACGCAATCGTTGAGTCCTTTATCAACCAAGTTCCCGGAATCTCTTGGCCGCAACAGCGCAGTCTTTCCAATCATCTTCTGAATCCTTCTTTTCAATATTTTGATCCTGACTGCTTTTTGCGATTCTGGCTGCTTGATTGCATGGAGAGAAATTGCATTGTCGAGTGTCTTAATTTTCAGGTCTTTTTCTGCGTCGATGTTGTTTTTGTAGCCGATTTCACCGGGAAGCGCGTCTCGCCGCCAGTTTTGAAAGAAAAGGGAACTGGTCTCGTATGAAGTCGTGCAGTTTTTATGGATGTGGTTCCAGATACAACGGCCGATTTCAACATCTTCATGTTCCGTCATCAAATTTTTGATGCAACTGCTCAAATGTGGTCTAATCTTCCTCACAAGCGCATGAGAAACTAGAATGCCCGAGCCTCCCATGCAAAAGCATGGCCCGCTGGGATGAAATCATCCTCGTTTCTCCCGAATCCTGTTCCTCCGATGTAATGCTCTTCGTTCGGGTCGAGTTTCGAGACGAATCGGACAAGATTGTCGAATTGGAGGGCAATGTCATCATCGACGCGGTAAAACCAGTCGTATTCGTGCGCGATGCTGTAGAAATAAGCCAGAAGTTTGAAGGTCTTCTTTTGCGGTGGATAGTCGTAATCATTCACGCCGGGAAGGGTTAGGGTTGGAAAACCAGCGACGGGACCAGAGATGAATTTTACTGTCGCGATTTCGGGGTCAATTTCATTTAGCCAAGTTGACCGAATGGCGTCGCCTCTTTTTTTGGAATCATAAAATTGTGAAAAGCTAAAGTAAACTTCAAAATGAGCCATCATCGCTAGAAATTTAATAATTGAGAGTCGCATAGAATTTTTGATCGAAGATAATTTGGAAAAGTCAGGAAGTTTCTTATTTGAGGCACCGGCCTTCCAACTCAGAATAAAAATTATGGCTTTTCAGAAAAATAACCTCGAATTTTCCGAATTTTAATAATCTTTCAAAAAAAATTATTACATTTCCATTGATTTTTACTAAAATACAGACTAAAACATCAGACATACTAAAATACCCCAGAGTTCCAAAAAACGCAAAATTCTCGCGTGCGCGTGCGTGCGCGTGCGAAGAAATTTAGAATTTCGCGTACGCGTGCGTGCGCGTGCGGAGAGTTTTAGCACTTTTTTGCATCTCTAATTTTTTTCAATCGACAATTCTAGAAAAATTATTGCTAAAACCAAGTGAAAATTGTTTTGAAACATAGGAAAACCGAGAATTTTATGCATTTAAATTGATTCTAGAAATATTTTCGGCATAAATGACCTAAAAACGCCAAATTTTCTAGGATTCCGAGCACGCGCACGATCACGCACGCGTGCGAAATCTCAATCTTCGCGTGCGCGTGCGTGCGCGTGCGCACCAATTTACAAAATCTGCGCACGCGTGCGCACGGACGCACGCGTGTTTTGGAACTCTGGTTTACCCTTGTCATTTTCATTGATTTTCTTATTTTTAATTTTTGACGATTCCTTGTTTCTAAATACTTCGGCGTCGAATGAATTGCGATGAAAATTTTCTTTTTACTTTCCATTTTCGGCACCTGAAAAATCCTCCCTTTTGGCAGATCTTCGAATTTCCGGCAATTTATTCTCTCGTGCGAGTCCTGAAATCCGCATCCCAAATAAAAGCCAATTATAATTGAGAAGAAAAAATAAACTATCTCCATGATTTTTAATCTTGCCATGGCTACAAGAATTCGAGCGCGTAATTTGCAGTTTTCTTGGCATGTTCCGTTCACAGCAAATATTTGCCAGTTCCCCGTTTTTTTCGCAAATGAGAATTTTTCCTCTCTGATTGTCAAAATTTATTACTTCCAACAGTCCCTTTTTTACAAAAAAATGGCAATAATTTGAACTTTTCAACAGCAGTTTTTAATTTTTACAGATTTTCTTCGTTGATTTCACTTTTTAGCCATTCCACTTTGTTTTTTCTTTTCGAGATTTTGGGAGTTTATGAGGTTTTCAATGGCCATGATTGGGTTTCCTCGCGGAGGAGAGGCTGATGATTTTCTTGAAGAAGAGTTGTCAGGTGAGGTGGGATTGTCCAGATGGGGCATTTTTGAAGGTGGTTCCAGCTCGTGATCCTTAAAAATGATGAAAATTGGGGTCTTTGCGAAAAAAAACTGGGGTTATTTCGGTTTCTTGTTCATAGGAGGTATTTTTGGAGTTTGAGTTGATTTCGATGAAAGATTGATTTTTTGATTTTTATGAAAGTGGTCTTTGATGAGCGCTTGTGAGCCGAATTCGCCGGCTTGGACGACTGGCGGCTAATGGAGCGATTTGGTGTGACCGATGGGTAAAATAAAAAGTGAAGCAAAAACATTTATTTGAAATAAATCTTCATTTTGACCGCTTCTCAAGCAGCCCAATGGATCATCCGACGACTTTTTACTGCTCGTTGAACAAAAATAATCTCCGAAATCAATCAACCACGCTTTTATCACCCACCGAATTCCGAATATACTAGTAGAGGCACTTCCTTAGATGAGTTTATCTTGGCATTCTCAAGATACGGTTAGGGTAAGAAATCGAAATTTAGGGTTTTCTTTCAGCCGGCTGCTGATTGGCCGACTCGTAGAATACGGGGTTTTTATTGGTTAATGTAACGAAAAGAGCCCTAGCCGGCTTCCTATTGGCGAATTTCTGGAATAGAGCCTTTTGATTGGTCGATTTTTTTTTGGGAATTATTATCTAAAATATGGGTTTTTAACGCTTACCTCATGAATATTTTCATTTCCAGGCGATGTCGGAGCTACGATGTCAATGTCGCTGTCATGTGACATCGCAGATTCTTTCTCCAAAATCGGCGAATTCGACCTGCTACAACTTCCGATCGGATAATTCTTGAAGAGAATTGGAGAAACAGTAGCATGAATGACTCGCTAACTCGCCAAGAAGTCGATCACAAATTACAAGCCGCTCATCACCCTGTATATCCTTACCTCCTTTTCGCTCACCAAGGGCTACCGTACTCATCTGATGGATAAGTTTGGGGATTAGCTTGTTGACAGCCCATCCGTCCTGCAGACGAAAGGGGACATAGCGAAAACGGGACTTTTTCGCGACCTGAACCCACGTGTCAAGCTTTTCTGTTTTTACAAATACAATTTCAGAATTACAGTGATTACTTTCTATTTTATTCTATTGCTGTTATTATTGGAAAAACTTATTATTTTTCAATAAATTTCAACCCTTTTTGTCAAAATGAAAAAGATTTTTTAGGATGTGATACCCTTATTTAGTGGTAAATAAATAAATGATGATAAGCTATGATTTCAAAGGTCTTCCCTTATTACAAGATTTCTAATGAAAAAATTCCATAAATTATGAAAAAAATAATGTCGTTGTGTATTTTTTTCAATAAGAATTCGAGCAAAAGTACTGGCGCTAGATTTGCGATACAGTGGATTTGGCCGTATCGATCAAGAAATGTGCGAAAAGAAGACGATCTAGAGAGTGATGAGCGGTTCTTGACACTTTCCGTGATCACTGGCTCTTCTCGATCAAGAGGGATTATCCGATGCCTAAGGGGTCGTTTCTTCGACAAATCTAGTGGCTCTTCACCGTTTCCTCCTCCTTGTCTCCCACTGCTACTGCTCAGCCGCGAACAACTTGCCGCTGAAAGAAAACACATCTGTCAAGTGATTGATATACGGGAAAAATTGATGCATGATACTGTAATATTCATACAGTAAGCTAGCAGAAATTCCAAGTCCTATTTATTACAAGAAAGCCAATTTGAAAATTTTAGCATTTTAATTTTGATCAATTTTTTGGACCTTTTTCATACCTGGCATTTTATTTGTTCTGCTAGGACTTCTAGAGCTTGAAGCATGTGATCTTGAATCATCAATTTCTTCATTATCCGATTTCTGCGCCGTCTGAGCCGCCAGATTTTGATGCAACTGAGCTGAAAAACGCTAGAATTCATTCCTTATCAGTTTTCCTTACTTTGAAGCAGCGCCAATGTCTGCTGCTGAAGCAAACTCTGCAGCGCCGTATGCGACACCTGAGGTCTCATGAGCGGGAAAAAGGCGTTGTAGAGCGGAAGGGAGCCGGGCAGCATCGGAATTCGTCCGGCCAGGGCGGAGGGTTGAAGAAATGAGGCTCCAAGAGAGGAGGGAGGAAAAAGTGGGACGGATGGAAGTGAAGCGGTTTGGAGGGAATTCTGAGTGGGGAAGCCGAAGCCTTTTTGGCCGGGTTTCGGGAGTTGGGAGAAAGGGGATGATGTTGAAGAGTTGAAGGTTTTCAGGCTGAAGAAAAGTAATGATAAAAAGGATTGTTAGAATAGGACTCAACTGACCTTGGTATACTTTCATGATGATTAGTCCTTGCCATATGGCAGGAAAGATCCGGGAGGCTATCAAAACTCGCCCCACATCTCAAGCAACTAAGAACTTTTGCTGCAGAACTTTCTTCATCCTTTTTTGCTGGATTTTTTGCTTCGCCATTGAAATTGGCGCGGAGATCCATTGAAGCGCTTGATTTCCTCGACAAGTTCAGACTGTCAGCAGCTTGTGCATCATCATCAGTTTCTGTAAAATGGCCCTAAATGAATACTTGAGTATTTGTGGAGCCGAGTTCCGCGAATGAAAATTTTGATCGAAGAGCTGACAGTTGCCAAGGATCTTTTTCTTGGATAGCACCTGAACGGATCAAGCCTGCGTTTCTATAGAGATGCTGATTTCAAAATAAATTTATCAAAATTAATATTATAATAAAATGAAAAAAAACACACCTGGATCATCATATGCTTGGTAAGACTGTCGAGTTTGTCGAAGCTCTCTCCACAATGTTTGCATTTGAAGTCACTGGCTCCTTTCATGATGCTCTTGATCAGCCGCGAGTTGTACGAGACATCGCCAGCTGGCCCGACCCCAGCGGTGTTCTGAACAAGTCCTCTGGAAGTTCCGTTCGGAGAGCTTGGAGATCGCTGGTTCTTAGGGGAACCTCCGCGGATTGACGAGTTTTGCTGATTGGTTGATGAGGGTTCTGAAAAAAATTTTGATTGGCTAAAAAAGAAAAGTCTCGAATTTGATTGGCCGAAAGAAAAATTTCTCAATTTTGATTGGTTCTCAAACAAAAAGACCAGAAATTATATTGGATCTAGAAAGAACGCATTTGAAGACGTAGAAAACACAATTTTTCTTGCAGAAATGACTGTAGATTCAAAATCAAAGTCGCTCACCTTGGATGATCCATCGGTAACGCTCGGCCTTGGACAGCTGGCGACCGGGCGCAGGCTTCGGGTTTTGCATTTGAAGCGAATGATTTGATTCGTGACGCGATTCCTAAAGACAAAACTCAGTAAAGCGACACTAATCGTGACAGTATAAAAGATATCACTTCGCTTCCAACTGACAAGTTAATTCGAATTAGAACGAGATCAGCGGACAGCGATTTTTGACTTGCACGCGCGAAAATATGACAAAACATTGTCACTCAAAGTATCATTTTGTATGATCTTCTACAGAGGCACATGCCTCTCACAAGCTACAGTAGCTTCTTTTGTGTATAAATTTCTTCTCGTCAAATAAATTTTCGACATCTCTAGTACCTGTCAAAAGATGTTGGTAAGCAGAAAAGGAGAGGAAAAATCTCTGTTTCAGAAAAAAGGGGCTTGGTTCCGGCTGGTCTGGCTTGTCTCTCAGGGAAAAAGAATGCGTGTGCCCAAGTGCAGAGAGAACTGCTCTGGGCCGACTCTAGATGCTGGGCACACAAGACGGCACTGCATCAAGGCGGCGTTTGACCGCGAATCTTTGTGATATTTGACGGTGTAATGACAATCCCATAATTCAATTTGAGAGATAAATACACTTCGAGACAACTTTGTATGTTTTTGCAATTTTTTAACTTTTCAAAATGACAAGCCCGCCGAGCTAGATCAAAGACATTCCCATGCAGTGAACTACCCGCCAAGTGCCACTCACGAAAATGACAACCGACCGAATCGTCCTGGCGAAATTCACCTGCGCCACGCGCCTCAGGCCATGTCAAAATAAATGACACATAAAAATACGAAAATTCGTCTCTTATTTTTGTTTATCGCGATTTAAAAAAAACAATCTTCAAAGCAAATTTTATCGACTTACTCAAAAAATGATGGTTAATAAGATGACCCCCTTAATTTTATCAGAAAAAAAATTGAAAAGATGTTAAATCCCCTTATTGAGGCCAAAAAATAACATTCGATCAACTTATTTTTTTTTCAAAAAGTTGAAAACTTCACAGAATCGATCTCCTCAGGAACAAAAGGTGACATCGCTCAAGCGGGGGTTAAGAGGCCATTTCTGGCCTGAGCCGAGCGAACAAGAAATACTTCACGTGATTGACACTAAGAGCCCATCGAGGTGATCATCAGTCAAATCGCCACTCGAGACACCGCAATTGGGCCATGTCGAACATGCCCCGGTTTTTTTTCTTGCTTTATTTTGGGCAAAAAACTATCTTTTTCGGTTAAAAAATTTTTTGATTTTTGAAAAGTAAAAACTAGTTTCTAATTGGTTAAATTTGATATTTCAGGCTTCTGATTGGTTGAATTGGAAATTTCAGGCTTTTGATTGGTTGAAGAAAATTATTGATTTTAATTGTACTTACAGTCTTGAAGGCATTCAATTTCTTCTTTTCTTCATCCCTCTTCTTGTAATTGATCAAAAACTTCTCCATGTCTCCATAGCACTTGTCCAAAATATTGGTCGATGCCATTTGCTGCTGTGTCCTTTGATTGTTTGATTCGTCCTCTGAAAAAATGTGATTTTGGAAAAAAATGAATTGAAACTTGAAAAAGATTTCCCGTCAAGAGCAAGCGAATGCAGCGGTGCCAGTGACAGCTAAGGTGGCCATAAATTCTTCAACTTGAAATGTGTCACGCTCGTGACAAAAATTGAAATTCGTTTCAACAAAATGGATAAATAAAACGTTTTTCATCTTTGAGTCCTACCGACCTACTGGGGAGACGAACTCTTCCCGGCCGCGAATTATTCAAATCTTAAGGGTATCACTTCTTCGAAAATCGTTTTAAAAAAAAGCATCAAAGTGAAGCCCTTAATTAATGATCTTATGAAATCTTAAGGGCATAACGTGTTCAAAAATGGTCTTCTCTCAAAAATTTAACAAAGTGATGCCCTTAACTCAGGATTTCAAATGGGTCGAAGCTTTTTTAGCTTTAATTAGTTAAGGGGTCACCTTGTTATATTTTCTGTAGAAAGACCATTTTCAAAGAAGTGATACCCTTAAGATTTCATTTGATCCTTGATTAAGGGTATCACTTCGTCGAAGATGATCTTTTAACGAGAAAAAAATTAATAAAGTGACACCCTTAATACATAAAGTAAAAAGACAGCTTCGAGCCTTTTGAAAACCTGACAAAAAGACTGTCACTAAAACTATTTAACTTACAGGAAGAAAGTTTTTTGAAGAAAAAATCTCTTTTTAATCAAAAAGAAAATGTTTTGAAAAATGAAAGAGCAAAATAATTTGATTTGTATTGTTTATGAAATTAAGCGGGTAGAAGGGATAGTTTGATCGGTGGGCGAAAAGAGGCATAGGCAGGCCGTCGAATGCAGATTTTAACCCTGTCAAACTCGTCAACTTTCGGCCAAATAAGTGATAGCTCGATATAACTCCACCATTTTGTCACATTTACCGCAATAAATATACACAAATAAAAAATAGAGGGAATTTTTTATTTGATCTTATTTGAGGATAATCATTATGACACCCTTATTTTTTGGAGAAGAGGTTATTTTAGGGGCATTATTTTTATGCAAAATTAAACTAAGGGCGTCACTTTGTTATTTTTTATTGGCGAATCAAGCAAAATATGTTTCAATAGCGCTACACCCTTAATTTGAAATTCCCCTTAACTTGAAAAATAAGGCAGAAATGCCAATTACTGTATTACAAATTCGACTTTTTTGAAATATGCAAGGGGTCGATTTCACGATTTCGAGCGTAAAATCGAGATAAAAAGTTGACGACATGGATGAAGACAGAGCCGGATGAAATCGAATTGACTACCGACGGGCAGAGGCTGTCAATAAACACGCCTCGAGCAAGTTACACACACGCCGTTTCAGAAGTCAAATCATACAGTCACAAAAGTCGATATGATACCTTCCGCCTGGCTTGATTTACTTTTCACTTACTGTTTGATTACTGTAAGACTCTCGAAAAATTCAATCAGCGAAAAAACGCAGATTTTGAAGTTCGAAAAAGCCGCCGCATATCTCGCCGCTCATGAAGATGAGTGAGTGTCATTCACGGCATTAGAGGTTTATCCATCAGGGTTGAATTAGAGTTGCTCCGTCTCTCCATCATGTATCTTGTCCGTGACAAGTGACGAAAGAGCCCGAATCCGTCAAATCGTTTACACCCGCTGAGACGCGTCTTTTACTTCTTTATAAAGCGATTTTATTTTCAATCACTTTCGAACCCAGAAGAAAGAAAAATCACAAAAATGAAATTTTTCAACAAAAACGGGATGCAAATCAAAAAAAAAAATAATTTTCATAAATAGAATTATTAACATTATTTTTGAAAATAAAATAAGGGTATCACTACGTTATTTTTCAAAAAAAAATAAGGGAATTACAACGATATTTTCGAAAATAAAATAAGGGTATCACTTCGTTATTTTTAAAAATAATATAAGGGTATCACTACGTAAGTTTTGAAAATATAATTATGGTATCACGACGTTATTTTTGAAAATAAAATAAGGGTGTCACTACGTTATTTTTTTGGACAAATTTCTTATAAAATCTTGCAACTGCGGTCGTTGAGAGTTTTTGTGCGAGAGACACAGAATGACGAATGGTTATGGTCGGCTCATCTCAAATTTATATGCAGGGACATATATCTCGCTGTTGAGATTGATGGACAGGCGCAGTATTTGCTCTTGATCGAGAACACCTTTAGAACTGGGCCGCGCTATCAACTGTTATATGCCTCCGGAAGGTAGCACTTCGCCATTTTTGATCGAGTCAAGAATGGAAAAGCGCGAAGTTTTTTGGCGCCTCAAAAACCTGAGTCAGGGTTCAGGAAGAGCTTCAATGACCTCGAGAAGCTCTAAAATCGTTGATTTCTCCATTTTCTTGATATGCCATCGCTAATTTACGGTCGCAGATGTTTGTCAAACGCGAATAATGAACGATTAAAAACGTTCTTTCTTAAATTTATGTTGGCCATTCATCAAGTGTCAGAAATCGGAAGCGACATCGATCGGAAATAATCTGTCCCAGTGCTTTATGATGAGCCGTCTTGATTCGAAACAATAAAATACGACCACTTTTCGCAAAATTAAGGCCGATTGACGTACTTCAATTTCACGAAATTTCAGCGATTTTCAAGATCAAATCCCGCTTCATGATGTTAACCGCTCTAGAAACTTGTTAATCTTCCCTCTGAAAGGCTACTAGATACAGCAGTTTTCGGCTAATCTTCGCCAGGTGGAGTGGATATCCGCTCGGCGAAATGTGCATAATATAAATTTATCGTTTCGCTAAAATGATCTGTGCGGTGTTGAGTCCTGTCAGCGTGCTCTGTCATCCTTACGCTTGTCACAGCTTTTTCGACAATGCTCTGATTGACTCTACAACACCCAGCGCACAACCTGCACCCGATCAGTCAGTGTCAACACCCGACAAGTTGATTTGCCGCTACAAACGAAACATATCAAATGCAGCTTTTTTTCGGTATAGAAATCGAATTTGATCTGGTTTTTTGGCCGTTTTTGGACCTTTTTTGTTATCTTTTGACCTCATTGAAGAAAAATTGAATAAGAAATTTATCAAAGAATGCATTTTCAAAAAAGCTACCTTCAGTTTATACAGATTTTATACAAAACGATGATATTTTTTTATCAGAAAATGCCATTTTCTTTGAAATTCGTCCAATTTATAGCCAAATTTATGGCCAAAAATTACTCAAAAGAAAGAGAAAGGTTTTTAATGAATGACTTGAACTGTAAGTTACAGTAAGAAAATTTTTCTTGTTGATTTTTTTGCTCGAAATTACCTTCTAGTCTTGTTGGACTCAATTTCGTTCGCGGCATTCACGGCTGCTCTCTTTTTTTTTCTTTGAAAATTGTTGAAAATTTAGTTTTTCATGAAAAAAATTGAAATTTTTTTATTTTAATTTATCTAATCGTTAATCGCTGATCAATCGGAACACAATAAAGTTAATTTCTTCCAGCGGCCGCTAAATGGATCCTCCGTGGCCAGGCCGCTCCGCAGCGCCGCGACCATTTTTAGCGATAATGAGCGCCGCAAATCGCGCTTCCTGCACGCGCCAATTACACTCGCCTTTGTCCAGAACTCTCTGAATTAACAGCATGGCTCAGCAGAATGGTTTTTCGTGGACTGGATTGAAAATAAATAAGAATTATTTTAACAGTATTTTTTTGATAAATTTAATGAATACCTTCTCAATAGGGAAATTAATGGGGGCCCAAAATTTTCAGGCAGATTTTCGGGCTCAAATCTATGAACAAGCACCGACCTCCTGAAGTCTTGGAGAAAACATTTTAAAAGCACAAATTATAAAAGAAGGTTCGCGAATTTGAAACTTAGACATGAAGAAAGATTTTGAAAATTTCGTATGAACATTTTTCAATTTTGCTTATTTGATGTTTATAGAATCATTTTCCGCCCATTATTCGATTCTCGACCCCATAAGGGGAGCGAATCATACATGTCAATTTTGACAGAAACTCAGCGGGGTCATGGGCGGCGCCTACTTTTTTGAAATCAAGGAGGAAAGTGTTTCCCTCATATTTTGTAATTCGAAGAGAATGACAGGTTTCAATATTGAATAAGAAATTACTTTGATGATTCTGATTGGGAAATTTTTAACTGAGGAAAATCCTTAATCCCTTCTTTTTGTATAAGGGAAAATATACTTTGTTGAATTCGTAAACGTCATCAGTATGCTTTCATATTCAGAAGGAAAGCATATTTACGAAATGAACTCTGAGTTTAATTGATTGGAAAGACTGAAATTATGCGAATGAAATATTCAATTTGATCATTTGACGGTGTAAATTATACGATTCTTCAATTTTTCCGGGTAAAGGAAAAATACTTAATACTCAATCATGCTTCATGAAAAATAAATAGTTAACGAAATTAATTGAGTCTGTGAACATTTTATTAAGAAGCCATCAGTAAATTCTTGTCATAGCAGTTTGTCATAAATCAATTTTTAACGAAAAAGAAAATGATGAAATAAGTGTTTGATAAAATTGAATAGAGAGTTACTCGAAAGTAATCAGATCTTCAAGAGATGATGATGATCGTCGTCGTCGAGCGCAGTTTGGTGTAGCTACGCAGGCACTGGAGGGATCATTTCGGTCGCAAACAGTGATCTGAACAATTTTTATAGTACAGAATCGCACCTATTTCTAGGCTTACCGCGGTGTTTTCTATTTTCAAGGTATTTTTGAAAAATCTCCACATACTTTCAGAACATATGCATCAAGACAAGCCTTGAAAAACTGCACTTGCAGAATTTTCGATATGAGTCATCTTACCTCTCTTTTTTGGGGGGATTTTTAGCAAGAAAAAAATCACTAGTTTGATTAGAAGCGGCTTTTGAGTGCGTGCTAGATCGGATGCTTATATCAGAAGTTGATAATATTGGATTTTCGTATCTGGCTGCTTGCGTCAACTTTGGAGCTCTAGAATCATATGAAGGAAGCACTCCGCAATAATATATTTCATATGTATCGATGCATCTTGCGCTGATCTTTCACATGGTAGGCATCAAATAATCAAAATCGATCTAGCACGCACTCAAAAGCCGCTTCTAATCGAACTAGTGCTTTTTTCTTGCTAAAAATCCCCCAAAAAGAGAGGTAAGATTACTCATATCGAAAATTCTGCAAGTGCAGTTTTTCAAGGCTTGTCTTGATGCATAAGTTCTGAAAGTATGGGGAGATTTTTCAAAAGAACCTTGAAAATCGAAAAACACCGCGGTAAGACTACCTATTTCACTTACATCGCAGCTTAGTTTTTCATTGTAGTCGATATCATCCTCTGCGGACACAAATCGGAAACTCATGTATTCAAAGTACACAGAGTCCTCATTGTGAATCGGACGAATCGAAGCGTCAATAGGCCATGCTGAAGTATCCTCGAAGTCGAATCCGACAACTTCTTGTGCGCAACCATCAGCGAGGATTGGAAACTCGACGCTGAGTGCATCGTTGATGATTCGGCAATCGGTGACGGTGTAAGTAACAGTTTCGGGAAGAGAGGAGTTGGTATCCGATCCAGTTGGCTAAAATGATTCAAACTCATGAGAAAATCATGAAGGGCTTACATTGATTCCAAAGTACACGATGTCACCGCTCTCGAATGCAGCACCGCTGGAGAGATCTGTGTAAAATCGATCGGTGAAAAATTGATGTCGAAACTGAACTCTCCCAATCCAGTCTGCTGACCAGTGTAAGTAGCATTAAATTGAGGATTGCTGACGTAGAAGTTGAAATCGGTCTCATTATCACCACCAAAGACAGCAGTCACCAAGGAAGGATACGAGCAAGTGAAGGAGAGATCCATTGGCTTATCGATGGAGATAAAGGACGAGTGGGTTTCGACGTGAAGGACTTGCGTGAAATCGAGATTTGCCCCATTGAGGGAGTTCACTGTTCCACATCCGTCGAGAGCAGTCTCTAAAGTGAAGGAGTCTTCTTCAAGGGAGCCTACTGTACGGCAGTCCATGGAGCTGTCATCAATGAATTTAGCCTCGTATTGGTCGTTGTCATTGAAAAGGTCAGTGCTTAGGGTGACAGTCATCGATGTTGAGCCGCAAACGACTGATACAAGGCCGGTTTTCGGAGCGCAGAACCAGACATCCTGCTCACTATCATAGATATAATCCCAAAACTCGTTCGGGCAATCAGAAAATAGAGTAGTAGCTGTATTTGTAGTTGTGCTTGTCGCTAATGTTGTCGTTGATTTTGTTGTCGTTGTTGTTGATGTCGTTGTAGTAGTGCTTGTTTTTGTTGTGGTTGTTGTTGTTGTAGTTGTTGTAGTTGACGTAGTTGTTGTTGTTGTAGTTGAAGTCGTGGTCGTACTTGTTGTCGTTGTTGTTGTTGTTGTCGTTGTTGAAGTCGTCGTCATAATTGTTGTTGTTGTTGTTGTGTCTGGATTTCCAGGATCGCAACCGGGAAATTCATCTTTACAAACACAATTGAATCCAGTTTCATTGGCATTGTTGACACAGGTTGCTACCTCTAAATTGCATGTGCTGCTAGCGCAAGGCAACAGTGTTTTTTCGCCGTTCTTAACGCAGCTTAGCTGCATATTGTTCAATCCCCAAACAAAAGTTGGCTCTTGAACTTCCGAATGAAGGCAAGTTCCGGACGTGTCGCCAAAACTGGTTCCAGAGTTTGAGTAATAGGCTGAGCTCAGTTCACTGACACTGAAAAAAACAAAATCAGTATCTTTACGGCTAGTTTTTTTACTTACTAATATGTCCAACCACTGCTCGAGCTCCATCTGAGTGAATTACCATTCGGACAGAGATAACTCTGTTTATCGTTGACAAGTCCATTTGACACGCAAGTCTGGCCAAAGAGACTTGAATAAATCGACGCACAGCATCCATTTTCATTCAAATCAAATTCGCATCTCACGATCTCGCTTCCTTCATCCTCGCCCCCGAGACAATTGCTGAAACTATCGCACAATCGGTGATGGAAAACTGGTCGAATCGCACCTACAACGTCTGGAGAAGGACAAGTCGTCATGGGGGGAAGAGGGAATTGAGAGAAATTCGCCTCGCAGTATTGCTTCCAGACTTGGATGGCATCAGTTGTGGTCAAGAGGTCATGAGCGGAGTATGAACCGCCGTTTTTGAGGGTGAAGCCAGGATACATCAAATTCGAGCTTGGTTCGAGAACGTGTCCAGTATCGAACCATTTATCAGTGCCTGCTAGTTCTCCTCCCTCAGCATGTGGATCGAAATGGTCCTCGAAATCCGGTCGATCTTGTTCGTGAAGCAAACCAAGCGCGTGAAGAAACTCGTGGTGAATGCCTCCTTGCTCGATGCACCAGTCGGGAAGTCGGAGTGCTTGCCAGCCCGCATTGATTATGTTTCCGTAGCCATCGTGCGCATATCCAACTCGACCGACGAACGACCAGCAGCCTGTTTCGGTCGAACCATTTTCTTTGACTGACGCTTCGCCGATGACATACACACCATTGTCATAAGTCAGATCCGGATCATGGACCAACTCGATGCAACCGAGTGAGAACGAGAGATCGACTAGCTCATCGTGAATTTGCTGCCGGTAGCTCTCAGTAACTGTGTCATGAATGAAGTAAGGAACGACAATTTTCCCCTCTTCATTCAAAACGCTCCATTTATTTAAATATTCTTCTGTCTGAAGACCTCTCGTTATCGGCACATTTGGGTCGATTCGGTAAGAAGAAGTGTCGAAGCCACTTTTCTCTAGAATCTCTTTTTGCCAATCGGTCAGGATCAAATCGCCGTGAGGACCATTGTGCCAATCACGAGGAGCTCTTGTCGGGGAAGTTGTTGGTAGAGGCTGTGCTGTCCCAAGACACTCGTAAGCGTCTCCAGTTGCTGCGTCCATGTTCAGGCAAGTTTCGCCGTTTTCGATGTCGCAGGAGTTCCGGTTGCCCTCAGCGCACTCATCGTAATCTTCACAAACAAAGGTGAATTTAAAAGTTGTCGTGCTAAAGATCGAAGTTTGTTTGAACCCAGGTGGACAGAAGCATTGTTTGCTCAAGATACCGGAACTGCCATAAGTGACGTGGCAATATGTCAAACCATCAGCTTCTGGTCCACAGTCGGAAGCAGTGCATTCTTTCGACGATTTGGGAACACATTTGCAGTCAGTGAAATCAGCGTAAACAGAACCGTCAGCGTCATTCTTCGACTCGCAAGCGCACATTTGACTAGCTTCATCACACCCGAGATTCAAACAACGCGGGTAATGGTGGTCTACTGACGAGCTCGCGCCTACCAGTGCGAGCGCGAAGAAGTAGCGAAACTTATGATGGCTTTTTCGGAAGCTCGCTCGAATCATATGTGGAAAAATATCATGCCCGAAAAATATTCAAAAAGCCTTTCCTTCATGGAGATTATCTCTCTTCTGAAAAAATCCGGAATTTTTTCCGTCTTTTATATGTTATCCATGACAAGCGCGGAGTCGCGGGAAAATTATTGGCTGGCTAGAAAAACAACCTCATCACTACGAATAAATAGTTTTGGAAGGTGCCGTCAAATTTTTGGAACATTATGGCAAGATCTAAATCACAAGGTTTTCAAATATGTAAGTCTTTGCAGCGTTTATTTGGAAAAACAGGAGTAAGAATCTTCTTCCAGCTCCCGAACTGCTTGTTGGAAGTCAACTGTCTGCCAGTCTTGGTCTCTTGCGAAGAAAATTGACTCATCAAGGATCTTTTTGACGCATTTTGCTTCTGCAGTTGGTGCTGATGTACAGTCATCAGTCTTAAAAGCAACGGTGAAATACTGTTTTGAATTCATTTTTACCTCTTCGTCAAATCGATCGCAAAGTGATTCAAGAACGCAAAAAGAAGTATCTCGGAAAAGTTCGAACAAACAAACGAGCTGATCTTCTGGTTCATTCAATCTTTCGCATTTTCTCAATTCTCGATTGAACTTATCCCAGCAGTCTTTGAAAGTAGCTGGAATCGCCTGCTCGGCAAAAACAGCGGCAATTAAAGCGATTGAAACTTTCATTTTGAAAAAAACGAATGGCGCGAAATTGCTTCCGATAATTGAAGAAAATGAAGAAATTTTAGCAGCTGCGGAAATTCTCAAAGCCAAAGATTGAGAAAGAGAGAGATGAGTTCGAAGTTTGAGTATTATCAGGACTGGCAAGTTCTCGCCGCCTTTGGAGTTTTTCTTGTGTTTCTGACTTTATGTAAGGCATTTTCATCGATTTGATTTGATAGAATTCAAGTCGTTGTGTGGATGATTTATTGGATGAAATTCGGATACGAAGAGAAAGTGGAGAAAACGATGAAAAAATATCGCAGAAGACGAAGATTTCAACAGAAAATCTACGACTGTATATAAAATCTGATGAATAATTCGATGATTTGCGGGACCTGGATGTTTTCTAATTACAGGAAAAATCGCCCAGTTCATTCACCTGCTAATTAAGCGTTCCTTCTCGTCTGCATAATGCATCAAATAAACCCAATAATAAATATGCAGATCAATAGTCTGTTAACTAAGTTTTGCTCCCAACCCTAGTACGCAGCGCGTCAGAAATATTTTTTTTTTCATTCTCTTGGCTTTTATCGGTTAATCGGTTTATGTCCACATCCGATATTTTAGAGACGGTTTTTGTTCTGACAGAAGATGAGAGAGACAAACTCGAGGATGTTTTCAGGTAGTTGTTATTTCGGGAATGATCTAATAATTTTCCAGTCATGAAAAGGAAAATATTCCGGCAATTTTCTTCGATAATGGAAAAGTTGTTTATATTTATTTTCTCACAAAAATTTAAAAAATTAAAAAAATCTATAAAAAGATTTCATTTTAAAAATTATCATTTCTGACTCGAATTTTTATTTTCTTGAAATAAGACTAAATAAGTCTTCATTCAAAAAGACTGAGATTTTCAGGTCTATCGGAATCTTTATTAAAAAGAAGAAAGTATACTTTCGTGGAAAAATAAGCTTGAAACTGTCATTTTTTAATTAAGACGAAATCTGGTGATTCTTCGCGCTGAAAAATCAAGAATCAATTCTCTGGAGCGAAAAACGCCCTTGATCGAGCAATCAGGAGCATCCCCAAGTCGAAATGCTTGCAGCTTCTGCAACACGAAATTTCTCTTTTTCTGGCTCCGATTGAAGATTTGCTCCGACTGCGGTTGTAAATATTGCAAAGCGTGTCTAATTGAAACGCGGCAGAAGAACAGGAGCATTTTACGCTGCCGACTGTGCAAAAATAAACGACAGTTTCGTTCGCAATCTGGCACATGGGTGAGTTCATTTGCGAGCGTATAGTCGTTACTGTATCGATGTCGTAAAAAAGCATTTTAGATCAAGTATTTGACGCAAGATGAGAGGCCGTTCGGGATTTCAATAGATTTTCTGGCGAATCTGATTGAAAGGAACAGTTGTTTATCAAGTTTTTTCGGGTCAAATTTTTAACACAGTGATCCCCTTATTTTTCTGATTTGTTAATTTTTCTCTGAAGGCCAAAAATATTAATTTCTGAGAATTTCTGGACGTTGAAAATCACAATTCATTATATCTTCGACGCTTGCAAATAAGATACTGTATTTTATATGAAAAAGATTTGACAGTAGTATGCCAAATTGTAATTGACAGCTTTGAAAAGGAGAAGGGCATCTTTGGCGTCAAAAATTTCCTCGATCAATACGAATTCAACAGGTACCGACGATTTCAGATACTAAAACCCTCAAAGAGGAAAATAGTGCCTGAAAAGCAAAAAAATTATAAATTGAACAGACACTTGATTGTTTATTAAGCATCGTACTCGTCCGGATTCTCCGAGCTCTCAGCTCTTAGGTAGGATGTTTGTGATCGAAGTAGCTCCATTGGTTGAAAATTTCAGAGATTTCGGGAGTGCTAGAAAGAAGATTTTAAGAAGAGCGAGCTTGCCTAGCTTGAAAGCATCTGAAAGCATCGTAAGTTCTTTAGGGTACTCGACACCCTTAATTATTGGATAAAAAATATCGAATTCGAGCTTTTCTAGTGTTTTTTCGCGGTTTTTTTTTGTAAAAGGCATCAAAAATCACATTTGTCTATTTCCTTCATTTCATGAAGCAAATTCCTCAAATGAGCCCCAGAATAAAAGATTCATAGTATGAAAATAAATATCCTTTCTTATTGGAACGAGAAATAATTAATGTCGGCTCGTGCGGCGCAACACAGAAAGGACACGGGGACACGGACCGAAGGGGGTTGATATAACGAGCACTGGTTGTATCAATTTATGACAAAATAAGAGCGCTTTTATTTTTTATGAGAAATGATAAAAGAATGTGCTGTCTTCAGGTAGTATAACGTAATTGAAGCTTTTGTTGATAATTTATTATTTTTTATAAAGTTGTGATACCCTTATTTTGTAGCCAAAAATAGTGAGAAGCTTTTCGTTAATTTCCTTAATCGGCTGTAACGAAAATTCTAGAGAAGCATAAAATCAAACGAAGAAGACCTCGTCATCACCACTCCATCAGAAGAGTTACTCGAACACGGCCACGTGATCAGCTTCACGATAAGATATGATCATCGTCTTGGCATTCTGACGGTTCATCTTCGAACCATCTACGGGATTGCCCTAACAACTCCTTCGACTATTTTTTATGTCAAAAGTAGGTCAAAAAATTAATCCCACTTTTAACTTTTTTCAGCATATCTTCTTCCAGACAAAAGTAAAGGGGCAAAACGAAAGGCTACTTGCTCTCGAGATGGGTCCATTGGTACCCACTTCAAATATCACGTGTCAGAGACAGAATTGGCACTCCGTGTCTTGCATATTTCTCTCTGGCGGTCTTCCATTCTGACTAAAAGCAGGTGCATCGCTGAGGTAAGGGGCTGCTTGAATGAACGAAAAAATAATTTCCAGGCGGGGCTGAACATGACAACTTGGGACTGGAAAGATTTGTCGATCAGACACGAGCCACTCAACCCCGTCGAAAAAATTTTGAACAATATCACAACTTCCTCCTCTTACGATATTCTTCTTCAACCCTTCCACGGAGAGCTTGATTTCAAAATTTTATACGAAGACAAGACGAAAATCATGAGGCGAGGAACGAAAAAATCATCGTATTTTATCTTTTTCGACGATTTTCGACCATGTAAAAGAGTTCATGTGGAGCAAGCCCGGCACCTGATTCCCCCTCAAAATGACAGTGGAAGCCTTCTGCAGATTATAAATGTGAAACTGTGTCCAGGAACTGCGAAGTTTCGCGCTCAAAGCACTGGAAATGAACCAACCGACCCAATTTTTGATAAATCCTTTGCTTTTCTCGTGAGTTTTTTCAGTCAACTTTTTTTTCATGATAATTTTAGTGGACGGCGAAATCGAGGGGAATTCAAATTGGAGTGATAAATCAGACGGATAGAGGAGCAAACACAGAAGTGGGATTTATTCAACTTATGCGAAATGAAACGGTTTGAAATTTGGGCGTGAAAAAAAGGATAAGAAATTCTAGAGATCGAAGAAATCAGTCATCCAAAAAGCGCTGGAAAACCCATACGAGTGGATTTCGGATAAGAAGGCGATAATTGTTAGACCAAAACCTGTTCGAGTTAAATAAAAGTTTATTCAAAGCTTTTCAGTTAACAGGAATGATACTGTACCATTTATCTCCCTAAGGAAATCGAATTTGTTCAAAGCTTGGTCTTACTTCCAATTGCGATCCAATCTGAGGCCGCTGTTTATCAGTAATGACGTAATCAGGAGCGGTGCATCCTCTTACTCCAGGAGTTCCACCCCAGAAGAATCTTTCACCTCTCTTCTTACATGTCACTCTTCTTATTCTTTTTTTCTGCGGTCCACATGTTGGCAGGAGGCAAAGATTCCCATCTCTCGAGCAGTTCCACCAATGAGCGTTTGGTAATGGCGGACAGTTTGAACTCGGTGGTAGGCCTTTGTATGTGACACTTGTTGTTGTAGTTGTACTCGTATTAGTTTGTGTGGTAGTCGTTGAAGATGATGTTGAGATCCTGGAAGTTGTCGAAGACAATGTGGGACTCGAAGTTGAAGTCGTCACCGTAGTCGAACCAGTTTGAGGGCGGGTGTAAGTCGAGTTGGTTCCAACTGCTGTTGTTGAAGTTGGCTTTCTTGGTATAGTTCTGGTAGTTGATGTGGACGTTGATGATGTCGTCGTTTTAGAATTGTTCAAAATCATGTTGGTGGAACTCGAGGCTATCGTTGTCGGTGATGTTTGTAAGCCTTTAGAAATGATGCAAAATTTTATTTCTTTAGTTACCTCCTGCAGCTGTTTGAGAAATTTCTTCGAGAATAACTGGCTCATTGCTGGAGGAAATCGGTCGTTTTTTACGTTTTTGACAACTCTCAATTGGGATGAAAAGGGTAAAAAATAACAGTAATGTTTTCATTTTGTTAAATTGCAGACTGCATGTTCCAGGGAAAACAGTCTAAAGGTGCTTTCTATTTTATTGCTCCAAGCAAGATTAAAAATGTACTAGCCCGCGTAACAATTCTCTCAAGGTTATCAAAAGAACAAAATAAAAATCATTTGCCTCTTTTGAGAAAAACGAGAATAATTTTTGACAAAAAAACGAGCCCGTGAAATAATTTATTTTGGATAAAGCAGATTTAATCTCTTACGTAAAGAGGAACGTCACAATCTTTCGTGCTTGGTGAGCGAGTCCAGAAACTTGATCGTTCCCTTATTCTGCAATACGTTTTTCTTATTTTTTTCCCGCAGGTTTTCAGAATACAGCTGTTCCCATTGTCTGAGCAGTTCCACCAGGTTGGATTGGGCAATGGTGGACATTTTGGATTCGGCTCATCTCCGACATATGTGACTGTTGTAGTTGTTGTTGCAGTTGTAGCTGTAGTCGAAGTTGAAGTTGTTGGTGTAGTTGTAGTCGTCGTCGAAGTGGTAGTCGTCGTCGAAGTTGTAGTTGTAGTCGTCGTCGATGTTGTAGTTGTTGTCGAAGTTAGGGACCGAACGGAAATCGGACCAAAATTTAGTTATGAGAGTTATGAATGAAAAAAGGGGTATTGAAACCAGAGAAATTGAACTGCGTTCTCAATTTTCTCCCAATCCCTTCCGTTTCCGAGATATTGACCTTTGGAAAGAATTAAAATTTCAGGAACGAACCACTTTCAAGCGCGCTGTCTTACTCTGATGGTGGCGCTCCGGGGCGAGAAGCTTTTGCCGCGGCGCGTTTCGAGTTTTCACTGTGAGCGAGCCCGCGCTTCCACCAATAGGAAATTAAAAAAGAGCGATCAGGGGGATTCGAACTCACTCTTCCGACCATACCCGGCCCCATCAGAAACTAACTAGGCCATTCGTTCTAACGCACCTGTCCCATTTTGCATGGGTATGATTTTAGTTTAATCCTGGCTTCACCGATTTCAACCATGACTTCTGCAATGTCAATTTCGGGTTCTTCGACGTCAATCTCGACTTCTGAAATGTCGAATGATTGATTGATTTTCATCAAGATGATAAGAGTCAAAATTTTCATTTTTTCGACTTTTGAATAACCTCGAAATAAGACATATAAGAGGTCTATCGAAAGCTTAGAATGAGCAGATTAAGAATTTTGTGACCGCACTAGACTTTTGGACCAAATGTTGGCGCTAGAGAGCATTTGAACTCCAAAAACGCCAAAAATTCCCCCAATCGGTTGTTCTAAAGAAAATTTTTTAATTACTTGACCAAATTGTTTCTCTGTACTAGAGATTAAAGATTAGGCTTCGGTCTATCTAAACCTAGTCGCAGACGGTGTCTATCTAAGCCCGAATCGGCAGAATTTCGATTCAAAAATGGCCTAAAATGGCGTTTTTTCAAAATTCTCCAACTAAGGCCCCTCCTAGTGGTAGGTTTGCCTTGAGCAAAAAACTTCTCTGTACTAGAGAATAACGGATAGCACCTGAGCTTTCCGAAGAGCTATTGTACGGCTTAAGTCCGTTAACCAAAAACTCTCAAGAAAACGGTCGTACCTCAGGGCCTATCCCGAAAAAATTAAGGGCATTAAAAACCCGAGAAAAACCTGCATTTAACGACCTTACCTTGAAGGGCATGTTGAATCTTAACATATTGATCGTGAGATCATCGTAAGTGGAATGGTGACAGGCGAGGGTTTGATCTCTTCAGCCCCGTTCCTTGATTATTAAATTTAAGGGGCTTGACGGCCCTTCGGGCCGTCTCAGCCCCGTTCCTTGATTATTAAATTTAAGGGGCTTGACGGCCCTTCGGGCCGTCTCAGCCCCGTTCCTTGATTCTTAAATTTAAGGGGCTTGACGGCCCTTCGGGCCGTCTCAGCCCCGTTCCTTGATTCTTAAATTTAAGGAGCTTGACGGCCCTTCGGGCCGTCTCAGCCCCGTTCCTTGATTCTTAAATTTAAGGGCTTGACGGCCCTTCGGGCCGTCTCAGCCCCGTTCCTTGATTCTTAAATTTAAGGGCTTGACGGCCCTTCGGGCCGTCTCAGCCCCGTTCCTTGATTCTTAAATTTAAGGGCTTGACGGCCCTTCGGGCCGTCTCAGCCCCGTTCCTTGATTCTTAAATTTAAGGGCTTGACGGCCCTTCGGGCCGTCTCAGCCCCGTTCCTTGATTCTTAAATTTAAGGGCTTGACGGCCCTTCGGGCCGTCTCAGCCCCGTTCCTTGATTCTTAAATTTAAGGGCTTGACGGCCCTTCGGGCCGTCTCAGCCCCGTTCCTTGATTCTTAAATTTAAGGGGCTTGACGGCCCTTCGGGCCGTCTCAGCCCCGTTCCTTGATTCTTAAATTTAAGGGGCTTGACGGCCCTTCGGGCCGTCTCAGCCCCGTTCCTTGATTCTTAAATTTAAGGGCTTGACGGCCCTTCGGGCCGTCTCAGCCCCGTTCCTTGATTCTTAAATTTAAGGGGCTTGACGGCCCTTCGGGCCGTCTCAGCCCCGTTCCTTGATTCTTAAATTTAAGGGGCTTGACGGCCCTTCGGGCCGTCTCAGCCCCGTTCCTTGATTCTTAAATTTAAGGGGCTTGACGGCCCTTCGGGCCGTCTCAGCCCCGTTCCTTGATTCTTAAATTTAAGGGGCTTGACGGCCCTTCGGGCCGTCTCAGCCCCGTTCCTTGATTCTTAAATTTAAGGGGCTTGACGGCCCTTCGGGCCGTCTCAGCCCCGTTCCTTGATTCTTAAATTTAAGGGGCTTGAGATCGGCGTCGGACTCTAAGGTGATCAATCTCAGTTATGTCCCCAACCCCACCCACACCCCTTTGGGGTGAAAATATAAATAATTCAAATTTTACGCTTTATTATGGTTTTTATATACATGTATTTTTTTTATTTTAATTTCTTTATTTGCGGATTTATTATCTTGCTTAAACTTTTTTTGAGTCGAAAAAATCATTCTTGAATTTTTAAAATGGTCGGCTAGGTTTTACTAGGCCTAATCTTGCAAAAATAAAAACACCGATTTTTTCGACCCCTACCCTTAATTTTTTGAAAATTTTTTTTTCAGATTTTTCTTGATAAGGACATGTGCAAAAACAAGTCCCACTGGCGCAGCCCCTTGCACAATCAATTTGAGTTATTCAGAATAACTTATTCTCAAAATATGGCTACTCTGATAACTCTGAAGTGCCAGAGTTTTATCGAGTAACAAAGAGGTTTCAATATTAGTTTATAAATAAAGTTTCTCAGGCTTCAAGTATTTATCAGTGGTGCATCGGTAGCGTCATGGATCGGCGTGCCGGTGCTCCGGGTTCGAATCCCGCCGTCTCGTTTTTTTTTTCTCGCGCCATGGTGATGAGTCATTTTCGCTCTTGAAACCTTTAAAAGGCTTGCGCACCCAGGGACCCCTACAAACCTATATAAATTTTTCAATTTTAGAAATGGTTTTTATTTTATCTTTCGATTTTTTTGGGGACTAAAATTGCGCATCAACTCTAGCACCCTCAAAACGACCAAATTGTGAAAACAGATGTGATTTCTCGGTCTTCCGGACATTTTTCGGGGTGGCTGTAATGAAAGAAAATGTTCGCCGTAGTCGATTTACTATTGTAAATTTTCATTTCAAGCAATTTAAAATTTTGACCCCCGATTTGCGTTCGGTCCCTAGTCGAAGTTGTAGTTGTCGTCGAAAATGTAGTTGTGGTCGTCGTCGAAGTTGATGTTGTTGTTACAGTTGTTGTTGAAGTTGTAGTCGTCGTTGATCTTGATGTTGTGATTGATGAAGCTGTCGTTGTGATTTTTATCGTTCCTCTTGGTCCAGTTGAAGAAGTCAATATTTCTGAAGCTCCTAGAAGAACTGATTCCGTAGACGGCATGCTCGGTCTTGGCAACGTCTTTGGCGTTGTGACTGGTTTTGTTGATGGCGCCTCTGATGTCGTTGTTGGAGCTGTTGTTGTCTCTTGAATGGTCGTTTCAAGAACCGTCATCTCAGTTGTTACGGGAACTCGCTTTTTCTTTGCACAACTCTCTGCGGGACAAATTAGGGCCAAAAACATGAGTTTGGTTATCATTTTCTCGATTTTTCTCTAAGTTCTTTTTCCTGGTATTTTTTAGGTTCAAGTGTTCATCTATTATATTATGACTCGCTCCAAGCCATGGCTTTGCGTGTTCTTTATTTTTGCAATAAACTTTGGTTGAGTTTTCTAAAGCAGACAAGATAAGCTCTTGTAACGATTAGTTAACATTCAAATCAACAGAGATCGAACTATGCTATTTGCTTGGATTATGAGTCGCTTTATTTAAAAAAACACTTATTTAACTGACGTTATTAAGAGAATAGAACCAAAAACAAATGAGACGAAAATTTCATTTGAGATAATTTATTTGGATTTGGCTAAGTGGTGTTTTGAGGTGGTGAAGTAAGATATTGATGTTTCAAAGCAGCTGATGGACGGAATTGAGCACCTTATTTTCTTGGTCAGGCTCCATCTTGCGTCGAAATTTTGTCTAAAAACAGACTAGCAAAGATCTTTCGTGATTCAACTTTACCTTAAAAAAATCACCATTTCTGGTGCTTTGGCTTCTGAAGCTTGTGCTTTCTCTTTTTGTTCTTCTTCCCGCTTGGAGTATTTCCCTGAGAAGCGGTTTGAGGCTGGCCATTTTCAGCAGGCAAATCTAGCAACTTGGAATCGTCTTTGTTTTCAGCGGAGTTTTGTTTTTCGCTTTCAAGCTCTTTGGCGATCAGGATATTTCGGAGAATTTCAGCGCGAAGGGCCTAAAAAAATATAGAAATTTCAATCAAGAAAGTACTAAAAAGCAGGATATGTCAAAAAGCGACCATTTCTGAGCGACAAAATTTGATGAAAACTCCCGAGTTGTTGATTGGCCGGAAGGTGAAATACCGGTTTTTCATTGGCTAGAGATTTTTTCTTAATTAAATCGCTCAGAAATATCGCTTTGAGACACTCGCCCCAGGGGGTGCCACGAAAATTGATAATAAGGACAACGAATAAAACTGTACTCATAACTGTCTTACCATTTCAACAAGTTCCTAATCATCAAACTTTTATTTTATTCAATCAAAATGTTCCGTACCTCGATTTCTGAAGCAGTTCGTTTCACAGCTTTTTCGCAGTCATCGGAAATCGCCTTGACTTTTTCGATCGATTCTTCGGTTGATTTTTCTTCCGAAACATTTCCGGAGTCTTTTTCGTCCTCGTTTTCCAAATCGTCGAGCTTTGGCTGCTCCGTTTTTTCTGCTTCTTCGACAATTGGCTCCGATTCTTGAGCTGGTTCTGGTTCATTTTCTGGTTCAGAAATTGGCGCTTCGTTTTGGCTCTTAGCTGGCTCTGGTTCTTCTTGTTCAACAGGCTTTTGCTCAGGTTTTGATTCGTTAGCTACAGAGACCTTTTCTTCTGCATCACTTAGATTCTTGAGAGTTTTTGCTTCTTCGGCGAGCTCTTGCTCGAATGCTTGAATTTCCGCCTCGCTCTGTTTTCGACGAAGTTCCTTTTCTTCGTCAACTGTTTGTGATTCTTTTTCTTCTTCCTTTTGAGCTGCGGGATTTTCTGTTGGGGAGGATTCTTCTGGCTGGGATTCAGCTGGAATTTCTATTTTTTGAGGCCTCATTTTGGCCCGAGAAAAATAGCCGCGCGCGGCTTTCGAAGTCTCAATATGGCCCGAAAAAAACAGCCGCGGGCGACTTTTGAAGCCTCATTTTGGCCCAAAAAATAGCCGCGTGCGGCTTTCGAGTGAACAAGATTGTTGAGAAAAGGCCGCGCGCGGCTTTTTCGAGAAGATTCTAGCAAAAAATTGTTGATAAGGCAAGTGCGATTTCATTTTTTTGACCCTTTCCTTTTGTTTCTAGAACTTTTTCATCCTCCTTGGATTCTTCTTGTTTGTTCTCCGAATCTGGCTCACATTGAGCCAGCGCTGGGTCATTTGTTTCAATGATTTCAAACGACGAGTTGAGCGATTTCTGTTCAGCCGTTGCTTTTTCGGCGGAAACTTCAGACGCGGCGTCAGTTGCCGGAGCAGATGCGTTCTTCGCTTGCTCGGGCTCGTCGGCTTTATCTGAACGGTTTTGTGGTTAATTATTTATTCAACCTTTTTCGTCGATTCTTATTTTTGGCAATCCCTTCTTTTTTCGATAGAATTGTGAAATTGGGAAAACTGCCAATTATAGATTCGGGTTGAAAATACCGGTATTATCGGGTTAGGGTGTTTCAAAACCGATCAGGGCAGAAACAGACTTGAGGGGAAGGATTATGAAAAATAAGGATATGGAGGGCCTTATCTTGATTTTTTGGAAATTGAAGGAAAAAGGGATGAAAACTCAACATGTATCAAGTTGAGAAACTTATTATTTGATGAAATTTTAAGAAAAAGAAGTTTCGACTCAAAACTTTTGACTTTATTGCAAGAATAGCCGCTTGCGGCTTTTTATTCAAAGCGACAGAGGAAGTATAAGATGCTTATTCTCCATTATTTTCTCTTCATTTTATGATTACTTTGAAGATAACTTACTTTATCTTGGAAACAATAAAGTATAACTAATCTGGAAAATCATGAGTCTAGAAAACCGCACGCGGCTTTGCGTCGAAGAAGCCAGCTTTTTAGCGCGGCTTTTTGATAAAATATTTCTTTATTTAGAAAAATTGAAACCGTCTTTATTAAACAGAATTCTTCAGCTGATTTTCGCTAGAATTTACCTTTCTTACTGAATCCCCCCGAGCAGGTTAGGACTCTCAAGATTCGCTTCATCGGGCGGCTTTTTCACAATTTTCTCTCTTCACTTTTTTAATATTATTTTTTTCGTGCGTGTGCCCCTTCTCTCCTTATTCGAAAACTATCTGAGGCGCCTTCTGCGCGCGAAAAACACACAAATTCGCTGTTTTTGTTCTAGAAACAAAGCCAACGAAAAATAACAACAAGGGGGGTTCCCTTAACCCCTTTTCTCTGTATTTTCGAGGAGAAAAAAATAAGCAGCGCTGTGTGTTTCGGCTCGAGAGTCCAGTTTATGCCGCCAGAGGGCGGGTCAGGGGCTGAATTTTAGCTCAGAAGTTGGTCAGCTGTGAAAAAACTGAAGAGATCGCGAAAAATATGCGCATCGATTTCCGTTCCTGATTTTACGCGAATTTCAATAATTCAGCTCGGGAGGAAATGAAAATTTGGCGCTGCAAATTTACGAGTATGAGAAGCAAACATCTGGGAAGGGAATTTTTGTTTGAAAAGGATTCTCAAGAATTTTTTTTCAAACAAAAATTTTTGTTCCAAAAAATTTTAAAAGTCACTTTTTCGAAAGCTTTTACCTGAAATCGATGCTGTTCTTGATTCGAAACAGCTGATGAGTTTTGAAATGCAGAATTCAAGCAGAAACTCAAGTAGCAAACTCAAAATCACTAGAATTTGAAATTTCGTTTTCACCAAAAACTCTCTATTTCCATTTTTTCTTATCAAAATGATCGTTTCCTTCACTAACTCCATTCTCTTTTTTCGGTGTGAAAAAAACTTTTGCTTCGGTTCTGATTTTATATTTGGAGAAAACGATAGTTATGCAATGAGACGAGTAGGGCACCACGAGTACAATAATTGTGAACTTGGAATTTTGAACTCGTTCTCAGAAAAATGCAAATAAAATCGCTAATAGTCCAGCTAATAATTCGGGTAATAGATATGTGAATATTTTTGAGACACCATAAAACTCAAACAATTTTTTAATTTATTTAATTTTATCAAAATGTATAATTGAAAAACTCTAAAATTTACGAAAAAATTGCCCATCAGAAAAGTCAATTTAAAAATCATAAAACAATCATCGATGCATCATTTATTGCCCCATTTGAGTGCAATAAGCCCCGAGACACCGATTAAGAGTCCAGCTTTGATGTAGCCCGTGACCGGTGATCCGTCTTATTCTGGGTCAATTCAGGCCGTCAGTTCAATTCTGTCAATAATCGCCCCTTCTCGCTTCCCACCAGACCAAATTTACTGTTTTTGGTTCGATTTCGTTTTGGGGCGAAAGTGAAATTGACCCTTACCTGATGATTCCTGCTCCGAAAGTGTTTCGTCAATAATCACCGGGAATTCGCCCTCCGATTCTTCCGAGATTTTGCCGTTTTCCTGGATGGTCGGGTTGGCGCTGAAATCTGATATTTCAGAAACATCAGCGAGGGTTTCGCGACGATCTTTGTCGAATTCGACTTCAGCGCATTCGTTCTCGCTTGATTTCGACTCCTCGTTGTCTTCAGTCTTGCTCAAATTTTCTGTGGATTTTTCGTCTTTTTCGAGTTTTTCTAGTTCTTCCTTGGTCATTTCTTTTTGAACCGTGAACCCGGTTTCGGTTTCAGCATTCTCGTACTTTCTTAGATCCGCTTTAGTTGGAGGTTCTTCATTGTTAGTTTCGCCGAGTGCTTGTTGAATCGCTTTTTCGACGATGTCTTCTGATTTTTCTTCGATTTCTTGGGTTTCAGAAATGCCAGATTCGACTTTTGATGAAGTTCCAAAAGTGAGTTCTTCATTTTCTGAACCCTCATCTGACGAAAAGGATTCGACTGGAGCGCATGACTGAACTTTTTGGCTCGAAACGAAGTTAAGCTGAACATCATCATCATCGTCGTCGATGTCATCATTGTCGTCATTGTTGTTGTCAGATACTGAAGAAGAAAACTGCTTGGGAGATTATTTTAGTTGCTTTCGGTACCTTGCTTTTTTGATGATTCATTGCCTTTAACGATCTCCTGAGCGGCTTCAACAACCGGTTCTGGTGACGTTGAATCGATAATGATTCCAGAGTCGACCTTTAGGAATCAGTCTCAAAACTTCGCTTCTTGATTCATATTTGATTATGTGTTAAAAATAATAAAACTAACAAATAATCGTAAAACTTGTGAGACCTCCCTCATGAACATCACTTTGACCTCCTGATTTTACGACTTTAGCGGCTTGATTTAAAGACGTTTCCTCTCCACCAAGCTTTTCTGAAGAATACAAAGTCAGTCACGGCCATCAATAAACGAGCGGAAATCAGCAATAACAATAAACCACTTGTCACAGCTACTTATTATTTTATAGCTTGGGACTTACGTAAAAGCTGCTCGCTGAGGTCCAAGCATCGTTTTAGCCGGTCGTAGGTTTCTTGGGCCTGGGTTGTCGAAAATTTGATCGTAGTGCTGATTTCTGCAGCCATTTTTCTCAGCTAAAAAGGTTCTTCGAATGAAAAATTTGTCCCTTTTTTCGATGAAAATTTTTGTGAAAAAGTCCTCAAAAACGATCTTTTAAAAGAAAATCCTTAAAATTAAAAAGAAAATAAATAAGGGTGTCACTTCGTTAGCATCACCTTAATTTTATAAAAATTATAATAGTGATACCTCACTCTAAATAGCCTGTAATAAGAGCAAACTTACCTTTTTTATATTTTTTATATTGAAAAATCAAATTCTCTGCTTTTTATTTTTTTCGTGAATTTCAAAATCTACCTTGAGTATCTTTCGCGTAGAAAAAAAAAAGTTACGACCTTCGACAACGCGGATTTTAAAACCACCTCATCAGAGAGAGCGAGTGAACTAGGTTCGAGTAAATAAATCTGAATTCGTTGTTTTGCTTCTTTCTAATTAATGCTGATTGATTTTGAACCTGCTCGACATTTATTTGACCCCTGAAAGTTGAACTTGAGTTTAAACTTTAAAAAATAATATTTTATTTTTGAGAAATATAAACAGTGAAATCTTCAAAGTTTAATCAAATCACCGTCCGGTAAATCGTCGGAAAATTCGGTTTTGATGTTGACTAAAGCGCTCGTTTTTCCGTTTTTCGGCGAGCGATTTTTCGTAATGAAATCGTATGTTGAAATGTCTTCGAGCCAGAAATAGACGTGAAGGCAGAAAAGCTGCGTCAGGATAAGCATGAGACTAGAAAATGGGTTAGGAGGAGGGAAAATGGGGGAAAGGATGGAAGAAACGATAGTTACCCAAAAATGAGCATGGAGCTCATTATCGCTAGAATGACTCTAGCATGATCATTGACGGTCTGTTTTGGGTGGACAAAGTCTGACTTACTAGCTCTGATATCTGTGAAGCAACCTGAGTCAGGTCCCCGAATAAGATGTTTTGTCAGGTTTTTAACGTAACCCTAACCCTAACCAAATAAATTGTCCACCCGAAATTGCCCAAGGTGAAGGAGGAAAAACCGACATGTAGAACATATTCAACAAAATGATCCCGATGACGAAGAGACACAAAATGATGGCGGTAAAAAGCGTCATGAAGAAATAAAAGTAGTTCGCACCGCCGACGCAGTTGTTGAGCCAGACGCAGTGGTGGTCAAAGTTACCGATGCATTTGTTGCAGCTGCGGCAGTGCTTGGAATTGCGAGTCACGCGACATTGACAGACGAAGCAGTAGTTGTCCTTGACGACACGGTCGCCTCGGTGGAGCTCGACATCTTGCCGGATAAGGGAATACTGGGAAAAACGTAATGTTTATGAAGAAGAATCTTGCTTTATTTGAAAACAAACCTCGACTTCTTCGTCTTTTGGGTCAGTAAATGTCGCTCAAAAGGTTTCAAGCTGACTGTAAATCCAGCTGGTATTATTAATTCTGAGTTATGCTGTCAACCTTTCCTAGCAAATGAAAAATGATATGAACAATGTAAGTTGTCAACAGAAGACCAGTGAACCAAACCGGACTAAAAATACAAATAAAAAATTTGAGTTTGCTAAAAAAATTAACATTGTGACACCCTCACAATGTCAAAATCGGAATTTCAAGCTTTCACAAGAAGAACTGGAATAAGGGTGTCAGTATGTTAATTTTTTAGAAAAATTCTCGTCCATAATGTCTTATCCCATCAAATCAAACCTCTTGAGATAGGGAATATAAATAAAAATCGTCCCCGCCAAGACCATAAACAACGCCGTCCAAGTAAAAAGCTGATGATAGTTCAGTGGATTCGTCAATCCGTTTTTACGCGGTTTCGTCCTATTCAACCATTTTAGTTCATTTTAGCTCAAAATTTCTAAATTGCACTCACATCTTCGGAGCGTCCAGATTTTTTTTCCAAAAACAAGTGTTTTTTTTTCTATCTCTGGTGTTTCTCAAATTCGATTAAAAGAAGTGCTCAGAATTGAACGCGCGAGTAAAAAGAGGATGCATGAATTATCAAAACAGCCAGTTGAACTGAATATTGAATATTTTTGCTGAATATTGCACGAAAAGCCCTGGATGAGAACATATTTCCTCTTGAAACACATTTGTACGTATCCGGCCGATGCATTATTCAACAGACATTTGTTGCTGAGATATATTTTTACTGCGACTACAGTGCAGCAAGAAATTAGCTGGCACCTTCAGCCTGCGGATAAAGCTCAGCCAGCTGTAATGAGCATCGTTTGTTTTCGAAATCCTCTATTTCATCTGCAATTCTAGCAACTACTCAGTTGAATGGCTGCTTATTCATGTTGCAATAAAGGAAAAAGGATCAACATTTCTTGCGATTTTCATAAAAATCAACAAGAATTGTTTTAGTAGGTAGAATCTTTTGGTTTTATTTGAACTGAAGAATGAATGGATAAGAATGAGGCTTCTTTATCAAGGAAACTGGGCATGGAAGTTGAGAAATCAATAGTTGAAATTGCACAAAGAATTTTTCTGATGCTGGTATCATCTGGCTGCTCGCTGAAGTTGAGCCAGTTCCGTCATTCTAGGGCACAGATGAGTTTTCGATTGCTAGTTTAATTTTACCTTAATTTCAAAGCTTCGTTTTCCATTTTCAATTTCTTCAAGCTCGCCATTTGCAGATCCAGAATATCATCCTTCTTGCTCGAGCTCGAGTGCTGAAATCGACACCAGTACTGTCTCCACAAATCTGACGGTCCAAGTGGCCATGCGGGCGTCATCTGCGTTTCTCCATAAAGTGGATTTTTGAAGGACTCTTCTGCGGCTAAAACGGGCCAGATTGAGTAGGTTTTGTTGGTAACACCGGCAAGGGTTCGTTCTTTTTCGCTGTCGCCGATGAAATTGCCAAATTCGGAAGTGATAGAGATGTCGTGGAGGCGGAGGAGGAATGATGAGTTGAACTAGATAATGATTTATGAAAATATATTTTGGTGCATTCATGTACCTCAAAATGAAGAGGGTGTGTCAGCAAAAGATGATGAACAGCATGTAAAAAGAGGAAAAACGTTGATCCTTCTTTTCCGGTGATAGTGTTTTTATGCGCCCAGGCAGAGCGCTGATGACGCTCAAAAAAGGGATGGCCGGCTTCAATCCACTCTCGTTGAATGATAGAAAGCAATCCGACAAGCGTCCTCGCTAGAAAAAGGGCTAAAAAAGGGTTCAAGACAGAATGATACCTTCAGGAAGGTGGATAATCTGCGTCAACGAAGTGACAACCAACGTCATGTCCACTCCATCTCCGCCATGAACAATCACGGGTGCCTGTCGAACAGCTTGAGCGGTCATCGAAGCGACCCAAAGAGTCGTGTCCACTGCAGCGAGCCAGCCTGATTTCCGAAGTTTATCGAGGAAATCGTCACTCTTGGCGGACATGGCTTCCCAGGCCTTGCAAAAACTTGTGTGCACCGAGTAGCGATTCATAAGATCTTTCTAGGGATAGACTTAATTTATTAATTATTGTTTAAACAATTAATGTGACATTAATAATGTCTTTTCCTTTTATGAACAAAATTGCTAACTTCGAATATTCAATCCCTTTGCCTGGATACTCTTTCTTATACAGCGGGTAATAAGAGTCTGTTTCCAAGCCCTTGCGCTTGTTTCTCAGCTCTTGAATCATGGATTTCGGTCTAATGTCAATCAGCACGCTCTTCTGTCCATTCGAAATCAACCTGAAGATCTCCTCGTCTTGCTTGTTCCGAGCATCCATGAATCCGATCGAGCTGCAGCGGAGAAGCGGATTGTGAACTGTTTGTTTCTGCTCTCCAACAGCTTAGATTTACAAATAAGGAGCGGGAAAAGGAGGATATTTACCGATAAGAGCAGAAAGAACAGGAAACCGTCCGCCATCGCGGAACTTGGCAGATTTGAGAATTAGATCGTCCTTGACCGCGGCAGGAATAACGAGATATTTAGGGTAGCTAGAGCAGACATCGAATTTCTGATTCTTCTCGAAAAGTCGCCAGCGCTTGTTTCTCAGCGAAGCAAACCAAGCCTAGAATGAAATCCTTTAGTCTCCTGTCAGAAGCAGAGATTCTACCTGTGTCCCTAAAACATTGGGTTTCTTGAGCTCTTCATATTTTCTCGGCGGGTTATAGTAAAAAGGATGCGTGTCGGTAAACTTGATCATTCCACAAAGCTGAACGGAAGTGCACAAATCGTCCGCTTCGCCTTGCGAATTCAGAAGAAATCGAATTAGTTTTCCATTCTTTTGTCGCATTTTCACCAAATTTCGACCTTTGTCCGTCTCTTTCTCGACCGAATCAACCATTTTATGATCGACAATCAGTTCTTTCTGGACTCTTCGAGCGACGAAGATCAATTGATGACCTGTAATTGCCAGCTGGCCCTGACAATCAACCTGCCCATTTTTGTCCAGAAGCCGCACCCCGTCAACTTGTGGTGTTCTTATAAGTTCGACGAATTCCATTCTATGATGATTTCTTATTGAAAGGCTTTTTTCTTGAAAATCGTATTTATTCGCATTTGAACTGTGGAGGAATGAGGTTAGCTTTCAAATAATATGATCATGAATTGAAGAAATAAATGAGTGTTGTTTTCAGTCGTCTAGCATAGTTTTAACGAGGAAGAGAGTAATGGCGACCATGAAATTTTCTATTTCCGTGCGCAAGTTCATCCAGCTGTTTCGATACTTTCCTGCTTTGGAGATTTCCTCCCACTGAGTTCCGCGCGGAATATCCTTAAGCAGCGCGCGGATTCGTGTTTCTTCGTCGTTGTCGCTTACGGTGAGCAGGATCAGGATGGAGTAGTCGCCAGATTGGTTAAAGACTGCCAGATGACGGCACTTGCCACTTGTGTCTTCGTAAGGAGTCACCTAAAATCAAGCTGATCATGGTCCCTATTTAGGACTCGTTGACAAAAAGAAGGACAGATCATTGAGTCCATTCGATAAAAGCCACACAAAACGCACCTGAATTCTATCCTTTGAGCATTCCTCTCGAATAAATGTACCCAGTTTCTTGAGCCACTCGTTTCCAAGTCGACTCAAAGTCTTCAATCGTTCGTCAAGCTCGTGGGAAATCTCCATCACTGCCACATCAGCGTTGTTGAGCAGCTCTTTCAAGTCGGACAAGGCGGCGGTGCCAGTTTGTTGGAGTTTCCAAAGATGGTCTTTGTAGCACTTTTCGCCGACATTGTCGAATAATTTTGGCAATCCGGCGTCTTTCGAAGTCACTTCTTTTTCGATCAAAGCGATGGCGTCATTGAACGTCAAGTTGGTGGACTTGTCCGGGTTCTGGACGCAAATGATCCAGTAGGCGAGTTTAAGTTGTTTTATTTCTTCTTTGTCAGGTTCGGCACTGTCGTCGTGGTAGATGATTGCTACGGTTTTGAAAGCTCCAGAGTCGTATTCGCGCTGGAGGAGGATGTAGCTTCGGTTTTCGTCTGCGTCGCGGATTCTGAAGGTATTTTTAGCTACTGCGCTTCTCGATCATTTTCAAAACTTACTTTCTTTCGCTGCGTAACTCGACAAACTGAATCGGCTTAGTATCGAAATCCCTGTCCAATGTACTGTCTTTGACCAAATACTAAAAGATCTTTAATTGAAGAACAAATTGAAATCATGCGGGAAGAATTCTTTGCTTGAAAGAATCCTTCGTCGTGATTTTGTTCCATATGATTGGTGAAAATGACGAGAATGACGAAAATAGGGCTAGCTGAAATGAAAGATGCAGAAAATGACGACTAACAGCTATAACACCTAATCACTGGTATTACCTTGAAGAAGTTAATTCTAACCTTGAAGAAATCCTTCGCCGGAATATTGTGCGTGTACGGCACAATCAGGGACCCCTGGTGGAAATCCCCGTGTACCAGTTTTTCCCTAGAACGAAAATAAGTGGCGATCGGACAAGAATGATCTTACTTGAAATTCTGCTGCATGAGAAAACTCAAATAGCTCGGGAAGTCAAAGTTGAGGGGAAATAGGCTTTCTTTGGCTCTTGGAATTCCGGGGTAGTAGCGACTCATTTTGCGGATTTCGAAGTTGTAGTAGTCAGACCAGTCCCGGAAAACGATTGAAAGATGGACTTCTGCCATCAGACCAGGGAAATTGAAGTTTTTAACCAATTTTTCGACGTTAAAATCGATCGCACTGTCTAGGGATGAAAGCTTTTCGCAGGTATCGAAGTCGTCTCGCTCCGAACTCACTACAATTTCACTCAAATTAGCTGCTTATCTAATGATTTGAGTTACCGAGAGCCATGTTGAGCGCAAAAACAGTCATCGAAACCGTGTTTTTCTTCTCCAAATCGATCATGATTTCAAAGACGATAGTGAAAATTTGATCAATACAGAATTGAAAGGAAATCGTCGAGAAAGAATCGTCCTTGTCCGAGAATTGAATATTCCTGACGGAGTTTGCCGGGAAATGCGCCTTGACATATTTACTCGTCAGTTCGAAAAACGCTTGTTTCTGACGCCTTCTTCGTCCGCTTTGTTGGTCGAATTGGGCAGGAGGCTGAGCGCCAAGATTGTTCATTCTCCTAGAAGCGGTGATCCCCGGGTTAGGCCGTTGTCTGCTAGAAACGACCATTTTTGCCCGTGGTCGCATTCGAGAAACTTCAACTCCAGGTGGTGTTTTGTTACGTTTTCTCAATTCTTGCCGTGTCGGATTGTTTATAACATAACACTTGTCAGAGTGAAACCAAATCGGCTCAACTTCAAAGTGCTTTACGGTGGAAAAAGTTTTGATCAGCTGCAAGTCCGCATGGGAAATTTCAATGTCATTCAATCGGCCATCTTTGGTGGTCTCAGCCCATTCATGAAGAATGTGAGAAAGGCGGGAATCCTGTTGATCTCCCTTTGAAGCCTTTTTGGATTCCGAAATCGCAAGAAACTGGCGCCCATGATTGGTTGGAGGATCCCCGCAATTTTCTAGCGCTGGGATGTCGGAAGTGTTTCGGAAGGCGGCGCAGAAGGAGTTGATCACGACCGATTTGTCAGGCGCTGGTTTTTGCAAGTTGTCGATGTTGTTTTCAACCACGTCTTGGTAGTCGTAGCATTTTTTCGACTTCCGATGATCTGGAACAGAGAACAAATTTCCCGATGGCAAGCTGTCGTATTGAAGTTGATGCTGAATCGGCGAGCTCAGGCCGAGTTTGAGCTTCGTTATCGCTGTCAAAAGCTCGTATCTCACCAACTGAGAGGTCAAGAGCTTTTTAATGAAGTCGACCATTTGATCCGCGAGGTTTTCGGAGACGTTGTACATGTACAGACACAGTGTGGGGTTTCCAACGATTTCTGAGTTTTCAAGAGTCAACATGGCGCAGGATTGACGGGAGAGCTCGTAGTCGCCGTCGGCAGTAGGACCGTTGTTGAACTTTGCGTAGTTTCGTGAGTTATTTGGACGAATACAAGTCATCGAGCCGCTGCGAGAGATGCTAGAAGGGCCTTCTTCGGAGCGATTGGTGCATCTTTGCCAGTCCTCGTTGTCTCTCAAGAACATGGTTACCTCCACCTTTTGGCCAGAAACTTGCTTCACATTCTTCCAAAAACGTGACGGGACGAAATCGCCTTCAGTTTCATTCCGATAGAAAACTCTGCAGATATTCTCCTGATCATCGATTCCCGCTGCTTTAGCCCACAAGTCGGAGAATCGATCCCGTATCGCCTTGATGCAGCTCTTTTCGAATATTTTCCAGGATGGAACGCGAATTGATTGGCGCGAAAAGTCAACAAAATTGATCGTTGGATGAGAGAGCTCGTTCATGTGGGGAGCATTTTGAACGTTATTCGTCGGAGATTTTGATTCTTTGCGAATCCAATCGCGGAACTGGTTCTTGTAGTAGTTATGTAGCGCACCAGTTAGGCCACTTTCGACGTCAAGTTTTTCTTGGAGCCGGGTGCTCGCTTGCTCCTGGGCTTTGTTCTCGTTGTTTCGCGATTTCAAGAATGAAATGCCTCGGGATTTTTGGAAGTTCGCGCCGTCGGTTTCAGCATTTTCACTCGACAGCAACAGTGATTTTTTCGAAAAGGATTTTGACATGTCGATGCTGGCAGAAGTGAGAGAGTCCTTTCTTCGTCTAAGAGAGCTGTGAACTTCTTTTGGACATGTTTTCGTCCCTTTTTGCCGACTTTCTATCGAACAAATCGGTCGATCGAAATTCATGCCAATCGGTTTCTGCAAAACGACGATTTCCATCAAACTGTCGAAAATCGCTGCTCGGACAAGACGAGAGAGGGACTTGTAGACCATGCTCTTGACTCCGTGCACATTTGGCCGGAATGTGGAATTGTCCGACGTCTTCTCTTTTGAATCTTTATAATCTTGCATCCACATGCAAAAGACGATCGTCGGCTCGGCGAAGTTATACCCTGTTTCGCGAAAGATGATCATGTTGTCTTTGAGCTGCTTATCTGTGGGTGAGTTTGATTGAATGATGGCTTCTGCTTCGTCTAGGAATATTTCAGAGGCGTTTTGCTTTGGTTGCTCCTTTTTATCGGAGGGAAGATCAGTTTTGGTGGGGATGAGATTTGATTTATCATAAACTTCATAGGAGATGACGGCGATTTTAGCCTGCGTCGGATCGGGAGAAATGTTTGTTGAAGGAATATGCTGGCTAGTCCGTTTGTTTTGGCGATTTGGAAAGTTTTTCCGGCGCAAATTTGAATTGAAAATAATCACCTCTTCTGGGTGAAGCTTTCGGCCTTGCGAAGCATTGTGGCGGAGAAAAGGCGTCTCGGGATGGATCGTTTCTTTCTTCTTTGTTGATTTTCTATCGGAAGAAGAGTTTTGGTCGAGAAAGCCTTGTGCGGGCCCGTCTTTTCCAGCTGAGTGTACGGATAATTTCGGCTTTTGAGGCCTTTCGTATTGAATATGATTCGCAGTCATGAACACTTGGAACTCCGTAGACTCAAGGATTTGCGATAAATAGAACGAAAAGCGGCGGAAATTGGCGTAAAGACACCGGGGAATCGGGAAGAAATACGAGAAACTGGGCGGTTCGGGTGTTGATTTATCATTTTTCGATCGTGGTTGGAGGAATTCGACGTCGGCGGTAGAAAGGAATTCATTTCGATTTCGGTGGATTGTTGTTGAAAGCGCTTGGAGGGTCGCATTGTAGAGGACGAGTTCGACTTTTCGCTCGAGCTCCCGAAGAGCTGGCTTTATATCGCCGTCGCCAAAATCGTCAGAGAGGCCGTGTACGTCGATCGTTACTGAGTTAGTTTTTTGACAAGATTTGCTGTTTGCTAATTGCGTGTTTATTGGAGGTGGTCTACCAATGCTGCCATTTGAGTTGAGGCGAACTGGCTTCTGGTGATTGAAATGATCACCGTAAACATCAGTTGATTCAATCGAAATTGAGCGATGAGTCAACAGCTGTCCAGAAGAGATCTCTTGTGATTCCTGATGTTTCCTGTCGATGAAGAAATAAACGATTCGTTCGCGCTCCATGATGACGAACATGTTCTGGCGATTCTTGACCCGCAAGTTCTGGAATTTCTTCTTGAGATTCGACACGGCGATAGAATCACCTCCTTCCCGAGGACGCTTGGTTATTCTAGGATGGAGCTGGATCTCGATCTCGTGGATTTTCGCGCAGGCGAACTCGCCGGGCTCGAAGTTCAAGAAGTCGCAGATGTCGTCTTCCAGCGGCCCATTGTTTTCTACCAAATATGGATGGCATTCGAAAGAGGTGGACAGATCGTGGAGCAGATACATTTGGTTAACTTTCTGCACGATGCTTTTGATGTAATCTTCGATCTCCTTGATGAATCGCTCGTCAGCATCCGTTACATTTGGATCTCTATATTGAATTCCTCTTGAAATGTTAGAATGAATATCAGATGTTTGTCCGATTTCGTTTGCTTCATGATGAATGGTTGTTCCGTAGCTGATTCGTTCTCCCTGAATTTTTACCGCGAAAGGATTATCTGCTCTTCTTCTGTGGTGATATAGCTTCATTACGGGTATTCTGCGATTTTGCGAAAAATTAAAAAGTCGATCATCATTCTGGCTCTTCAATTGATATTCCTCGAGGAGATCGATTTCCATGATAAGCCAGAAGTTCGGCACTTGCCATAGATCCTCGTGATCGTCACGATTGAATCCTCCGTGACTCATTCTTCGGACTCCACTGGACTCACCAGAAGTTCTATTGAATTGATCAGATGCAGAGGAAGTCATGGTCGTTGGCGTTCGAGATATGGGTAAGTGACCTCTGCTGCCTCTCTTGTGAACGGGAGACAAAATGCTTTGAACTTCTCGATCTTCTTCTTCATACAGCTGGGGACGCTGGTCATAAGGCTGGTCAACAAATGTCGGAAGAGTGATTTCTCCTTCAAGTGTTCCATTCAATTCACCGAGACTCGCGTTTGAGGAGTTTTTTCCGCCATTGCCAATCCCTCCGTTTGAGCTCTGAATACTAGCGATGTCGACATCACTTCCATGCTCTTCTAGAGGCGCATCCCCAGTCTTTCTAGGGGTCAAGGTGACGTAGAAAAATTTGCCCTCGGACTTCAAATCGAATTGGAAGTCCTGATAAACGTCTGGCCCATCTTCTTTGCTCTCGAAAAGGGTTGATGGAAGAGAAAAGCCATGGTTTGTGCTGCCAAAGTAGCCGTGTCGGAGCAAATTTTCCCTGAATCGCTCGATCGATTCCGCATAATCGTCCTTTTCATTGACGAATTCGAGCGTTATTTCTCGCCCGTTGCACATTAAATTGTGGCGATGAACGTCAGTTTGCGTGATTGACTCGTTTTCTTCCACATGCTTTTTGACTTTTTCGAGAATTTCGGATGTAATGATTCCTTGTTTTCTTCTCGCCGCGACGATCTCGTCTTCAATGATCATCTGGATAGAGCTCAAGGTCTTGTTGATTTTGTCTTCGAAGCCCATTGGGATTTTTCCGACGTTCGAGCTCGTTTCGGCATCATCTCCGCTCGAGAACACATCGCTTGGGATAGTGAAGAACATGAAAACCAGCTGTACTTGAATATCATCCAGTCTAACTCTGTTAATTCGTTCTTGCTCCGTTTTTATATTGTTAACTTTTTGCACCAGTTTTTGAATTGACGTGAAAAACTCCTTCTTGAGAGGAACGGTTTCTCCGGAGAAACGGCGGTTGCACTCGCCACTAGCCCAGATTTGCATCTCCATTTGGAGAAAGAGCGGCTGGTGGAGGGTCGGCTCGTCTTCCAGTTGCGACGACATGAAATTCGATCGATCGCTTTCAGCGTTGGTGAGATCGGACACATTCGCTTGAGGCTCGTCATCCGTAATTGTCGCGAGAAGCTGACCTAAAAGAGCAATTAACGATTATTTCTTATGTTAATAAGGTACCTTCACACGACATTTGCTCGAAATCGTAGTCGTGGATTGTGGTTTTCTGCTCCTCCTTGGTCTGCTGATGTTCGAAAACAATGTCGTCTTCTTCTTCACTTTGATTTTCTTCCACAATTTGGTCTCGTCCAAATCCGTCTTGGGAGAAATTTTCATTATGAGGAGAATACTCGCCGTGAGTATAATCTGGCTCGACGAAGTAAAAAGTCGAGCATTCATGATCCTGATCGTCAGCGAAGAGTCGGAAATAATGGCCGATGTTTTCGTAGAGAAGTTCAGAGCATTTTGCAGCCGTTTCAAGCTCCTCTTCCGCGTCTTGTTGCCGCCGAGGCGTGTTGACGTCTATAGAGCGATTTCGAAGCTGAGGAGGAGGCGATCGATCTTCCAGTGTCGTGTCGGAGGGCTTCGGCTCGCCCATGAAGAAGCTTAACGATTGATAAAATAACTTATTTTAAATAAGCCCGTTTATGAGTGGATGTTAAAGTTACCTTGGACGATTTTCATGCTTCGGGGAACCCAAACTCAGTGAACTTCCTTCATCACTGCTTCCTGAAAAAGAGTTTAAACAGGTTTCAGTCGAAAAGATTGGTGATCCTGAGTGAATGGTAAAAAATGTGGGAGAGGCGATTTCTATGATTTCTAGAGCCCTAGCTAGCACCGTGAAGTGAGTGTTTAGCCCGAATTTCGATTAAATTACGGGCATCTACTAATTAATGAGCGTGATTTTTCACCGAATGAGTGTATCTTTCCAAAAATTACCGCGAGAGATAGAAGTAACGCTTCGGCGCCTCATAAGTCTATTCCGGAAGACTGAATCAAGTTAAAATGTCGAAATGAACGACAAGAAAACAACCACTTACCTTCTTCATCAACATCTAAGTCCATATTGTCGCCCGCAGCTTCGTTTTGCCGCATTTGCTCGTCAAAATTCACGCGCCACTCGGGGCACCAGGATAAAATTGCATCAGTGATGACAATTTTCTTCTCTTCCGGGACGCAATGCTCGTACAAGGCAATGTGAAAATCGGTCGAAGAAACAAGCGGGTCGCTGGACACAGATTTTTCGCCAAGAGTATGATAAACTCCACGGACAAAACTGCGGTTGTAGAGGTCTTCAAGTTCCGTGAAGTATTTTGTAAAGGCATCATCGGCTTCTTCGACGAACTGGAGCTTTGGAACAAACGGGCTAAAAGAGGACAGTTGTGAAAAAGGAAAGAATAAATGCACTTTGAAAGTTACCTGAAAGAATTATTCCGCTCATGTCTTACGGATTCTTGCTTCTTCATCGATTCAATCAGCTCTGGCTTCCAGCATTTATTCATGACCGTCATTTTTTTGTTCATTGGCTTCATCTTGTTTATCGCTTCTCGAACCTTCGCCCGTTCCGAAACAGTCACAAGAACTGGCAACATTCCACGGTGTTTTCGATTCTGAAGATCGAGAATTCCGTCGCTAGTGTAGCTGGACCGGCAGAAAGAAACTTCAGAATCTTTTCTGAGTCGAGACTCAATTTCTTCGTCAGAAACAACTCCTTGGAAATCAGAATTCCGCGGCTCGTCTTCTGGAGGATTGATTTTGTCAAAAAGCTGTGGAGAAATGCACTCAAGAAGGGCAACATCGCTCAGACGCTCAGGAAGAGCAGTGATGATCAAACTGTCTTTTTCATCAACATATCTTGCATAAACTGCCCAGTGAGGAGTATTGTTCATGTTCGATCTCGGCAGACCTCCATCACATGATCCTGCGGAATGCGCTTTATCATCACCGTCCTCGTCTGAGTCGTAGTTTCCATCATACAGATTATCCTCTTCATAATTGTCATAGTCAGTAACTGTACTTCCGGATTCCTTGTGATCGCGTTTTCGGATGCCGAGCATTTCACAAAGAAATTCTTGAATCGGACACTTCATGTTTTCAACCGAATCAAGAACGAGAGAAACATCTGATCGGATTTTCAGCACTTCATGGAATTGATGAAGAAGCACTTCATTTCCAGGATTCGGTTGGTTTTTATCCTCGGTTGTTGATTCGAGCAGCGAGAAGCCGAATAGGCGATGATTGCCGTGATACAACATTATTCCAATGTCGTGGGTGTTGTTCATAAAGAAGATCCGGTCCATTCGATTTTCGAATTCTTCATCTAATGAGTAGTCGAGGTATTTCATCTTCACTTCTTTTACCCCGCTTGTGTTCTCGAACCCAGCCGGCTTTGAGTTTTGCTTCAGGTCTTTGAAAGCAAAGGAGCTGTCCCAGGGCTTCTTCGCTCGACACTGCGACTTGATCAAATTAAACGTCGTTTCAAAAATGATCATTTGGTGATCGCGCGTCATCTGGATCTGTGCGATTTCCAGAAAATTCTTTCCTTCGCATCCGGGAGGACCTCTTGCAAGATTTCCCCGACGTGGTTCCACCCATACTTCGGTGGCGACGTGAAATGTGGATATTTTAATGCCATTTGAGCGGTCTTCTTCTTCGTCGGCGAAGGATTTTCGCGGAAGTTCTATTGGAGGAAAGAGAACGATCTATAACTAGGGTGAACTAAATTCTCAAAAGATAAGGGGCAGAATCCCCTTTCTTGACCCTCCATAATCGGTAAATATTCTCACCCAAGTCCTGAATAATCCCAGTATCTTCTCTATCGTGAGTTTTTTGCTGCATTCTATCCGCTTCCCTCTCGAATTGTCCCTCGTCTGCGAGAGTGATTGGACCATCGTTGCCTGAGAACACGATTTTGAAGCCATCGTCGAGCCGGTCTTTGAATAAATCCATCATGATATCATTCAGCGCGTTGATATGATGACATTTCACCTCCCAGACGAATCGCCGCTGATGAAGATACGAGAAAACATGCCAATTTGGCGTTGATGATTCTTCTACCGGCTTGTCCGTGGATTTGGAATTGACAAGAGGGGAGAACCAGAGCTTTCTCGGCAGCGTTTTGTATTTGATGAGAAGATATGTGCTTGCAAGGGGCTTTTTGAGGACATGACAAAAGGGACTTCGATCGGAACTCGTCAGGTGTTCTTTTATGCTTTCGAAAATGATGCCTCTTCTTTCGATACTCATTCCAACATTGAATGCGACTCTGATGATGGAAACAAGTCCAAGTTGAGTTTTTCGGATCATCACGAACCCTTCTTTTTGATAACTCGGAGGTTGAGAAGAGAGAGACCGTCCGTTCTTCAAAGTCTTGTAGACGAAGGTCTTTCTGTTGTCGACATGCCAGCTTATCGTTCCTTCATCGCCCAGGGAGCACTTCCACTTGAGAAGAAGCTCGCCGAGCTCGGAATCAGAAGAATCCGCGCCAATTTGCGGGTATTGATTCGCCAAGTTGCTGTTTCGCAGAAACAAGTCATTCGGCTGAACATGGTCCACGATCCAATTCGGCTTGAGAATCAGCTCCAATTTGTGCGTATGAAACCACTTTTGCCAGTTGTGCTCTGGAAGCGAAATGATTTCTTTCCAAACATCACGGGATTCTGTCTCCAGACTTTCTGCTTCGCCCGTTTTCGAAATGAGATACAGTGTTTCGAGCATGTTGTCAGTGTTGTGAAGCTCGTTGACGTAGATTTGAGTCCAATGAACGCCGGAATTCGCCTCGTTCGTCGCAGTCTTCCCTCGCATTGTGCAGACATTACAGGTGTTCTGCTTCTTTTTGTGGTTCAATTCGCACATCAAAAACTCAAACTGGCCTTCGATGGCGATCGTCACAGTAGTTGAGCCGGGATCCGAATAATTTCGTCGAGCGCAGTAGACGATGTGCGAAGTTGGCTTCCAGGGCATCAGAAGTTTCGCCGATACAAGTTCTTTTTTGCTTACGCGCCATTCTTTTACCGTAAATCCTTCGCGGAGGTGACAAGAAATGAGATTTTCGAGGGGGATCTCGTAGCTGCGGGTTTTCTTCACCTCTTTTTCGTAAAGAATGACTTAAATGAAAGATATCGTTATTTGAAAACAAAAAAATTCTAACCTTGTTTCTTGTTGATGATTCCTCTAGAGTAGGACAAGTTTTCAGCCTTATGCCATCTTCGAATAATGTCCGGAATATTGTAGTAAATATCGGTTCCAGGCAAATATCTTCCGCAATAAAGTCCTTTTTGAAAAGACCAGGTGAGGAGTCCACGAGCGATCGGATTCAGGACATCTTCCGAGTCTCGATTCTTCGACCACCATTTAGGCGGCCAAGAGCGGCGAGTTTTGAAGTCGAGGTTGATGAACATTCCATGCGTCGCGGCGGAGATGAATTTCATCAAATGAGCATTAGGGACAAGGCCGAATGAGTTCATCGGCGTGTTTTCGGTGACCTGGACGAAAGAGCAGGAAATAGTCTGATTGCGAAGCCTGTTCAAAATGTCGCAAATGTTGGACTCTCCTCTGAGCATATTTCCCATCGCTCGGACATGCCCTTCTCTCATCATCATCGACGTTTCCAAGGAATAGATATCCGAGCATCCATCAGTGATGATGCAGATTCCAGCGATCGAGTTCGATGGTAGCAGTTGAAGCGCTAGAATTCCAGTTCGGAGCATTGGAACCAACCCTTCATCGGAGACGTTTTTTCGATTGGTTCGTTTCACTTCGTATGCGTAGTTGATCTTTTCTCTAAGAAGCTCCATTGTTGCTAAAATAAGGGCTCAAAATTTTTCTTATTATGTTATATTCAAGGTTTTTCTTGAGCCCTGTCCTGGAATCGTCGCTTTTGTCAAGTATCTATCCTGTTCAAAAACCACATGGCCATTTTCTTCACCCAAGAAACCGATCAGAGTGCAGAAAATCTCCGGTGTAATGAACGAATCGTCGAATTGTCCCGGAACTTGGTAGTCTTTCAGCAAATTTTCGAGTACAATTTCGAACGCTTCCAGCATTTCGTCAACGATCACCATTGAAGTAAGTCGATTGACGCGGATCGCTGAGGAGGAGAGATCGAAGAGAAAGACGAATCGGTAGCGTTTGAAGATGAAGACGACGTCGACTTCGTCCGTGATGTCGCCATCTTTGGTGTGGCCGATGATGTCGATTTTGTCCGGGAAGATGTTTTCTTTTTCGCGGAAAAGACTGTCGATGATCTGAAAAACGATGATCTTTCGTGTCTTCTCTCTATAGAAAAGTACCAAATTTCAACCCTTTTCACCCGAAATCCCTTTTGAAAATCCATTTCCTTACCCATTTGGCTCTAGAATCGCGGCTGATTCTTGCAGTATCCTGGACGAGAACGAAAGCTTCTTCAGTTTCATAGTGGACTTCTTCTTCTTCGTCATCCATAATCATATTTCATTTCTTCTTTTTCAGAAGATTCTTTTTTCTTTCTCAGGCTTTTTCTCGAATCTCGAAATTGGTTCGGACTGAAAAGTGGAGCGCGCGCCTTTCAGCGATTGGCCGAAAGATAATTAGGAGGAATTTTGAAAAGGAAAGAGAAATGGAAAAACGATATTTTGGAAGGAGAACTCATAATTGAAGAGAAAAACAGAAGGAGGTAAAGCTTTTTTTCTCATACATAAAAAAGAATATTTTTTATTAAGAAAAAGTAAATTTAATATCTTGTTAATAATTTTTTTTTTTGCTTTATATTCACTTATAGTCAATTTTTAGACCAAACTCGGTCCGAAATGCCGTCTCTTCGTTACGCTCTTGAACCTCCCCCAAGGCCGGACCCATATTCAGACGATGACGACGATGAGCCCACACCTCAGCTGCGAATCTTCCACAACTACGATGCTAGAAGACGCGCTTGCGCTGATGGCGCTGGGCCGAGTCATGCTTACGTCCCTCCTCCCGAAACGCCCTTTTCTTCGGAATCTGAAGGCGAAGATGAAGAGTTAAAAGCTGCTCCTATAGCTGCAATGCGAAAACGTAAATTTTCTAGCGACGAGGAAGGGATGAACCAACGGCCAACGAAACAGATACGGGATTATTTGTCCAGCAGCTCCGATGAAGATGAACTTTCAATGTCTCCAATCGCAGCCAAGCGTAAACGAAGCGATTCAACTGACGAAGAAGATCTCCCTCCTCCAAAATCATCAAGAGAAGAGATGCTCAGCTCAAGCGATGATGATGTTCCTCTAGGAGAGTTGTGTAGGAAAGAGAATAGCCCGCTTCATCGAGATTCCGCGAATTCGGAAGTCGATCAAGCTGAGTTTCAGCCGATTCATTCGGACTTAATCAAGGTAAGAAAATATAAATTGAAAGCGAAAACTTCCTAGACTAGGAATCCCGGATACCCTCCTTTCGTCAGGAAATCCTCCATTCGTCAGGAAACTTGCAGATTTTCCTGGCGAATGGAGGATGTTCTAGAAACTCGTCTTCTGATGATTTTCCCTTGATTTATCAATTTATTATTCTTTCTAAAAAAGGGTTAGGGTTGAGTAAATTCCCAATTATATGTTAAAAAAACTGATTTCTATCCAAAATTACTATAAAAAGAACGAATTTGTCACCTAAATTCGCAATTTTAATAGTCAATCTCCTGTAGGAAAACATGAGTAGTTATAGTAGTGACTGACCATTTGATAATTTTTCTGTGTGTTGATTGGGTGCGAGCGATGTAGCACTGAACCGGAAGGCTCACGGCTCAGTGCGGGGGGAAGGCCCCTCAGGGCCTTCTTGACACTCATCAGACTCCAAATGAAAGCATTTTACGCCACCACCAAGGTGCTGCACCACTTGCATTACATGCATGGCACCAACACACACTATAGGGCGGCGTGATTTTTTTCTCCACTCCACACAGCGATTTTTTACTTGTTCAAATGGTCAGTCACTACTATTTTCGCCTATTTAAAAATAAAAATTATTTTAAACGCACTACCCCACTATTCTAACGCTACTGAACCCGCCTATCTTTTTACATTACTCGTAACTTAACTCTAACCCTTAGAACTAAACCCTTCAACAAAGTAATTTCGCTAACTCGGGCCCCTCTGCACCAATTCTCTTCGCCCGCTCGACCCAGCGCTCCAATACCAACGCGCCAATTGCCGCGCGGATCCACGCCCATGGATTAGCCCCGCCATTGTCCCGCATCGATCCGCCTTCTCGCTTACTCATCGGGCTCTAGAAGCTTCGGCACGTTCTACTCATTCTCGAACTTTCTATTCATTGATCCATTCAGGCTCTCTCCACCAGCTCAGCCGCCGCCTCCGCCGCCCAGCTGCTCCAGCGCCCCGATCACTCTCACTGCCACTGATTATCACGACCCTCGCGCATGATCGCCCAGCTCAATCTTTTCAGGTTAGAATCTCCGTATATTATGAAAAACGGGGTTGAAAAAGGAGTAGATCAATTCATTTATTCAGGCATTACGGTGCTATGGTTGTGAAACGGTGAGGGTACAGTTCTTCATCGCTATAAATTGGTGGCAGGTTTGTGATGACAATGAAGACAATCGCAGCGAAAGTAGCAGACATCATTACGCAAAAGCAGCAACCAAGAATGATGCTTTCAAGGATTACCTGGATAAAATTGGTCGCCATTTTGCTTGTATTTGTTTGTAAGTTTTCAAAGTTTTTGAATTTTTATGCTCGAATGAAAAATTCTGCGCGTTAAATGTCTTTCTCCAGGTGAGTTCCAACTGGCCTACGTCTGGAATTTATGCAATCAGCCGCCCCTTATCGCCCTGGACATTCTTATCATAGATTTCTTCAGGTACACCGCTGGGACTAGCCACACTCGCTTTCAGTAAAGTCACACCGCCGCTGCACGATCGCTCTGCGTTATCTACTTCTTACTACCTCTCAGAAACCGTAATACTTTTTCAAGTCTGATTTAACCTATCAATAAATAATCCCTTCTTTATTTGAATAAATGTAGCTCAAGAAAAATTATTAGCGTAATGATATTGAGTGTGTTTATGAAATGATTCTTTATTCTTGAGTAAAAATTCTAAAAAAGACATTTTGTTTTTCTTTTTTTATTTATAATCCAGAAGTAATAATCTTTGCAAAAAACAAGTTGAACTGAACAAGTGCAGAGCAGGCGTAAAACAAGATCGCAAAAGCAGTAACAATGGCGAACAGGTAGAAAAGAGCGAAGAGGACGAGAGCGAAGATAAGAAGATCCATTTTTCGTTCTTGTTTTCGTTGAAGTTTTTGAAAAATTTGATTTTTTGGTTTTTATGAAGTTTGAGAACTCGGACATGCCTTTTTATACGCGCAGATGTTACGGAAGTGATAGTATCAGCTGTTTATGGTTCGATCTAGAATCTAAATTAGTTTGGGCAAATTGACTATCAATTTGTGTATCTCCAATTTTCCAGCTGGGGAAACATCAGAGCAATTCGCACCTTATTTATCAATGAAGATCAAGTGCGCACCTTGTACTTGAGAAAGCAACTGATCTACCGGATATTATTATTGTTTTTATCTTGCGTTTCATCTTTTTAGGGGTACTTTTTGGCGACTTTTTCGGTACTTCTAAGAGAACTAGTTGGCGCACCTAGTTCAAGGTTCAGTATAAAACCAGAACTTTTTTTCAGCAGGTATCAAACAATTCAAAATGATTGTACCAATTGAACAAATTAAACCCAAGAAGAAGAGCGTTACCAAAAAGATGGCCAATTTTTTCAAGCGGCAGTTTACTACTTACCAGTACCCAGTCAAAGAGATCAACCAGAAAATTTTGTGGATCGACACAAATACAAACACTAACCTTGGCGCCATGACCAAGGCTTCCGTCAGCTCCGTTCTCCATTGTCCTCCGCCGCCATACCCGAAATCTGTTGGATTAGCCCCTCTCACCACCAAAGAAGAGCCGCCGATGCACTCCCATTTTTCGGATGAAACGCTGAAATATGCGACGATCCGTCGCTCGTACTCCGTTCGCTACCGAAACGCCTCACGCTTCTATTGAAACTTTTCACTTCCATTGCACCTCTATTTATGATAATTTCTTTCTTACTACCATTCTTACGCTCTAAATTTTCTAAAATAAAAAATATAAGGACAAAATCTCATCTTGTTGTATTTATTATCAGCGGTTTAAAAGCATCTCTGTTTGAACCGGTAAAGTGGACTCAGATGATTTATCAGAAATTGTTTTCATTTTTCAATTTTTTTATTTTCTCAAGTAGCATTTTATAATCCTTATTCTCGTTTCAGCCCTCTTTTTCAGTTTGTTTATTTGCGCTCAGATGCGAATGATAAATGAGTTCTATTTAAAGTTTATTGTTCCATATAAATTGAGCTAGAAGTAGCGTTGTTAATAAAGAAATCCATGTCTTCAATCTCTTCGTCTGATGTTTCGTTCAAATGCCAGTGAATATGAAAGCGGCTAAGGCGTCTGGCTAAATCCTCAAAAACAGAATCTTCTATTATGGGAATATTAAAGGCATGCGACAAACTTTGTCCCTGCCCGAGTTTAAACTCTCCTTTACGGTCTAAGCAATAAATAATAAAATTAGAAAAAACCTCTTACCTCTTTTCATGTTTTTGTTGTTCTGATAGAATCATTAGAATCGCTCGCTTTTATAACATACTACTGTATTTATTCAAATTTTACGAATCTTAGCAAATCAGGTTTTTTCACGCTTCATTTTATTACAGTATTTATTCAATATTGATCGCAAGAGAATTACTAAGTGAAGACATGGAGGAAGTTCTTGGTTGGAAAATTTTAGTTTCATTTTTGATTGATTTATATTTGTTAACTTCATCATTGCCAATAGGAAAGAAATACTTGCTTTTATGCACCATTTTACGTTAGTTATTTGAAAAGTCAAGGAGGAAACTGGTGTTTGGAATTTCGTTCCATTTTATAAAGGTTTAAAGAAATCATCGAGAAGATTATTTGGTAGTGAAAGCATTTTATCACTTTTCAAAATACATATCCGCGAGAAAATATTTGACGCTAGAATTTATGGTTCATTTTATATTTTTCATAATATTCTTCATTTAGTTGCTTCTGAGGTGGCTGAACATGCTTGTCGTTTTGTAGTCACTAAAAAAATCATTTTGATTTGAGCTCTATTTTTACCTGACCATTTTAAAATTCTCATCTTTATTAAAAACGTAACTCAACGATGTTTTTATTTTAATTTTACATTGGCGCTCGTGAAGCCGCTAAATGGTGCTGTTCGAGGAGCTCTCTCTTCAACTATCGATTTAAAAATGAAGTTTTTTTAGAATAACGTGACAATTCGATCATGTCTTCGAAAAAACACGAGAATTTTGCTCCTCAACTCGAATCACTATCTTTGGGGTGGGCAAGTTTGCCCTTGTGGAATATTCTAGCGGAAGCAGGTACGTCGAGTGTTCAATTACTTTCAAGCATTCCCCATGTTCAGTATCATTTTTAAAAAGCTATATTACTGGACATAAGCGAATGTATGACATAATCTTGCCGGATGTGAAACTTGACAAGAAACCCCAACCCTTGCCTATATTGAGTCAGAGCAGCGTCAATTAAGGCAACGTGGAGTTTTTGTCATTTTCTTAACATATATACCGATTATCTGGGGCTTTAGTGCGAGTGAGAATATAAAGACGCTCTTGATCAGGCGCACTTTTCTCATTCGATGAGGGCGCAATTTTTCCGCGCTGATGTTTTCAATTTATACGGCGATTTTCGTGGCAATACTCACTTTATGCATTACTCGCTTAATAATAGCAAATTTAATTTGCTATCCTTCAGCGAGTTCTTTTTAGGCAAGCGCGGGGAATTGAAACAGTTTGACGACTTTTCGGCGGCTGATTCTGCTCTTCAAAATGAACAAGGTTTATTCTCGGTTAGTTTTTCGGTTATTTATTTTAAGCCATCTTTGACGCTCTTTCGCACGAATTGGACCTCTCCTGTGCACGTCTTTTGCTTCTCATTGAGCAATTTTACTCTTCAAATGCTGCAATAGGGGACGTTTTGATGTGTTCAGATGGAGCCCATCGTAAGCGCAAGTTAGTCGACGATGACACTCCCACGCGTCCGCAATCAACAATGAGTTCTAGCTCCCAGTCAGCGTCTTCATTATCACTAGATCGTCCCATTCTCAATGATAAGGTAGATGGTATTTCTGGAGCTTTCGAAGATTTGAAGATGGCGAATGACAAAGAAAAGCCCGAAGCGAACAGTTCTCGACAGACCTTTGAATACCACAACATGGTAAAAACACTCAAAGCCAATAATCCTGTCGGAACTGCTTCTGCGAAAGTATTATACGTTTTATGTAAAACCGAAGCCGAGTACAAGGTGAAATGTGGAATCCCTCTCAAAACGCAAGATATCCTCGATTGTAAGCGCGCTGCTGCATTCGCCGGAAAGGATGGTGCGATTTTTGATGAACTGTTTCGGAAGAGTTATTTGCAGGAGTGCAGGGAGCGAGCAAGAGGATCTACTTCATCACCGGCTGGAAATGACGACGGCACTGAACATGACTATGAAATCTACGCGAGAAGTCTTCCGATCAACCCTCTTTCTTTTATCGGGCAAGCAATTGCCGACCAAATGAAAAAGTTGGAAGAAGATGAAAATGCAAAGAAGGATCAGTCATCAGAATGAAGATAATGAAAGTTAAATTTTGGTTAAATTATTAGCCAAAGCATAAAGTCTACTGATTTCTACAATTTTTTTTGTTTTTTGCTTTTTTAACGCATTTTATTCATTTCATCTACAAGTTATTTTTTGTTTTTCGGTTGCTTTTTAATAGTGAACTAATTGGTGCTTTTTAAATTGAACTTTCTGACGCACAGCGTGATTTCATTTTGGATCTCCTCTTTGATTACAGGGTAAATATTAATTGAGAACAATGTCTAGCCTGTAATCGTATCAATGTTTTGCGCCTTTTCAAAAGTGATAAATGTATCTAATCTACTCTACAATTAAATAACATTTCAAAACAGCCATGTGTGATAAGAAAATTAGGAATATCTAGATGTTTTTCTCCTTCAGTAATTGTAAGTTATAAAAACTTTCGCCAACGACAAGATCAGCTCCGACCTATCATTTAGGCCGCCAAGAAAACCTCATTTTTTGTTTTGTTGAAGTATGAATAGTTACTGTTATTCGGATCAGCTCAAACTCTTTCTACTTCAGCTTTTATTTTTTACTGCTTTATTAATACAACATCTGCCATAAAATCTCTAGTGTTTCTAGCGTTTCTTTGCAAAATGTCGCAAAATGTTTCTAGATGCAATGTTTATCTCAGGCGTTTCTATAAAAGCAGCAGTAAGTCGAGCTTCCGTTCAGTTTTGTATTTGACAGCAGTAAAACAAGACAATTTTCTAATCTTGCGCGATGGGACGGAAAAAGGTACGATTTGTAAGAGATGTTATTGCTTAAAAATATTACAGCAAGCGCAGCAAAAACGCAGCAGCCGCAGAACCGAGACCGTGCGTCAAAAAACACCACCAAAGCCTTATCGAGGCCTTCCACCTGCGTCTCCTCCACTCTCACCCCGAGAGTACTTGGAAGTGCACAGCCTCGATCCCCTCGACTCTCTTTTCGTTGTTAACGAAACCGTCGCTGCTAACGAATCAGCGCTTGAGGACACCATCGTCGGTGGCGAGAACCTTGTACCGATTGAAGCTACTGAACCAACAAGAGCGCATCGTCAGCTTGTCTTCGATTCTGATGAGAGCTCCGACGGTGACGAGCACGACCGTGCTTTTATTGAAGAGCCCGCCTTTGGTCCAAGGCGCGCCAAGCATTGCATTACCTACCGTGGCTTAATTAGAAAAGTGGGCCCAAATAATCCAGCGGAAGTAATTCGGTACTTGGGTGAAAATGGGGACAAAGGGCGATGGTTTTTCCGGCCGGTTTATGGTCGTTTTTGCAAAACCTCTCACGGGTTCTTGCGTTTTAACGAAGAACGTAAGTGTTTATTTTTTTACTTTATTTAAAATAAAAATTAAGTCTACGAGGGCACTGGCGATGATCTCGAACGAATCTTGAAGATTCTGGACAAGATCTTCAGAAATCGCACGACTGAAATGGCGGAGTTTGAGGAGGAGCTAAATCGAGGGGAGATTGGAGTGGTTCTTGAAACAAAAACGCATCTTCTCCCCCTGAAAAACATTCAGTTCGGGATTGCAAGCCTCAAGAAAACCGATCCGGATCGACGGGCAGAGCACGATGAAGCTCCAGCGTATGCGTCCGAGCCTTGAAAAGGCTTTTTTCAAGTTTATTTGAAAACTCCAGCTGTCAAATAAAAACTTATTTTATATTCATTATCTTATTCTTTGATTAAAATCTAGTTGCAGTTTAAAAAATGCGCCTTGAATGTGAGTCTCGAATTATTCGTAAATGCGATCAATCTAGAAAAGAGTTTGCGCATTAGCAGAAGCGCGGCGCGTTTAGTCGGCGAGCGGCGAAAATCATTTCCAGAAGTGAGATTTGTCATTTCGAGAATTTGATTTTGAAAAATGTGGAGGTTTTGTTCTCACATGGGAAAATCACCGTTATCAAATCAGCGCGGAGAAGAAAATTGTGAATAAGAGAAGGAAGTAAAATCGAAGAGAATTTTCTTTTACTGGCGATTATCAAAGTTAATTTTTCTCAAGCGAATTCATACATCTGATAAATTCACCGGCTTACGTTAATGATAACCATCCCTTTTTTACAGAACAGTTGGCGTTAGAGAGTTAATGTTTGTGTACGATGGCCCCAACCCAGGAACTCCGCGTGCGTCTCAAGCTCTCCCGCCAGCAAACTCGAGTCGAACATCGAGTCTACGTCTTTCCCCGACTCCGAGTACCAGGACGATCGACGATTTCACGTTTGTCAAGCCCAGTATTCCGCTTCGGTAGGTTAAATTGAGAGATATTTTGTGCATAAATAACAAATATTTTAGTACGATGCAAGCTGCGCAAACAAACGAGCATCAAGCTCAAGATGAAGCTCATTCGCGAGCAGTAGGCGAGCCAACTGTTCACGGGTACGAGACAACGAGCTTCGTCAACCCTCATCCTCCCACTTCTATGCCAGAGCCTGTCGGTGCTGGGCGTTATCAGGCGCCGACTCCGCTATCTATGCCCCAAGACGCGTCCGATCTTCGATCTCTTCCTCGGCCAAAACGCAAACGGGTAATACATTTTTATAAAAAAGTTTATTAAAATTTTTATAAGGTTAACACCTGCGGCGGAGCGGCCAGGTTTGATCTTCCGTGTCTTGTTACCTCGATGGTCGCAAGCGGTCTTTGCGCTGTCGCCGTCTACGTTCTCTTTGCGTCGACTCAGCAATGTTTGCCGACTTTTGGCAACGAGGTGAAGTCGATCGCCCCCTTAAATCAGGTTACTCGTCGTCGTCGATCGCTCTCGAACGAGGACTGCTTCTGCTCCTGCACCTTCGATCCGCGCGATAAGGGCTGGTCCATCTCGTTGGAAACGCCCAACAACCGCCCAACATGCGACGTTGAGAGTTACACCGTCTCCGTCAACGGCAAGAAGGTGACCAATGCAGCTGATCTTGAGTTGGACCTTGCTCGCGATTTGCTCGATCTTCTCACTGCGGTCCTTCTCAACGACAACGACAACGAGGGTTCCAAAGGCGGCGACAGTGAAGGCGGCAGTGCCACCACTTCGACCAAGATGACTACTTCTACGCCGCCGGAGACAGGAACGCGACCGCCAACTACTCTTTTCTCCGACGTCGACGGAAACAACGAGGTCCCTGACTTGTTCGTCAACCCTGGTATATATTCAAGTTCTTTCATAATTTAATCATATAAATAGAAGTGACCATCATCGAGCCGTTCGGAGAGATGGACATTGGAAGTGGCGAGGACATCTGGGGCTCCGTTCCGGAAGGTAAATTAGTTTTATTTGAACCGTTTTCTAATTACAATTGTAGTGGAGTACACTCTTCCCATCGACTTCGACGGCGAAATCTAAGTATTGACCCCGAATTCTTATTATTGGTGTGTCTTGGCATTCGCAACTGTAATCAAATTTACGCTTCATAAAATTCTGCTCATCTGCTCTCATTGAAAACTTATCTGCATTCCCACCCCTTAAAAATCATTTAGCCGGACCTTCTTATCACTCGTTTATGCAATTATGATCTATTGTATTATTCACCTTCTAACCCACCCTTTTATCGACACTCACACAGTTCAGTAGTATTTGACTGTTCTGCCGCTTTGCACTTATTCGACCGACAATTTTTCCGACCTGTTCTTGTCAATGAAGCCTCTTTACATTTTATTTGTTCGTTTTCTTTTATTGCAACACTTTAGCAATGGGCAAGAAAAAAGTTATTTCGCGACCGTTAACTCCAATTCCATCTTGGCTCAAGAGTCAATTGAAAAATGCGCCCATCAAGGATGTAGTCAAATCTGCTGCAAATCAGAGTGCAAGGTAAATAATTGAAAAGCAAATATTCATTTGCTAATTTATTTGCTTAGGGCGCTTTTCACTAAAGCAGAGAAGGCCGCTAGCGGCGCGCCTTTTGCAACACTGCCACGGCCGCGATTGCCCGCTATCTTCGAAACCCGAGGTACTTTTAATCAAAGGGATTAAATTTAATGGATTTAGCTGGAAAGCGAAAGCGAATTTCTTCCCCGCGTTACTCTCCAGGCGCTGTTCGATTGTCTCCCGAACTTGTATCAATCGACAGTGCAAAAGTTCTTCCGACCAAGCAGGAGGCGGTTCTGATACACAGAGCTCCAGACGGGTCGATTCTGATTCCTCAGGAATTCACAAAAGTGCTGATCGATTTCATCAACACTCTTCAGAGCGGTAATTTAGTTTTGTCCTGCATTTAGCTTAATTAGTTTTTAGAGTACGAGTGGGCGAATCCTCGTTAGGGAACATGCGCTTAAAACCTGGATTTTACGAGCAAATATTGGAATTTGCTGTGTACAGAGAGTGTTTTCAGCGTCGTGGTCTTTTTGGTTTAAGAAATTATATGGACTTCAGCTTACCCGATCAACCTCTGCATTTTTCAGCTTCTCCGTATATTGACGGACAGTGGAGAGATACGCTTCTACTTGCCGCAAAAGGGAGAGACTGGCAAAATATTAAAAACAGAATACTAAACAATCCGCCTCCTGTTATTCTTCCATTCGAAAAAACTTCCCTTATTTCTACGTTGGCGAAGCAGACTGTTGATTCTTTTCAAACTTTGGAAAATCGAGTTTTACCTACTCTTGGAAATGATAAAAACGCTCAGATATACACAAGTTTTCCTGAAAACGCTCCACTACTTCTTGCCGGAGATTTTGCGCCGAATCCTCGTATATGCAAACCAAATCCTGAAAAGTTTGACGCAGATTTTATTTCAATCGACAGTTTGCTAGGCGATGTGAATTTTTCGAGTCCCTCAGGGGCTCTTGCGACCTTAGAATTTATGTACGGAATCCTCGACATTGAATACAGAGTAGTTAAAGATACTCAAACAGGCGTTTCATCTACCAGGCTGATTTCCAGAGCATTCCGACAGATAAATCCCGACATCTCAGAAGTTATTTATCGAAACCGTTTCGCTTGCGATCCGAAACAATTTAATGAAGAAGAATTTGTACTAAACAACTTTGATGACGAAGTTGATGTTACAATGGAGATGACAACCCTGCTCGGAGCTTTTTCTAGCGAAAGCTATAATTTTTCTAAGAAATTTCTAGCTGATGCGGCCTCTCTATCAAAAAAACAGCAAAACGGCAATTCGTCTTTTTCAGAACCAACTGAAACTACTCAATTCTCCAACAACGACGCCGACGATGAGCTCAATCAATCTCGCAAAAGTGAGCGAATACGCAATAAGAAGATTAATGCAACCTCTAAAAGTGATGAATACGAGGAATACGAATATCTAACGACTCCCCTGGAGAACAGAGTGTATACCTTTGACGAGTGCAACTTCAATCTGTGTAGCAAGTTTTTTAATCAAACGGATCTTTTCAAATATTTGACGCTCCTTGGAAAAACTGTCTATTATATGGCACCCTACTATAAACACTGCCCACTTCTCCTGGCCAATGACGCTGCAAGTCGCGACTTGGAGAAGAAAATTCCTAAAGCGCTGTTAGCTGACTGGCGAATTGGTAAAGTCTCTAAAAAAGTTGGTCGATCAATGGATAATTCTTCAAACTTTGCGGCGTCATTTGGATCACAAATTTGTGAAGGAAATGTCAGCCTGCTCAAAAGTAAGCTGTTCAATCAAGATGTCTATAGAGTTTTTCTTCTGAAAAATCAAACTGACAACAGTGCTCTACATCTGCTGCTTTCTATCAAGAAGTATTTCAACGATTTTGTGCAAGAGCTTTTTTTGCAGGCGCAGCAAGCAATTCTGTTTTCGTCGAAGGAAGTTGACGAATTATCCACATGGAAGCGAGGTTCAGCGGAGACTCTTCAACAAAAAAGAAATCGTTTTCGATTGATGAGGCTTCATTTGCGCTCAAGAAAACAACTTCTCCTTCATCAAAAGCGCCAGATTAAAAGCTTGTTAACGAAGCTTCGGCTTCTTTATGTTGACTTTTGCACCAACTGCCCGTCTCAACTTGACAAAAACTTCCCGATCAAAATTAAATGCTCATTTGAAGATCAGCAGTTTCTTCAGACGTCGTTTATCAACTCATTTCAACGAAGTCAAATCGAAAATGCTGTATTTACCTGCGACCGTTGTTCAAGTCGTCTGAACAATTCATTTTATCGGATCAGGCTCTTTCGGCATTTTGAATATGACTTGCCCAGCATTTATCTACAACGAAAACAGAGGCAAATGGCGGAAGTCATCAATTTCATGGAGATCACTTATAATATGTGTCCCGACGCATTTCTTATTTTCGGTATTGATCGCTCCAATGTTTACAGCAAAAAAGGTAATAAATTGATTTTACGAAGAGATTATACTTACTTATTATTCTAAGCAGATAAAAATCCGGACGACTTACAAGCCACTCAAGAAGAAGAAAATACAGTCGTCGCCACCACAAACGTTTTTATCGTAAGAGCGAGCACCATCTAGCTTTCTAACTTATAAATAAGCTCCCCGAAAGCGACATTCGTCCACAGAATCGAGAGCGATCGCAATATGAGCACTCAGGTAATTCTTTTTATCAGCGTTAGTTAATAGATCATTAAAGCGCGCGCCGGATCAACAGGAAAAAACCTACAACAATTCTCCCGAGTTGACAACAACGTTTCAGGACGAACTATTGTCAACAAGCTCGGAAGAACCTCGAACTCCAAGTCCGATTCAATTTCCGCCCATAGAGTCGCTGATCTCAAGAAAGCCTATGGAGACTCAAACCGACCAAGTAGTTCCCGATCTGGAGAGAAACTTCAATCAATATCCAGGCCACACTCCGGGCACGGTCATCCATACGGTAGGCCCCTGCACCGTGAACTATCATACAACGCCAGCAATCAATCAGAATCAAACCTGTTGGGGCCAACTGCCACCGCTAGCATCAACTGCTCAATGGGCGCCGGAAGTAGTTCCAACTATTTGGCAACCGCCCCAGAACCTCCCGCCAGACGAGTTACAACAGACGACCTCATTACTTATCTGCGAGAAGTCGCGACTCCGACTGAGTCGATCGGGGCATCTATTGCAAATAGAGCCTCTGCGCAATTGTTGCCAGCACTCGTCGGCGAATCCACTGGTTTTCAGGAGCTCCGCGCTTCTTCCTCAACAGGAACGTCTACCTCGCACCGAACAATCGTCTCCTGCACGACCGACGAGTCCAGCACCGATTGCTCAAGCAACCGCCTCCAAGACCAATCCAAGACGCGTACACTTTGAGGAGCCCTGCAAGAAGAAATACAAAAAGGACACCGAAAAACGCTAAAAGGTAGTTTCTAAAAGTTTAAAAATTTATTAATAAATATTTCAGCTTTTCCTCCCCCAGCCTCCAACGACACACCGATTCCCGAGCTACGAAAATTAATGTCTTTTTCTTTCAATGTTACTTGTTTTTCCTTGTTCTCCTCCTGCAATTTTTCAAATAAATGTCATTTTTTGAAAATCGTTTTTTAATTGTTCTTTATTTAAAAAGCCAGGCAGTAGGATATTGTTTAATAACTATTTGAAAGGCTAGTAATCGATGAACTCTAACATTACTCTCAGTAAAGACGTCTCGACTATGATAAGTGTTTGTAAGTAACTGGGCTCCAAAATCTTTTGGGTTAAGTTCTGCACAAAGATCGTCAAGATCTTTTTGATTTCGAATAAACTCAGTTATCGTTACTGACCCCCAACCGTTCGGATACGCTATCTGAGTTTGCGTTTGTATTTCTGGTTCGCCCGTTTCATAATTATAAACGGTAGCTGTTGACTTAGTGCTATAAAAAGCATCTACGCTAATTCTTAATAATCCCGAAAATACGTTTACTAAATCACGAACAAGTTGAACAACATCGCGATTATTTAAGACAGTAATAACGTATCTATTGCAGAGGTCTTTCCATCGCCCCATGTTGTCTGCGCCAGGCTGAAGCGGATAATGTTGCCACCCCTGTTCTAAACGTATTAAAAGAAAATTTAAAAACTGGCAACTAACTGATAAGATGTCGGATAGGCGCGCGTAAAGGTTGATCTTTTCCTATGAGAGCGTCGAGTTCTTCTGGTTCAAAGTAATCGTCAGCTGGGGTGATAGGTGGAACAAGTCGTCGCAACTGATTCTGCTCATGAATTACGTTTGGTGCAAGGGCCTCTTCTGTAAAATTGAAATTTTCTTGCGTTTTTGATTTAGGGTAGAACCATTCTATCCTGGGCTCGCGAACCTGAATAGAAAACCCGAGTCAGGCTCTACGAGACTTTTCATATTAAACTTTTCAAAGCCTGACTTAGGTTTTCTACTCAGGTTCGTGAGCCCAAATTCTATCTGTTCAGGCGTTAATGTGTATTCGGGCTGTTGAGCTTTAAAAGCCGCCATAAAATCTTCCATCGGTTCGCCTGAACGAGGTGGATTGTTTTCCATGCCAGCATAGTAACGACGTTTATGTTTTCGTATTTGAGCCGCTGTTGCAAATACATCTTCAACATAATTTTCAGCATCGTTTATCTCACCAGTTTCAACGTTTAAACTATCGGTATCCATTCTTAATATTTTAATACATCAATTTTTTAGCCAGTGTGATAATTAAAATTTATATCTAATAATATGTTCCATCAGCTTTTTTTAAGGCATAAGTGCGAATCTTATCCTTATCTACGATGCGCTTTTTGAGAGCGCCGTTAATCACTCGTTTTGACAGTACTTTTGTTTTAATTTGCTTGTTAACTTGGTCGTACATAAAAAGAGGCATATTTTTAATAACACTATCTTCGCTGTTGTCGGAAAAAAGCGCCGCAAGATAATCCAAATATCGAAGTTTGATTTTTTTCGCGCAACCTTTTGCTGATCGTTTGACATTTTTTTCATTCAAAAAGGAGCGATTATGCTCCTCCAAAACTTCAAACACTCGATGACGGTTTTCTGGAGCGACGATGGCTTCATCTATTCTATTGGGTTCACATTCGGTCATTATGTAACATTTAGCGCTGAGCGCTATAAACCATCCACTGTATATTTCCGCTTCAACCTTTAAAAGCCCTGGTTCTTTCTGAGACGCTGGACAGCTTGTGGCAAACCACTTCGGCTTTATTATTGTTTCCCATTCATCCTTCAAGCAAACTTTAACACACTCGTCCAACGTTTTCGCGCCCAATGCAAGTACAAATGAGTCTGTGTCACAATAGCAAATTTGAACCATTCCTTCCTCCATGTATTCATTTAGAACGTCTCGAAATTTAAAAAACAGTAGCTTACTGTTTTGATATACAAACAGCTGCACTTGAAGAGCCGTTGAATGATTTACCATTTTTTTGGAGAATATAGCCTCGTGGAGAGGATCGCATTTCGTCTTTTCTGCCTGGAGAGTAGAGAGTGATTTAAGCCGTGGATTGCGAAGCGCTGTATATAAATCGCCCGAAGATAATATTCGAGTTTTTAGAAATTTTGAGCGATTTATCGCAAAGTATCCAACCGCCGAATTCAAAATAAACTTAATCCAGTTTTGCCCCGCTTGGTCGCCCTTTGCCGCAGCTTTTACTCGATCTGCAACAAGATCGTTGACGAAATTTTCAAAAGGTTTGCCTCTGAAATAAGACACAAAATACTTGACTTTGTACTCGATCCCCATCTTCGCATAATAATGAAGCATTTGTGACGAAATAAAGTAATTATCAACATTAAAACAGAATATATTCTCCTCACATGGAAACATTCGTTTCTTCTGAGTATCCGAAAGAGTGTCATTCAAATCTCCTTGTAGATCCTCTCGTTCAATTCTTTTTCGAGCGAAGATAGGCGGCATGTACTTATATTTCTCAATCACTGACGGGGGCGAACGCAGATCAACCATTGCGAATCCAAAGAATTTACTTTCGCCGTTTTCATCTTCTTCTAACACCAATTTTTTGAATTCAGCTTCTGTAACTCCTTCTCGACCCGACGGTAATCCTGAGGGTTTTTTCGCTCCCTTGAATAAAAATGGATATGTTTTTGAAGATGGGCTTTTACCAGTAGACTCCAATATTTTCCATTCTCGTTTCCACTCGCAGGCCATTTTTATCGTTATACTGTGGGGAAAATTTTGAGGTCCCTCTGTTTCTTCCCATTCGTTCCCGTTCCAATGTTTCAGCGGTTTTCCCCAATCTTCAATTTTGTCCATTTTGCGAACATCGTCTATAATCTTCTGCATCCTCGCGTCTTCTTTTTTGAGTAAACCGTCTTTGGTAAAAGGAACAAAAATTTTCGTACCGGTTGCAGGATCAATGAGTTCTTTTTTAGCCGCGCACGTCGGCTTTATTTTGCATAACTTATTGGTGCATGGATGAAAAGTACATCCCCGATATTCAAAAAAGTAACGTTTTTTAATGAATCGGAAAGGCTCTTTTTCTGCATCATTTGACCGAATTAAAATGCGCTCGTCCTCACTTTCCGCATAGCCATCAATATAATAATTGCCAATCTTTTTCTCTTCCAAATTGTAAGAATGTTCGATTGATCCGTTGAAAGAATAATCCGGCGACCAATTCAAATATTCCAGCCATCGAATAGACCCCAATGACGTATTCTGGCGTTGATGAAACATCCCTTTGCTAAAAAATCGCTTCTCATCGGCATAACACATTGACGAAGAATAGCCCATTTTTTGTAAAGTGTACTTTATACCAGGCCCGCAAGGAAGATCTCCTCTAAAGGATTGAGGATACAAACTATTGAAATCGTAAGTTATAACCGCTTTAATTATTTTTCCAAGTAAAGTTTTCCAAGCAGATTCAGGAATCGCAGGATTAGGTCCATTCAAATATACCGCCCGATGAAGAACTTGAACAATGCCTCCTGTGAGATTTTTTCGCATGTCACGCAATAGTTCAGGAAAGTCAGGAGAAATCGAATATATTGGCGGACACTTTTTATCGTATTTCAAAAACGCAATTTTATGAGCAAGCTGAGAAATGCTCAATTCAGAATGAATGCCTAATCCAAAACGTCGTTGATTTGACAAGGCGAATGAAGAAATAGATCCCTGTAGAAGAACACAATCGTTGTAATTGTAATCAATAAGGAAATCCATCATCGTGATTGGATTTTGATTTGAACTATCCTCTTCAAGAGCATACCATCTTTCAACTGACGCTCTGTACATATTCGGCGAAAAACGGAAAAACGCGCGCGTAGCTTCGTCGTCCTCGTCCAAGTGCCAGCGGTTTTTCTCATCGCTCCAACAAAGAAACTTATCAATTTGAGTTGTCCACTTTACGTATAAATCAATCGTGTCGCGAATTTGGAATAAACTTTCACCTTGCGAAGCTTCATCAACTGGCGGAAGGTTATCAAAATGTTCTTTTGCGACCGGATCTTCAAAAATATGTGTCAATTTTAAAAATCGGCAAACACGATTCGCAATTTCTTTTTTTTCATTTTTCCATTTCCCATCTTGAATATTCGTTGCAATGATTTTATCCATTTCAATTACGTACTCATTTGTTGCTACCGACATCGTTGAATAGAAGCAGGGATACGCAGGCAGTTCTTTCGCATTTCTTATATGGTCAAGTTTGTTGTACCATTCATAGCAAAATGAACCTTTTGCAAAAAGTTCCTCACTCAGACCGCAGGATCGAGCAAGTTTATCCAGCGCCATCGGACAAGTGTAGTTTTTAAAATCTCGAAAAGTGAGATTAAGGGCTTCTAAAACCATGTATCCACTAGCTCGTTTAATAAAGCTAATTAGCTTTGTATTTCCACCAACGAAAAAGAATAAAACGGAGATAAGAGTCGGAAAAAGAACGACCATGTCGTATCTTTCTCCTACCCAAGAATAGATTTTCAACTTATAAAAATCCTTCAAATATTTGAGCTTTTTGCGATAAGCCGCCAGAAGAGAAGGATTACTTCCTTGTCCAGCTTCTTTCTTTTTGTTTTCATCTTCGATCAGCTTTTCATAATGTTGAACACCTTGAAATATACAACCAGGAATCAGACTCTCCATTTTCTTCTGAAGTATGAGAAGGTAATTGATAAATTCTGTAAGCATTATTAAAGATCCTTCGACTTCATCCGTTTTACGCACAAAGCACTCGCGTTCACCATTACTGGTGACAGTCGCCAATGTTGCTAATTTATGATATTTATCTCCAGTAGAAAAGCCATTGCAATTCATTGTGCACTCAATATCATAAACAACGAAGTATTCTTGCACATAATCAAATGCAGGCAAGAATTTTTCAGCAACTAGCTCGTGCACGTGATC